ATTAACGCATTAAAATATCTTTTAACGTAATACAGAAATGTTTTATCGTAAGTTCTAATGTTAACGCTTGAATGTCTTAATAACCAACTAGGCATGCCGCCAAAATCAACTTCAGCACAAATATAAGGACCAATACGTGCGATCGCAAACAAATCTTCTTCTTGAGCAAGTTTAAAAAATTTATCTATATCCAAAAACATACTCATATCACTGTGTCCCTTACCAAAATCATAAATTCCTTCATAGGGTTCGTGTAAATTCCACGGAATGTACGTTTCAACGGTATTTAATCCGGCAGAACGCATTTTTCTTAATCGATCCCGCCAGTATTCAGTTGGAACTCTAAAGTAGTGCATTGATCCGCTTACTATTGTTAAAGACTTATTGTTCAGGGTGAAAGAATCCAGATTTTCCGATAAACCTGAATTAATACCCCCAGACGTGTAGAATTCGTATAGCGAGGGAAGCATTTTTTATAGAATGTCAAATTGTCTGTCAAAAGTTATTGAAAAATTCATAACACCTAACATCTAAATTCTGTAAAGTATTATATTCTAAACTAAATCTGCTTTAAAATTGTTTGGCGTTTTATAGCCATGTAACAAATAATTCGTACAAAAAAAAAGACTTAGTAATATTAATCTTCCAGTACATGTGTTTATGATTGAAACGAACGTCGAGTTTAGCCCTCTTAAGAAACGCACGGCTAAGCCCGAATGATTCTATCATATTCTGCCATCTTCCAGGTTCGTTATAGCCGTTAAGGTTAGGATTAGGTTCGGCATCCGTCTTCTGATCTTAGTCAGACGTAGACTGCTAGTAAGTAGCTGAGGTAGCCTTTTCACAGGCTCACCCTTTGTGTTGCGCTTGTACCACCCAAGCTCATCAGGGCCGAAACGTTATAGCTGGACTACGCTGATACAACGCTGTCATAACCGCCAAAAGGTCAGAGCAAGTGTTAATATGCTATCTAACAGCCAATTACGCAAATCCACATTATATACTTCTTTCTAAAATAAATACGGAAGAAAACAATAAAGAAATACGAAAGTTAATACAAGAAGAATACAATAAAATTGTTAAGAAAAACTGCTCGTTAAGAACATGTTGATCAAATTAAAATTAATATCGGACTAGATGTCAAATTGAGATGTCCGACAAACACCTTAAAAACATTCGGAATAATCTATAGTTTATAATATGTACACAAAAGCTATTTCTTTACAATATCCACCAAACACCATTCGTCGAAATAGACGTAACGAGGTTTAATTACAACAAGCATTTAGATCAACGCTTTCAGATGTGAAGGTAGGTGATAAACGTCCGCCTTATTCCGTTAATAACTCTCCATCAAAAAGACAATACATGCCTAATAATATCAAAATTCCTCATGACAATCTAATTTTACGAAGAAGAAAATCAATACGTTGAAAACAGTGTTCCGGATTTTTCAGAGTACAATCTTCACCATCTGCTGCCGTAACGATATCTAACAAAGTTTAATGACAAGGTCCATTACTTCCTTATGTGAAATTTAATGTATTAGAATTTTTAATAGATACTGGTGCAAAATGTGGTAATTAATAGTAAATTCAAAATTGTTCAATGGTGCAGAATTGTTTTCATATTTGTAACAGTTGCGAATTTATAATAAGACACATACATGGAATGGACAAAACATCTATTGCAGTATTAAATTTTATTAGATTTTGCGAAAATCACAAAGCCACCCAGAGTGTGTTTGGAGAAGAATGCAAAATGTGTCTGCCTTTAAAAATTTTCAGAACTAGTTACCAACGAATTGATGCTACCAGTTATACACATATTCTCAAGGTGAAATTGAAGGATATAAACCAATCAACAACGTAGAAGGAACATTTAGCTATTACGATCTTAAACTATTTAGACCATATGATAATGGAAAAAAGTTGAACAGTTTTACAGACCATTAGTGGAACTAATCTCTAAACTAATACTAATACGATAGAAGATAAAATTAAAACATTCGCACTCAGCACTTAGGCCCTAGCGTTCTGCTAGTGCAACCTTCCAATATGTCATTATCATCGGCATGCCAACCCTTTGTGAGTCTTAGTCTGTTCCAAGATCCTCTTCCATTCCAACCTATTACTCATTCTGTTCCGATAGTTAGTTATGCCTAGGGTTCTGATATCTTCGTCCACCTGGTTGGTGTTTGTTTTAATATCTTTTTTGGGATCTCTTCATCCTTCATTCTTACGACGTGTCCTAACCAACATAGGCGTTTTATTTTCATGAAAGTTACGATGTTGGGATCCTTGTAAACAAGGTACAGTTCGAAATTATAGCGACTCCGCCATAGGTCGTTTTCTAATATTCCTCCTAAATATATGCCTCAAAATTTTCGTGTGATCGTAGTGATCAGTATCCACATTTCTGATCCGTAATGTCAGTATTATGATCACTAATACGATCATTAATGATCGTATTAGTGATCATATGTTTTGTATATGTGGCATTTTGATTTTCTTGTTAAGTATTTAAATCTTAAGTGTCTAATTAGACCGTGGTAGGTTTTGTTTGCTAAGAGGATCCATCTTTTTACTTCATGGGAGATGTCTGCATTAACCGGTGAACCCAGATCTACAAACCGTTTCACACCCTCGATGTTGTAGTCTCCGATTATTAGGTTTTGCGATTGTCTTGGGCTATTGGTGTGCATGCATTTTGTCTTTGTTGGTTTAATTCTTAAACCACTCAGTTGTGCCGCTCTTTCTATAAGGTTGAATAAGGTTCTATAAGGTCGCTCTTTCTTGCGATTATATCAACATCGCGTCGTCTGCAAAAGCCAGTATTTGTGCACTCTTGCTCATGATTGCTTCTCTTATAACCTTCTCAAGGGTGATGTTGAAAAGTATTCATGGCAGTACATCTCCCAGTCGCAGACCTCTTCCTAGTTTAAAATGTTGTGTTGTCTTATTTTAAATTCCCACTGTGCTTTCCACCCACAGTGTAAGGGAGACATTAATGAGATAAGATGCGTAGGTACGTTAAGGTTTTTCATGGCCTGGATTAGATATTCTCTAGATATGCTATCGTAGGCGATCTCATAGTCGATGAAGAGGTGGTGGGTTTTCGATGTTCCACTCCTATTATATCGAAATGCAGGATACAGCACAAAGCGATGTCACTAACAAGTTCCGTGCCCACCCATTCTTCGAAGACTGAATATAAAGTTTTGTAGAGTGGGACAGGTACACAGGATGTGTTTGATCGTTTCGTCGTCTTGTTTGCCTTTCAGTGAAATAAATCCTGTAATGTCGCGTAGGGTACTAACAATTTCTATCAATCTTTCCCACCAATTTTAAAACTGTATGTTTGTTAGTTTTATAATAATCCCAATATCAGATATTAAAGACGGGATAATTTTTAACTCAGATCAACAAGGCTTTCTTGTAGCAGTTGTAACAGTACCAGTTATACTTGTACACATTGTAAACACGTTAAATAAAAGTACTGTAACGAGTTACACGTAAAGATTCACGAAAATTGTTGAGCATATCTCTTATAGAGCTTTCTCCTAAAACATTTACGATAAATATCTGCGAATGGGCCCGATTAAACAAACAAAATGTTTGGCAATGAAGAGATATACGTTTAAAGGACCTGCAATTCCAATCAAAGCTGGCTTTAAGATAAAAATGTTATAAATGCGCCTAATTAATAAAACGAGAACAGTTCAGTTTCGTAATCAAACACGGTAATCCGATACGGTTATCCGTGGCTCTATCGAACCTGACTCGAATCGTCGAACCCGATAGTAAGCATTAGTTTTAAGTTTCAATTCATGTTAAATTGTGTTTAAATAAAGTTAATTGAAAAGACTTTTTTTTGACTTTAATTTAAAGTAGTTAAATCAGCGTTCTCGCCACTTTGCACTTTACCATGGTTTCCCGTCATTATATTTTTTAATAACTTAGTTTCACTAGCACTGTATGCTGCTTTTACACAAACACAAATTAAACCAGCTTGAGAAATGGTATCATCTTGAGTCTTCTGATCTGGTTTGTATTATTGAGGATGGCTTCGATATCAACACGATGAAGAAATAATACAAAAATAATTTGTAGTCCCTCATGCCACATTCTAACAAAAGCTTCAGTTAAATCTAGGAATACAGTAGAACAAACTTTTCTTCCAACGACTTGTCAATTATATCTGTGATTCTGTGAATCAGATCTGATGAGTTACCCTTGCTAAAGCCAAACTAATCATTTAAAAAGTATTTTGTGGATTAACTTTGAAATTACATTTGTTGGATATCTGTAACACTTCTCTATCTAGATGTTCTTCATGTCTTAGAGTTACCGACAAATCTATCAGCAAGATGGGAGAATGGTTAGAGTTCATATCCCAAGTTTTTTTCCACCTGCCACCCAACATAGCTTATATATCAGCGTATAGCTGATACATTTCGGGTTATGAAGAAATCAATTAGATCTGGGATGTTATTGGGTTGGGTTGAGTTGTGTTATTTCGCACTTTAGTTGATTGTCTGCGTCACCTCACTCATTACCTTAGTATGAGCAGTTCATATGGTAAATCGAAGACATGTTTTATTGCTATTATTAATACGTTAGATGTCATTTTCATTCGTAAAAATGTTCACTATTTCGTTTAATATTTCAACGTTTCAATTTTAAATTCAAAAGGTTACTATTGCCATCTATGGTGAAAGTATTAACGCTAAGACTTCGAACCTACTGCGTTAGAGGGCACCACAAACAACAATGATGTAGATTTCGTTATTTTCTCGTAAATGAAATTTTAGCATTTATTTTTAAGAATTATACTCTAATTTATGATTGCCTTCTACATATAATTGTTTATAAAAAATATAAAAATTAAATAATAATAATTTGTAAATACCGCAATACACCTGTCAGGAATCTATTGAGATAAAATTTTTATAGATCACCTGACGTAGATGTCATCATAAACGTCATTAAACATAACCTATTTTCGCGTTTTAAATAACACAGTTCCGTTTAGATAACGTTTATAGTAGAATTGTAGTATTTTTAGCAAATTTTGGTGGGAAGGAGATCAAATAAGTGTAGTGAATCCGATCTTTAGTATGTAAATGTCGTTGAAATGCAGTGAAGCCTATCCGGAAAACCGTTCGTTTCGTTCGTTTGCACTCACTCCTCGGTGGTTCCGCGGTGGTGTACGCGTTGTAATGGTCGGTTTTTGTGTTCGACATGTGCCGCAAACCGTCATAATATGTCCAGCGAAAACCATACCACATCTCGAAAGAATGCCATACCAAAACTCCATCTAATAACATCAAATATTATCTTAACAATAATGAAATCACCGGACAATGCAACGATATGGTATTAACCTGTCAGGTGAGCGCTATAAAATTTTAGTTTTTAAATCTAAAGCGGTTTTGTACATGTATTTGTATTTTACGTTAATCTGTCTGTTGGTCAACTTAAGAGGTATCATTAGATGGTCATTAGCTTTGATTTTTTTCCCGATTTGATTGCAAATTAACGTTTGGCCCACTTTCCACAAGATTTGCAATTTTGATGTTGTACCTATAAACTTGGAACTTGTTGTGGTTTTAGATTTGTATAGAAAACGTTTATTTAAAAGGGAAAAGTTGTTTCTTTTTTAATTTGTAATCCTCATGTGTATTGATTGTTATTTGAAATAACTTAATTGTAAAAAGTATCTAAATTTTGTTTATTTGTACTATTGATGACTTAGTTTCTAAAAATTAATGAAGATTGGGAAATGCCCAAAGATACCAAATCGTTCGTGTGTAGAGAGTTAAGTGATTGTGGTCACATGTTTTAGAGTTGAAAGTTAAGTGATTAGTTTTAAAAGGTTTTCTTAATGAGCTTTTCTGATAACTTGCCTGAGTTTACTGTCATTTCAAAAATATTTTGGTACTATTGAAAACTTACGCTTATACCAGCATTACACTATCATAGTTCTATGTCATAGATCTATTATCAAATATTTGTAATGTAAAGTTTGATAAGAAAATATTATGGAAAATATGTTGTCGATTTACACTACATAGTATATTTGACCATATTATACAAAATGGATTGTTGAAAAAGCAACGTGAAAAGAAGGAAAAACGAGAGCCTAAGCTACCCAAGCAAATCTTAATAATTTGGGAATTCAATATCATTTATTGAGAGAACTAAAAAGTGAAGAACCAAAACATTACGAGAACTATTTAAGAATGGATTAGAAGAGCTTTTGTTTCAATTTCTTCGGCCCTGTCCTACTTGCTCAAACACCACAGGTGTTTGAATTTTAAGGTACAAAATGGTACCTGTCTATGTGATTCTCCAATTCTATATTGTATGTTTGTGGTAAATTTACTTCCAACAGTGAAAAGAGCTAATTTTTCTGTTGCTTGAAAAATGTTATTAAATTTATGTTAACCCTGGGCGTCTATGCTTCGTTGAATTGATGACACACGTTAACATTTTAACAGGTTCTCTCTCTTATTTTTGTTCGTTTTGTGCTGATTTTTCGTATAACACTGCTTGTGGTTAAAGAGTTAGCGGGCGCAGACATGCAGTTAATAATACATTAAGTAAATATATTTTTTTAATTGTGCGTCCACGAAGCGTAGCCTTTGCATAAGTTTTGAACTTTTAAATTTCGGGGTTGTGTTTTTGTTTGACTTATTAAGTTGCAAAGCTAACAGTGCACCACAAACTAAATGAATGACGATATCATCAAGTTTCTGTTTCTGATAAATATTGCTAATACTTTGTCATCATCTATTCAAGAAGTGACAGTTAATGAACAATCAAAAAAATCTTACATGGTAAAATTTTTAGAATCAAACCAACGGAGATGTTGATACGTTCGACCAAATGTGTAGTGATAACACTGTGAAGTTCATGCAAAACCAATAGATGGCTCATGTGCCAATTTTTGAGAGTATTGAAATGGCTTGTATAAAGAATTGTGTCATTTATGCTCACATGTTCTTAACTAAAACAAATACCTCTCAATCGCACATGTTTTACGAAAAAATGCATTTTACTTGTCGAAAGTTAATTAACCGATAGACTGTTGATGAGGAGATTACAAAGAATAGTAAAACTAGAAAACTCACTATTACTAGAAAAAGGAAGATTCTGTTTGTTCATCCTCTAAACGACGAATAACGACATCACTCAGTACAAAATATGATAAAAGGTGATGGACACAAAATACAGCTTGTGATTCTTGCATATAATGTAACTTGGTTCTCATAAAAACGTGTTCATTTAGAAGTTAATGCATTATTTTACAAGATGAGAAGTGTTACTTATGTTTTTGCCAAGTTTATCGTGTTGAGTTTATTCAAAAAGATAATCAACCCATTGTTGTAGTGAAGAAATGCTTTAATGCCCTAAGTAACTATCATAGAACCAATGGAAGAATGGAAACTATTCGTTTTGTAATGAGAAAATCCTTTTAGTTCATTCATCGAACGTGCGAAGAACACGATAAGCAAACGGCTTCAATTCTTGCATGAGCTGAATCTTGTAAGCTTATGAACAAAGATCTTTCTGCAAAATCTTCCATAAAGTGGATAGATGAAGCCGCAATTGTTGACAAGTTGATTGTTTAACATTTAGATCTTTTTCAGCACTGCTGTACAGCAATAATTGCTTCGGAGGCATTATTCAAGTAGAGTATGCGAGGTGCGAAGATGATTTTCAAAATAAATTTGCAAATTTTGCACACATTTTTGTATAAATGAAATTATAGTGGCTGGTACTGATTAGCCTGCTTTTCGTAATAAATGGCTAATTTTTAGAAGGAATTTTGACATGATGTCAAAAAATAGCTAGACTCAAATTCTCCTGGTCATAAGATATTTATCCCATTAAAACAGAATTTTATGAAAACGACTCTTCAGCTATATATCACGATCATACTTAAAACTGAAATAACATCGTACATAGCCTGCAAATTAAATAAAATCTTTAAATGAAAGCAATAGTATCTAAAGATAGAGTTTAGAATTTTGAACATGTACAATCAAATCAAACTGTCGTTTTATTTCTGGTCCCACGCAGAGGTTGGAAATATAATCTAGATCTAGAAGATAGGTGGCTATGTAACTAACACTCCCGGTGAGTTATGGTAAAAAATAGCAAAATATACTCTTCAATGCTTAAAATTGTAAAAGAGAAGGTTAAATATAGGCCACTCCAGTTAATTATTTACTTCTCACTTATAAACTTCAAACATCCGTTATTATGTTAGTTTTGTTATAAAGTAATTTTGTATTATTTTTACAGTTTTATTTTTGTTTATATACGATTTAATTTAACCTCAATAATTTATTTTACAGACAAGAGATTACAAACAATAGAAGTTTGTATGCAACAAAAATAATATACTATCTATCTGAAGGTGTGTGTTTACTGTTGCTCGAAAACTCTAAAGATTATTTAAATTGATAGAATACAATATTAAAGAATGTACCTCTTACATTAAAAAAAATCTTTGTAATACCAAAAGTCAAAGATTTAGTATAGAATTAAATGAAAATTTCAATAACGAAGTATTTTGTTATGATTAGTAATAAAGATAGAATAAAATTAAATAAAAATGATAGTTAATGAAGTTAATAAAATTGGCTCTGCATATTTTATGTTTTTTATTTCTCAAAATAACTAAACCACAACTCAGCTGTTTAAATAGTGTTATTGCTGTTTTGTTAGGATTTTGAAAACAATATATGTTTTTGAAGGATTTTTATATTTGCGGTAATAAATTTCATCAAATAACGTGTTATGGATCACGATATTTCTTCGACTTGACCTTCTATATATGGGTATGTTATGTTTTCTATAATCAAATCGCCATAATTATTTTCAATTATCAAATTAAATCTTGAAATTATGTTGTCAGTTCTCGGTTGTTTGCAGTTTATTGATCGCAGTAACTCGAAGAGTTTAATTAAAAGATATTTAAAGAATTTATCCTTTCTCCTGATTTTAATAAAATTTGTTTATTTTTCAGTAATAAAATGTACAGTTTTGCTTTAGATATTTTATAAAAAAAGATTAAAGCATTAGAAAATATTTAAAGATCATTGAGTTAGATTTAATGAGTGGAATAAGACTTTAAATTCACTTAAACTCATTGAAACAGAAATTTGTATTTCGCTCTACTTAGCGTAGATAACCACTGCTTCTCAAATGGATTTTTCCACAAATAAACATTCTTTATTTGTGAGATTACGGAAGATAATTTGTTACTCAGCCATTCATCTCGTTTCTCAAATATTTTTAAATAAATTGAAATTTGTAAACCATATGCAAAATAGATTGCATCTTTAAAATGAGGTTTCGTCCTTATGTTTAGAAATTAGTAGCCCATTAGATTGGCTAATAGACATCATGTTATATGATCCCAAAAACGTGTCAAAACGATTTTTCTTAGTTGCAGATATAATTTTTTGGAGCAGCTTTCGTGAATACTTTATAAAGACTATACATATAAAGTATAATAACAAAAAATACAACATATTATTCTATAAAAGCATTTTTTTTATTATTCATTGTGTTGACATTGAATTATCATATGAATTAATACTCTAAATTAGTAGTCTCATTGCTATCTCTTAGCCATCTAATAAGGGGCAGAGAAAGCTTCTAATTTCTCCCCAAAACTGTCTATCCCATTTAAATATTTTCATTTATTTATCAAATCGAGTCTCCATATAGTCGCTATGAGACTATAATCAAACTACAAGCATGTTTCGAAGTAGTTATATTCACAAAACAAAAAATCTTAATAAATTATCTTTGTAATTTAGCTGTTTTGTAAAATAATTCTTTTTATCAGTTTATTGAATACGTTCCATAATATTGCTGCGCGCTATAGATAATATTATTTTTTATATGAATAATATTAGGTGCAAATATAACTGTGTAGGTAATTATAAAAATACATGTTCTGAAAATTGTCAGATTTGAAATTATCGGATCAACGTCATTTCGAAAGGTCAGAATGAAGAAGTCAATGTGTTGAGTGATTTCCTTAAGATTCCTATGCGTACTGCTGCCCAGCTTAGATACGTGCAGCAATGAAACTATTCATCTGCATTCGACTCAATGCCTTATTTCACATTTAATCACTGTTATTTTCATTTTGATAAGTAATGCAATTAAAATTTATAATTATTCTGTTATCTATTTTTGTTTTGTGTAGTGGCGAGTTTTTACTAGTGACAAGAGTTCACTAATTGTAAGAGAGTTTATAGAGATGTTAGTTACTGCTTACACATTTATGTAAGAATTTAATATGCATATTTAGCTTTGCATGTAATAATTTGGATTAATTTTTATTTACATAAGTCTATAACTATGTAACTGCGTAACAGTAGCAAGCTATCGTTAACTTCCAGTGAAAATTAATACAATAACTGAGTTCAATCAGAACAATAATTAATAAATTATTTTATGAAAAGGACTAGCGGGTGTGAGTGTCAAAAAAATTACAAGATATTTATCCTTCAGTATTTTAGCACCAATTAGAAAATGTTTAGTACCAGGCTATATCTTTCCGTCCACCCCCTTTGCAAAGTTTTTACTTACTAAACATTTCTCAAAAACTAACAATCCTTGCCCATAAAAAAGTATACTCATGCAGATCTTTCTTTGCCCTTTCGCAAAATATTATGATAGTTTCACAAAAGAAGGAGAATGGTCCATGCGCTATCATTTGAACGTCGCGATCTGCAAGAGATCATCGGAAATCAACTGTAATTTTGGACTATAATAACACCAAAGGTGATGTAAAGCTAGATGACTATTCCAATTTTTGTTGAATCTGTTGATATTGCTTTTTTGAATGCATTTATGATATGTATATACAATTAAAAATATGGATTGGAAGAATATTTGTAGTTATCGAACACGGATAGTTTTAAGATCTTTGGGTACAGATTTAAGTCTAACATTTATAATTGATCTGAAAATTTGTACTAATTACTGACTAGTTTGAGCAGTAAAATGACGAGCAATCATTAAACATACCATTAATTGATTTATAATATATCCGTTCGGCTCTACTATCTTAGTTGCTATCTTCCATTTCAATTATATGGAACGTGGTAATCATGAATTAATACTTCTCCACTTAATACTAGTTTCTAAAGATTGAAAAAGAATACACATTAAGCAGTGAGCTGAAACAATACTAAAGTGGTGGTTGTGTCTATAAACAGCCCAAGTTCAAGTTGACGGCTAAGATGATGTTTATAAGATATCTTCTAGCTACGATCAGATCATCTTTAGGAACTTCTTGTGGTCTCCACAAGTTGTTAGAAAACCAATTGAATACCTAATTGAAAGAATTGGAGCTGCACTTCTAATCGGTTCAAGCTCATCGTTCTGTTCCACCTTTATTTTGTCTTACAAAGAAAAAGGCGGCTCCCATGGTTTAAAGCAACACAAGTAGTTAAGATGAATACACACTACAACTATTACAACCTTCTTAAGCAAACGCTACAAAAAGTTCTCTTATCGTGAATAGTATAACGGTTTAAAACGGGTGTAACTAAAGCACTAGAACTTGTATCTTCCAAGATTAATCGAAGTTTATGAGTGTTGTATATTTTAGCTTTTAAAGAACGTTTGTTTTTAACTGAAATAAACTGAACAAGAATTTAATTGCAAAACTGGTTGAAACTACTGCCACATTAGTTTAATTTCTTTTTAATTCCTTATAGAGATTCGTTTTTTTTTCTAAAGAATAAAATTACATTTTTTTTGTTTGCATTGGACAATTTACATATTATGGAAATATGAATTCAAATGCTTAATTAGTTTGTTGGAGCGAAGGCAAAATTACAATTCAAAGAGAAACTGTTATATTGCCAATTACTTGACCCACATACTCTCAAATGCATCTCATCATTAACTCGGTAATCTTGCTTGGTAATTAGCTACGAAAATTACTGCTTACCTTACCGTGATTAAAATGTTATTCGAGGAATTTTAATCTTTTATCTTCCTTAATGATATTTATTAAAAATGATGTTTTGTATTTTTTTATCTCGCCTGAATGGTAGATAGTATCTTTCGTCTTATTCCGATTCGTTTTATCGCTTGACTTCCTGATCAAATTACTTGAATTTTAATGAAATCCTCATCGAAGTTAAAAGATAAATAAAGTAAATAAATAATCGAAAGACTTTTTTGATAATCATGTTTTTTAACGCGTGTTACTTAAAAGTTGTAATACGGTAGGTATGTTCACTTTAATAATAAATGATAACTATCAGTTTCTTTTATAGGAATAGATTAGAAAGATTAAATTATTGATTTGAAACCATATCGTCCAATTAAGAAAATTAATCGATAGGCATTAATGCCCCTAATTTTTTCCAATCAAATTCTAATGAAAATTAAAAATCGTAACACAATTGCCCTCGGCTTATCGGTGACTATGTACTGATAATTTTCAGGCGTAATGAAAGATATAATCGAATTTCCACCTTGGTATCTAGTCTTCATTTTATCATGTATTTAAGTGCAAAGCAAATATTTCTATAAATAAAGATTTTCACTTAAATTATTTAAAAAAGTGTTCTCAGTTAATTGAAAATTGAATTTATCAAAATCGTTTTGAAATCAATGATGATTATTATTATGAATACTTAAGATGTTAAATGCATTACAGAATCTAAGGAGTAAACCTACGCACACACTTTCTCTCTTATATTGCACATATCTAAAATATGAAGACTAAAAATGAACTATGATTGATTATGTTCCCATTTACTTTCTCAATGAAAAGAAACTATTATATACATTAATACAATTGTGTAATTTACAAATAGTGAATTGTGCTTATATCGTTTTCTTGTTCTGTATATAAACCGTATAATTTTATCACTTCCGATGTATCTCTCGTAACCGACTCGTTATCCTTGAAAATAAGGTTGCGTACCACCTTTTTAATATCGCAATTTATGCATATTGCATACTTACATTTATACTTATTTTCAAAATCTTATTTATATTTTTATTATTTTAGGTATATTCCTCCAGAAAAAATGGAATCTTTCGGAAACGAATACCACTCTATACACATAAAATAGCCGCAGGTAAGCGTAAAGTAAACGTAGACTAAAAGAGCATCATTGTTTACATTTTAAGTTAACTTTTAAAAGAATCTCCAAATAAAACTGCGTCTATTTTTGTCTTGATAACGATCCGTGTAAATAGAAGTATTAAATACGGGGCGGAAGTTATTTCTAAAATAATTAAATAAACTAAACGAAATCAAATAAAATGACCGTTTCAGTATTTGTTAATCCATTCCCTGTAACTTAAAGCAATTGTTAAATGATAAGATATACACGCGTTCATGAGATAATGATCAACGAAAACCTGCGAAACGTTCCACAGTTTTAACGTTGTCGTTATGTTGGCAGGTTTTAACCGAGATATCGCGAGTTCACACCTTTAATAAAAATCGAAAAGTAAACGTTAAAAGTTGTAGAGCAAAAAAAAGTTGCAAACTCAACGACGGAGTAAGTTCTAATAAAAACCGTGACAAAGTTTTAAAAGAACTTTAAGTAAATGGTTATTTAAATCCAAACACGTCACTTTAAATTTTTCTTAAACGTTTAATTGTTTCCTTTTCGATGTATATTTAGATGCAAATCTCATTTTAGAGTTAGTTAAAAAGAAAGTTTGTTCTTTTAGTGTTGAATAAGGTGTAAAACAAAAAATATGGAGCACGCAGATCTAATTTTGGAAATGTCGCGCATCGAACAGATGCCGACACAAGATCGGTTGCTTTTAGCGAAAGAAAGGCGACAGAAACAATTACAATGTTACCAGAGGCGCGAAAAGGAGTACAAGAAATTGTCGAAAATGCAAAAGTTGAAACAACGCCGGATATTTTTTCATGATAGCGTCATTTTATTGGAGGCGGCCGCCAGGAATGATATTGAAGAAGGTAATTAAATGTTTTACAATTGGTTTTATAATTTACAATATTATATAAGTTGTATAATAAAGTTAATGCGGTTAACTTACATTAGTATGAGTTAAAAATATTGGTGGTTTATGAGAAAAGATAGAAAATTAAACGATGTTCATTTGAATGTTAACATTAATGTAAATAATGCGATGTATTTGCACTTGGATGATAAGATTTTTGTTTGAATAATATATACTGCACATGTAAAGGTGTGGGTAAATATTAATTATAAGGACTCCATTTTTGTATCTTTTGTGTAGAAATTGAAAATCGAAACCCAAGAAAGGATTTTCAAAAGTTTGAGGATCGTAATTGTATGGCAAAGAATGTTTAATACAAAATCATTAAGTATTATTAATGGTCTCCATAATAAAAATAACATTGATGAAAACTTGGAGTTCACCCTGGATATGGAAATTATCATTTTTGGAAACACACTTTACATTCATAACTCAAGGGATAAAAGTTGAAGTGTTCTAAAATAATAAGAAAAACTTTATTTAATCTAAACATGTCCGGTAACAGTGATAGATAGAAAATTTGATAACACTACTCGCAAAATATCAATTGATTTCTAATTATTATAGATGTAATTTTGATAAAATATCTTACTTATTATAACTTATATTGCAACTCCATAATAATTTCAATTATGTGACGTTCAAATTACATTAGTGTCAAATTTTAGACTACAAAACTTTTGTGATCAGAAATATCATGATTCAGCTTTGCTTCCATAAGATCTATTGTAATGTCTCCAAAATTGGCGGTCATTTCACGTCGATTTTACAAATAAAAAAGTTTGTTAACATGAATTGTCAATACACACGGTGGTCCGGAAGTAAAAATATTCTAGGTTGAAAAAGCAAGTCCTTATCGAGATAGCTTGTCACGTAAAAAATATTCAAATCAATGCAGACTTTATAGACTTGCTTTGTGTCTTTCCGTCTTGATCATAAGAAATAAAAGTTACAGTTTCATTTTTTGTTAATTCTTTAAGAAAATATATTTCATCTACTTGTGTCCACCAAAGAAAACATATCATCGTTTATAACATTCATTAAAACCGTATTCCATTTTGTCATAGTCCTATGGGAGATGCAGTCACTCTATCACCTCTTCTATTGCTATGTTAAAACGGTTGTATACAGCATTGATTATCCCATCCTCTTTCATATCTTGATTTTATTCTTTATTTCCAGCGTTTATTATTTATGAAAAAGAGTAGTCTCCGTTCTCTAAAACCGTTGCCCCAGGAAAGGAATAAGAATCATGTATTAAAATAGCAAGCGTAAGGAGAAGCACACCCAGCTATAAAATTTGTAATCGGCACGCACAAATATCGCATCGTTCACAATTTTTTTAAGACCGCATACTCTATTCTTAATGCTGAGGAAATTGTAGGTGTTACAGCACATCTATTGTTATTTCATGTCAGATAGAGCTAGGCTCTATAGTACTATAGCGCCTAATTCGAAAGAAGATTAATTCAATTAGTCCGCTTTAATCCTCAGGATTATCATCATCATCTGTACGGCTACAATCCTCTGCGGGTCTTCGATTTCCCTATTTAAGTGGCCGTAAATTATAAATAATGTAAGTATTGAAGTCCTTTTCAAATATTCGCAAATCATATTAATCTCGCATGGGACTCAATACAACTTTGTCAATATTATCCACGAAATTGACTAGTAATAAAGGTTTTAAAGGACTCAAATATAGACTATGTGGCGAACGCATCTACACTCTTTGTAAGAAGACTACAACATTCACAAGCTGCAGATACATTGAAGCTACAATGAGGTTACGTCTATGCGGGCAATGAAAACGTTGCTATAGAAATGCAGCAAACTCTTTATCTAGATCCCTTATCTAATGTATCGTGTTTGCATTGCTATAGTCATCTTCCGAGTATTATCAAGTACGGAGATTGTCAACATAGACTAGCGACGTTATATATCCCCTCAGAAAATAATCGATAGATAGATAGACATTTCTTGCAACAAATTAACTATAGTATAATTACAACATGTTCCTTTATTATCCAAGAGGGAGATGTAATTACAAGATAAGGCATAATATGTTAAGTACATGTAGTAAAAAAGAAAGTATAGCTAAAAAATTAACAATAATGATAATATGTCACAATAGAGTTTAAAGATTAAGATGTGTTAGAATAGAATGTTGGTCTTAGCTCTCTGCGCTGCTAATCCTAGATGACTACTCCTAATGCCAGGTTTAGATATGGTGAATGTAATTCGATCAAGGTTGTATTAACGATTATCCGATTATCGATCGGATAAAAATCTATTTATCTATTATGTATACCTTTGAATCATTCTATTTATCATCGATGTTGATCCATTTAATCTCCACTTTTCTTCCCTTAAATTGATTAACGCAATTCAACTTGGGAACAAAAATTCTGTAATCATAAACGTATAGCACTAGCATCATTTTTGAAGAAATATAAACAGTGATTTCGCCAACCTAAAAAATAAATTAAATAGTGTTTTTTATGGTTTTGATTGATCCAACAATAGTGTATTGAGGTAGCCATTCAACCAAAAATGAATCTCACTGCTGACCGAAATTTTGCGGTAAAAATGAGGTTCAAGAGTAATCTTGTTTTTCGGCGCATTACGCGAGCTCCTGTAATTTCTTAAACCAAGTTCATTTCATAAAATCTTCCATAAAGTTGTTGAACACAGCTCTAATTACTGTGCACAATGGCAAATCGACTTATTCGAGTCATCTTATATTATATTACGCTTCACAGCATCAATCTCTGGACATCTCTGTTGATGCACATCAATTGCAATATGTTTAGTGCGAAAATTACTAATGGATATTAATAATCCTTTGTAATAAATATTTAACGCACAATGCGTTTCGAGAACTGAATCAATAATTTTCGTAGATTTGCATAATTTGCAAGCATTAATTCGATGTTAGTTCGTAGTTAAATGCCAAACATACTAAGCATTTAATGTTGCATATTTTAAAATAAAAATCTGTAAACATAATTAAAATGACACCATATACCTTTTTAAACTACCTAATTTGTATTCTTTTATCTTGTTTGGTTATTGCTTTTTCTTGTTTTTATCTCATTTATCTGGTTTAAGTTATTAGCTTCTCAGTTTTATATAACCTCCTAAATGAAACATCTTAAATGTTAAAACAATGAATTATTTCAAACTTTAATAAAATAATGATACCCGAATTAACAGTAATTCCTGATATCATTTTACACATTATCGTTTATTATAAATTTAATTGTTAGTGTCGATTTCAACTACAAAATTCTTCTCGATATTTTTTAAATTTAGTTTAGTTCCCGTTCCGGATACCCGTATAAATCGGTACTATCACATATGTATTTTGCAAATGTATATGAGTGAACTACCGCACTGCTGGTTTTGACTGCAAGAATTATGGCAAACAGCCAACTAAACACATATACGTTTACACCTATTATCTATTCTGCTACTTCCGTATTTTAAAAGAATTTACAGGCAGTCTTGTCAAAATCAGTTGTTCCACTATATGTTCTTGTTTCTATGTTCTTTCACTTTCTCTAAGAGTTAACGATTTTTAAACGTGATTCTATATCTGTTGTTTGACATACAAAATTGTATTAAGACTCACTTATATTATAAAATTCAGAATATACGAATCCAATTTAGATTAGATATATAAAAAACTTATATGAAAAATCCGTTAAAGCTTTTTTTTTATTTATATACCAAATATGAGTTAAAAGAGTTTTATAAAATGATTGCAAATATATTATATTTATGAGTATAGCATTTCGTACAAATTCATAAACCATAATGACCACTAAAGTTAATACGTTTGAACCTCAGTTTTACAGGCCAATATGGGAAAAGCCAAATGTGGGATAAATTGAGTTTATGTCAAATTCATATTACATGAGAAGTGATTTGATATTAAAATTTACAATTTACGTTAAAGAATTAATAAAGAAATGATTAAATAAAATTATAAACAGACAGTAATTAATAATTTAGGCTAATTGCCACACAAATAATTTCTACTTATATGAGTTCTACATACAGTGCCTATACACAGCTAGTTTTGTCAAATTTTTCGATTTAATGACCTCTACCTCGTCATTACTGCTTCTTGATATTGGCCATATCTACAATATGGTCATTAGAAAGAATCTGATATCCCGAATCGTCCTCTTATTCACCTAGCTCATATTGTACATCTTTTGTGGGCAACAGTTTTCTCGTCTACATAATTTAAAACTTAATGAAAACGAGTACCTTCATGACTTTCGAAAGTGTGACTTCAACTTTGAAGTTCAACTTTAAATATAAGTTTCTTCCAGCTATTTGCTAAAGTAAATCAAGTATCTTCAGGAATTAGCACTAGTAAATATGGCAGCAGTAATACAGCACCAAAAGTTATTAATAATTCAAATATTATATAATTAATACAATTATTGTTCTATTTTTAGAGAACTTATTTTTTTATTATTTTTTTTGCATAATTTTCTTCCTTACAGTAAAAACTTTATTAGAAAAAGGTGTGAATCCTGATTCATGTAATGAAGACGGTTTAACCGCTCTTCACCAATGTTGTATCGACGATAACGAAGCAATGTTAGTTTTACTGCTGGATTATGGAGCTAATGTTAACGCAGTGGATAGTGAAAAATGGACACCTCTTCATGCTGCGGCTACTTGCGGTCACATAAAATTAGTCAGGTACACAAATCGATCTAAAAAAAAATATCTTATTTTTCTTGAATATTTTTAGAATACTTATAGCCAAAGGTGCAAATTTACTAGCAGTGAACGCAGATGGAAATATGCCATACGATATTTGTGAGGATGAAGCGGCTTTGGATTACATCGAGGGCGAAATGGCCAAGCGAGGCGTAACGCAGCTTTTGATCGATCAAACGAGGGCTCACACAGAAATGCAAATGCTCACCGACCTACAAGCAATAGCCGCCGTTGGGGGTGATTTAGAAACTTATGATAAACAAGGAGCCACGCCAGTAAGTAATGATGCCAACGCAAAGTTTAATCTATAGAACTGGAAGGAGGAAAATGCATTTATTTAAATAATTTTAAAACTTTGTTCTTATATAACCTCGCAATTTTTAGCTTCATATTGCGTCCGCTAATGGTTATATAACGGTCGTCGAATTTTTATTGGAATATAATGTTCGTACAGATGTTAAGGATAAAGATGAATGGCAACCTGCTCATGCTGCAGCTTGTTGGGGACATGTAAGTAGTGCTTTTAAATTTGATTTAATTGAACTTTTATGATATCATGATAAAACATATGAGACATATTGAATATAGAAAGGATACAAATTTAATAAATTGTATGATAATAGTTATTATTTTGTCAATGCATTATAGTTAACCTTTTTTAAATACTAAGATACCTTGGAAGTAAGGGCAAAAGTGTTAAAAAAAGGCTTTATTGTCACTGAGAATATGATATTTTTTCTGCAATCATTTAAAATTAATCCAAATTGGTTTAATCATGTTTAAGAGTATCTGCTAACTTAGCAACCAGCTCTTTACCCGGCGCTTAAGTACTAGTTTGAATTTTTATTCTTTATTTTTAATTCAGTAATAAAAAATAAAAAAAAGTGTTAAAGTTTCAAGCATGCAACATCAACATGTTGCATGATTACCAGAAATTCGCAAATTTTACGACTACAAAAGTTATGGTGAATAATTGATTTAAATGTAGCTCTATTGACAAATTTACATAATATAATGTCCACGTGTATTTGTTATTAACACACAGTATACAGCAATTGGCTATGTGTTCGCCGCAAATTCGGCTTTTGCAAGCTGTAGAATACGTTGTTGTGTCATGCGCCTTTTTTACTTATGCTATAAAAGCCCACCTCAGTTATTAAAACTATCTATTCAATAGGAATTTAATGTTACCGTATTCATTACATAAAACACAGCCATTGATTAGCGAATTGTTTTCTGTCCACAATTTATATCGATATACATGGATATACATATATTTGGTGACGTGTGCCAGTCTATGTATTGTCGTAGTAATGAATAATTTAATCAATTCAATTCCATATGTCCTCCAAACCTATTTTGGAAAAAATGTTGTGGACTTATGTCATTTAATATAAACTATTATTACACTTTCAGAGCTCTCTGTTTTGAACAGTAATCAGAATCACAATATTTGGTGTTTTCATTGCCTAGACAAAGATGTATGTTTGATGATCATAATCATCGCAGCCACACGCAGAACTTTCAGCGCTAAAGTAAGCTGACACTTATCGCAACAAAAATTGCTAATCTGGCTATGCGTTGAATTTATGAAAATTTACTTAAGATCAAACTTGTATTTTGTACATAGCCATAGACTGACCATAGCCATGTAGAGAGAATAAACTCGTTCAAGTGTTAGCTCCAGCTGTATCTTCCAATGGATGCCCCATAAAAGAGCTTTTATGCAAGATTTATATGAGGTTGTCTAGGTTCCTATACTGCAATACTTTGATTTTAGTTTGGTGGGAGGGGCAAGAGAGGGAGTCTTTCGTAACGTAAGTGGCGGCGGATTGGGCGCGCAACATCAAGTTCATGTTTAATAAGAGTTGAAGTGTCTTTTCTGACATAAATCAATTACTACTTTAGTTTTCCTCAATTATTTTATGATAAGTGAATGTATATCAAAAATTAAGTTGAATTATTTTCCGTTTTCCTACCTTAGTTAATTATATACCACACTAAATATGTTAAAGTAATTCAAATACATTATTTTAAAAATTTGAATTATTTTACGCCAATTACGTAACGCGCAGTATGGTTGCGTATAAACCTAAACAACTTCTTATATACAAACCTTGGCTTTTATGTAGGTCATCTCTATATATTTACGTCTTGTACGGGTTTTCCCCTCATATCACGTGGAAACTATATTTACAGTTTCCTGCAGGATGAGTTCCATGAACCAGAAAGAACCAAAGTGGACAGCAACCTTGTGGACAACCTTGACTGGTCCGAAACGTACCTTTTTCCCATGAAATATTTTGGAAGCAACTTTATTGTAATGCATGTTGTGACCAAACCCGTTATAATTGATTGTATAATTTTTCTTCTCTAGAATATGCGAAATATTAGATATGACGATTCATGAAATGCAAACAAATGAGGCACATCTACGTAAGCAAATTAAAGTAAACGTTATATTATTGTGCAGCATTAAAATAGCTAGTGCTTTCATTCTCTTATCACAGCATACTTAGTCTATTTATGATATCTTCTGTGTCATATCATCTTTTACTTTAGTCGTACGTTGATCCTCAGCGACATCACAACTAAGTGATAAGGATTACCAATGATTACAGGCTGGTCCATGTAATCATTGGTAGGGTACCGAGTTGTGCGTCATTCAGAACGTTCTTTTGTTGACTGTTTAACTAGAAATATGTTAGTAGGAGAGAGCGATATAGAGTAGCAATTTATAAGTGAACCACTTCTAATTATGCAAAACCTCCGACAAGGGCCTTCAATTTATGATTTTGCTCCGCTTGAAAATGTTTAAAATTATTAAGGTGTCTCCATAGAAGGTGGACAGAAAACGAACCTCTGAAGATATTTTCTTATTTTTGTAAGATAACAATTACGACATACCACTACTAATATAACATTGTTTCTATTATCAGGAACATGAGTTTTTTATCACCGACGAAAAAGTATTAAATAATCATTGAAGTGACCTTTTCACATTTATTTTTAATTATCACATTCTTTATTCAATATGCACTCTTAACGTTGAAAAACTAAATTGAAATACACAAAAAAGAATACATAAGTTTAATTTTTAGTTGGACGTTTTGGAACTTTTGGTTCAAGCTGGAGCCGATCTGAACGCAAAAAACAAACACGATGAAACTCCAGCAGGTAATACATTAATTTATTTCACCTATTACGGTGAAAATAAAGAATAAATTTGTATGGATTATTACATCCATAAAAATTTATCATCGAAATAAATTGGTGTTATTACTTTCGCATTATTTTAGATATTTGTGAAGACCCAGAAATAAAAGAGAGAATATTACAATTGCGTAGTGAGCAGGAAACTCGAAGGCAAGCGGAAGCGCAACGAAAACGCGTTCGGAGAAGTCAAAGTAATACTAGAGCGGCATCGGTGCGAAGGACTTCCGTTAGAGACAAAGGTCTTACGCAGAGGCGAGATGCCGTTGAAGAAGCTAGACTTCGAATGCAAGCAGAAAATAAGGTAATTTTTTTAGTGACCATGAAATTATTTGAATCCCAATTTATTTGATTAGTAAATTATTGATAAAATAATATTTAGTGAAGCGTTATCAATAAATACGTTGATAACGAAATATGATTCTTGATTGATTACATTTTTTTTGATGGTCTAGTCTTGATACTCCACTTGAATTGCCCATTACTAATTAAATCTTATTTTTATGAACTTAAAAAAATCCGAATCTGTAAAATTATAGACAAAAGCCAATCTAATCTAAGGATTAAAAAAGGTTCAGTTGTATTTATTTTAATTTGTAATACCACACATTAATCATCAACAATTAAAATCTTGGATTGTTCTACTTTTACTTCTGTACATATACTATTTCTTTTATATAAGACTTTTAAATGAAGACTAATTTGCACGGTCGAAAAACCACCAGATGCGTTATAGAAATCAAGAGTATGTAATTAATTTCCCCATCACTGAACAATTGGGCTACTGTCGTTCGTCCCCCCTCGCTTTTAACCCCCCTAGTTTCTTTAGAAAAGTGCATACGTTAACGTGCTTCTTTTAAACTGTTTCCTACATCTTCTAATGAAATTTTGTTTTTTTTATATTTTTTGTTAAAATGACGTACATCTTACGGACCACGCGCAATAATAAACAACAATATAAACCACGTTTCATGCTTCCCTGATTGATAGAAATTCCTTTAGAGAAAATGCCGCATAACTTAACGCGTCGTTTTCTGGTATATCGCTTTCGACAAATTAAAAAAAAATCTGTGTGGCATTGTGTACGGTCAGTGTGTTATTTTTATTGCTTCTGGACAGACTACAAAGTGTAGTTAGAATTTCTTATTTGTTGATTCCATAGAAATATATAAATTAAAACATGAGAAGATGTAAGAAAAAACAGGAAGTTATTTGTGTTTCTTACAAAGTAAGTTATTTTCAAATATTTTATGATTTTTTTTCTTTTGTTGGAAGTAATGATTATTATTTGAATAAGTAATTATAGATGGAAAAGGTGTAATTAAGTTGATTTATGTTCTGTAAATTTGTAGATCAATGCCAAATAAAACTTCATGTTCAACTGAATGTATTTATAAAAAAATATTATTATTTGGATTAAATTTATAATTAGATATTTATAAGATATATCTATATTTACAGGATTCTTACAAGATTTAGATATATTTACCTGTTGTACCACAGAATAAAGAGTAACATAGAAGTGACACAAGTCAAATTAGTGATGGGGGCATCATTTTATGAAGCATTAAACATGATCGCATTGAAAATTTCATTTATTTAATATTTGACAACCACGACATATTAAGAATTTATATTTATAAGTTTTTCAAATCATTTAGATGGATCAAGCTTTGAACTACGACTAATAAAATCAGATGTGCTCCAATAACCATATTAATCCTTTATTGGTAACTGTTAGCACATGGTAACTGCATTTTTTCAAACCTTTTATCTGCCACATCTCTTTATACATCTCAGAAAATGCTCAAAATCATTTGGTTTTTGTAGGGTCACAATGTCCGATAAAGGTTGCAACATGCTTTATTAAAACCTCGTTAATTGCAATTTTTTTATATATTAACTATACTTTAGACATAACTTCACACGTTAGCCTTTTTGTTCCTTTCAACAAGATTCTCCTCTTGTTGTATTGTCTGGTCTTACAGTGAGAGGACAACTTATTATTGGCACATCATGTCCTTCAGAGCTTGGTAGAAATTTTCTGATCTTTTTGCCAGCATGAGCAAGTTGCACAATGTCCAATCTGAATTACTTGCGAGGTTTTGTTTTTACTAATGCCAAGAAATCATTACACATATATCCATCAAGTAAGTGAAGATTGGGAAGTACCACTACTTATCGTTAGCTTTATTTGGTGATTTGTGTATGACAATGAGAGAATTAGCCGTGACAACTTCTTACATATGCTTATTGTGATTTTTACAATTCTTGAGACTTTATCATCGAAGCGCAAATACCCTATATATCTAAATACGTTATAAGAAATCTTTGAAAATTTGATCTTCTACCAGCATCTTGTAAGCATGGGACATATTGAACTTTTCAATTGTGTATCATTTTGTAGGATAACATGATGATGATTAAGCAGATAATATTTTGTGACGCTTCTTGAAAAATATAGTAAATCAAAAGGCTTATTTGGGACAACATTGAGCATATGAAGTCTACCACCATATATTTATGGTGTCCCGCAACGATTGCACAATACTTCACCAGCATATTCTAAATGGTCCATTTTCGAGATATTCAAAGTTTTAGTTTCATTATTGTTAACATCATTAACAAAGATTGTTGAAAAAATTCCTTCAACCAGCATAAAAACAAGGAATATTTAACAAATTGAAAAAGAATGATGTCATAATACAGTCGTACGATATTTGTTGAGCCAAAATACCCAGAAAGAAAAAAATCAATAACAGTTTTGTGTTTTGTCTTTAAACTGTGTTGCACTTTTGGTGCAAAAATATCTCAAAAACTAATTAACGGATTTGCAGCAAACTTTTGTTGTGAAAAATTAAGTTATAAAAATATAACGTCAATTATTTTGAATAAATAAACCAGGTGATAAAAAATGGAACAAACAAAGAAACTTTTCTAGGATTAACCGACCCACAGCTCCTAATCTGATAAATTTTAAAAGTCGTCCTCAGTAAAAGTTTCACTATCAGTAACTGTAATAATTAAACTTGTTGCCACATCAATTCGAACCTCGTTTTCTAAATAATTATTTTCAACTTTAACAACATTTTGACAATACTTCAACCAATTTTCAACAGTAACGTAAATAATACGTTTGTCTTCGCTACTTTGATTTTAACTTGAGCCCATATCGTTAGGTAGGGACAATAACTAATCGATTTCCTTTAGATGTGGGTGATAGTAAACCATTAGTGCTATTGTCTGTCCAACTATTGGAACTATTATGACCTGCGTGAATGTAAGTTTAACCTAAAAAGACAATAGGTCCTATAATATTTAATTTTATCCAAATAATTCAACAAACGCTCACTGTAAGTATAAAAACTCACTTGCTATGCCGCTGCCAATGACTTTCGGGGTGTCGGATGTTATAGATTCCAAGAATCTGACGTAGTGGTTTTCTGAGAAATTTGGCTCAACAAATGTCGTACTGGCTGCACTTCTAAACACAAACGGATACGCTTTTTAACTGAACTTCTAATGCTGCACATTTTGAACTTCTTCAGAATAAACTATTTATGTTAAATGTTCCCAAAACCAAAAATCTAACGGATTTAAATCTGGTGAACGAGGTGGCCAATCCACTTATTGCTAAATTTGTCATCGAAGTATGTTGTGGTGCTCCATCATGCATAAAGTAGTAATCTTGTAGGATTTGCAGAGCTAATTCACCAAATGCGCCTATAAGCTCAGTTTGTAAAAAATATATGTAATTATGAGCTGTAAATCTCTTTGGAAGAAAAAATTGTCCTAATAACTGGTCACCTATAACCTACATTAACATTGAATCGATGATGAGTTTTTAGTATTGCATTCATCACTCAAAATGTGCGCATTATGGATATTCAAAATTCCGTTTTGAATAAATGTTGCTTCATCCATAAACACAATGTATGGCCCAAAACCTAATCTATCGTTTTCGCCATCATTTCCAATTAAAGCTTGAACAGTGTTGTAGTGATACGGATAAAGCAGCTCCCTTAAATGTTGTTTTCTTGTGCAGAAATCCTTCTAATGTTGGTTGAGGCATTTTCATCAATTCTTCTCAAAACCATTCATTATTAACTTAAGGTGAGTTTAGACATGCATGGATTTAGTGGCGCCAGTAGTTGCGCCAGTTCTACTTGCACGCCAGTAAAGGTTTGTTTACATTAGCGTGGCACATGTAAAAAATAAGTGACACGCCAGTTTCATTTTTAAAGTGTACTACAACTATATACACAAATTAGGACCTCAACCGAAACGAAAATAGATATATTCTAGGTTTAAGGTGGATAATTATACGTTATCGTTGAATGTGTTAACGTAATTGGGATTTAATTTGAATGCAATGAAACATAACCTAAATTTGACATTACAAAATTTTGTCTATTTGTGGACGCTCACCTATGTTGCCATGGTTACATGTTTTAGACTCATCACTGGCGCCAGTAATTTCAGAAGGGTGCAGACTTTTCCGATCCATGCATGCATGGTTTCAACTTGTATGCCAGTTGATGTTTACACATGCAATTTAATTTTACTGGCGCGCCAGTTTTTATTGGCGCCACTAAATCCATGCATGTGTAAACTCACTATTATGTAACTAAAACTTTAAATATCTCACCAATGGTTCATTTTCGGACCGCGCTGGTGAAGTATTGTACAATCGTTGTGGGACACCTGTATATTGTATGTTGTAAAAATATATCGTTGATTTACGTTGACTTTTCCTTTCATTTCAATAATGATAACATAGCAACTGATTTCTAATACTGATGCCACAATGAAATAGAAATTCTGAAAAAATCTGAAAATATGATATCTACTATGAAAGCAAGAGAAGTATTTTAAGCTAAACGAAGCGCGAGGAATTCGCAATTGAAAGATAAGTATACACTTGAGTAGATCGCTTCTACCGAATAAATCGAATATTGAAATTCAGCAGGAATATTTGACTTTTACGTGAAATGAGAAAATATAGTACTTGTAAAAGTCTTCCCATAAATGTTCCAAATTCAAAAAGTTTCCCAAACTGTGACAGTAAAATTTCTATAATATGTAGATAGAGATTTTCGTCGCGATTACTTAATATTATTCTATTTTCTTATTGTCTCTTTATTTTATTGAACCACCGCGATCGGTTAGAAAGAATACGTAAATAATATTGTGTGGGATATGGAGGCATAAAAATAGTAACGAGAATAGTAGTCACGTTTTCCAAAAATAATTTCTTCTACTCACCTTTCTACTTTATGATTCGATAGGACTACTAATTAAATATCAAATACCCACAATGGGTTGTGAATTCTATTTGCTTATGTAAATAGAATTACTTACGTTGATTCGGTGTATAGTTTCTATAATCAGTTAAACCCTACCATTAATTGTAAAACATGATATCTTATAAGTGTCTGCTACTGCAGTTCTTGCAGATGGTTAATTTGTTGAGGGAAGTTTGTATCATAGTTTTGCACATTTCTGGGTTACTTCACGAATTACTAACGTTTTTTCTGAACGTTCTACATCATTCAATAACGCATTCTACTTACTAAAACTGTAATGCCAATATTATTTTCAAAGAAATACGGTCCAGGTAATTCTTTGCAACTAATTTTTTAGGTACAATTTTGCTTCTAAATGATTTTTTAAGAAAAACTACTGGCTTGCATTTTTAATACTCAGTTAACGAATGCACGGCGGTGTTTATAATCAGCTGGGTGTAAATCTTGTTTAGCAGGATTTTGGAAGTCTTCAAATCATGATCATTGTGCAAAATACTTTGCGAACGTATTGGAATGAACAGGGTTTTCTATCTCCCTTGACGAACGACTATGTTTTAATTTTACATTGCTGCTCGAGCACGAGTTGAAATTTTCACATCAGTGATTATGATCATGATAGTTTACCAAGTACTGCATTAATTGCGATTCTAATTTTCAGTTAAAAATAAACCGTGAAACGAAATATCATAATCAGTCTTTGAGATATCTCTTAATGTTTAGTTTCTAAAATAATTATTGTTTATATAAACATATGTATTTTGCGAAAAAGATCTGAAGGAATTATTAAATAAAAAAAAAATATATTACAATGTAATTTTTAGGGTTTGGATAACGTTGAAGGTAACCAAATATCCATTCCAACACCACCTTCAACAAATGGTAGAGCACACACCGAATTGGATGGTAATAATGTTCGAGGTGATTCATTAGAGTTAAGGAAGGCCCCTGATGGTAAAGACTACGAGGAGTTGCCAGAGAACAACGGAGACGTAGTCGAATGTAAAAATGAGAAAACTTACGCGACGGACGTGAACGGTAAAGTGACCGTAGTGCATGTTGTAGTTACTATAAACGGGAACGGGACCCTAGCCGACCTGAAAAAACAGCGAATGCAGATTAGGAACAATAGTAGCTCGGACGTGAATAGTTTAAGTACGCCAGTCAGTAGCATGCCAGAGGCGGGCGAGGCTCAGACGAATGCAGTCACGGCCGCTGCCGCCGCCGCACAACAAAATGCTGACATTCTTAGGTTTACAGGTGATACAGAAGAGGTGATAGGATACTCCCCAGACAGGGGACGTCGATGCTGTGTAATACAGTAATTATTTTTTCAAGAAAATGAAGTGGATTACCAGAGAATAAAAATTGTTGGATAATGGAAAACTTTTGCAAAAATTACTGGAAAATGGTTATTTTATTTTCGTTTTTGTTTGTAAAACGTTAACTATATTTGTCTTTTTGTTTAGTGAATTCATAATAAAATTAAATCAGGGTGTTTGTAGTTAGCTAGAAAATTAGAATTGACCACATTATAGGTCAAATTCATTGAGATATAATAAATTTTTAAATAATGTCGTGAAAAAAATGTATTCTCAATAGAAACAAAAATTTAGGGTTATCCAAAATTCCAAATTAAATTTTTATATTTCTTCCTTGTAATTTTTCTTTCTTTACTTTCTTAGACAATTTATTAATTTAATAAACTTATTGATATTTGATAAGTCATTTAGAAAATCAAAAAAAAAAGATATATTGAACCCTTTAACGAACATAATAATTTTATGCATTTCTTTTTTAGGAAATAAATGATCCCAATGTAGATACGGAATTTGAAACAAACTACTAAAATATGGTTTACGAGTTAATAAGATAAAAAAAAGTATCATAAGACGTGTTTTCACGTCATCGTCCCTACTCCTATCACAATTTCTGCTGCCTAGCTATCAGGAATCAACCTGAGTTTAAAGAACTTGACAAGTAATTAATGATATATTGATGTGTTTATTGACTTGGTACATTCAGAGGTTGATTCCTGATCATTGCTGCCTAATAAAACTTATTGAACATAATAGTAAATATTTTTCACTTTATGTATTTAGAAAAAATTATTTAATTTATAAACGCGTTGTGTTCTTTAGTTTCTCTAGAACGTTTGAATCTTATCAACATCATGTATGTGGAAATATGTTTAAATTGTATTTTTTTATGGAGAGATCTGCGATTCGTGTAATGTCAAGATTAAATAATTTTGAGCGTATTTCTGATCAGTTTCAGTACAGTATCAAAACCAATTGTTGTCGGAAATGGATAATTCAGCATTATGTGTGTCATATGCAAAGCTCGTATTCTTCAGTTCCTAAATGGTATAACTTGAGAAGTTCATGTTACCAATCTCCTTGTCTTTGGAATCTCTGTTCAGTCTTCTTAATAAAGGTATTACCAGTTACTTTCCAGTTTTCCTCTTGTCTGTTCAGTCTTCTTTTCCCTCTCCACTCGTTTTCCTTATTACCCAGTCTTTCCAGCGTTTCTTATGTATCCAGCATCCTTCTTACTTTTCTAGTTTTTGCTCAATCCCATTCTGCCAAGCCTTTTTTTTCTCTTTCCAATGATTCACGATCACATCAAGGCAATTAGCTTGGTTATCTCGTTTAGTCTGGGCGCACGAGTTCAAAAAGTCTGCAACTATTTGGCGCAATGTTGCAATTTTTTCAAAGTTGCATTTGTCGAGTAAAATTTGCGAAACAAGTTGACTAAAGGACATAAAACCTGGACAAACATCCTCCACCGGCTTCTGTTCAGTGCCATCAGCTTTACTTCTCCCCTTTCTTTTCCATCTCCTTCATAATAGTCCTCTTCCATGTTGTCCTGGGCCTTCCTCTTCGTCAGCTGCCAGTTTAGTGCTTGTTTCGTGACATTGTTGTGCTATGTTCTTAGTGTGTGTCTAACCCACTTCTATTTGCATTTCCTTATCTCTAGTTTCATTTTTTTTTATTTCGCCTGTCGTAGGAGATTTTCATTTGGTACAAAATCTGACCATTGTATTCGTAATATCTTTCTAAAACTTCATGAATACTTGCATCACGTTTACTATATTTTAGGTCATCTTTCATGTTTCGCTTCCGTAGAATAAGATAGATTTTATGTTGGTGTTTAATATGCGAACCTTGCTTTTCCTGGATAGTTGAGGAGTTCCATACGTCCTTTAACATTCCAAACGTCTGTTCCTCCGTCTTTTGTTGCCATAATACCCAGGTAGCAGAACTCTTCAATTTCCTATATGTTTTCGTTGTATAATGTAAGTGGTTGTGCATTGTCTGTGATGATGTGCATTGCTGATATTTTCTTTGTATATATCTTTAGCCCTACTTGCCCGCACCATTCTGCTATTTTATTTAGTTTTGTTTACATGTCTGTTACAATCGGTTGCAATCTAGTACAATATTGAATAGTAGATAATCCTTGCTTCATTCCTGTCTTGACTAGTATTTGGTTACTAAACTTGCCCCTATACAGCACCTTGCTTTTTGCCTCGTGATACAGTGACTCTATAATGTTAATAATTTCGTCGGGATTCCTATTTTTCCCAAAATTTTCCATGCTTTAATGAATCGAAGGCTCTTTTAAAGTCAGGTATAGCGGGATCTCCATTCATGTGATTGTTCAATGATGATTCGGAGTGTATTTACGCGATCAACACACGACTTGTTGTGATGAAAACCTGCTTCTTGTCTCTATGACTTATTCTAATCTACTTTTTAAGATTTGGGCCAGTATTTTGTTGATGATATTTAAAAGTGTGATGCCCGCCAGTTTATGCATTTACTTAGGTCTCCATTTTTGGGATGTTTTATAATTGTGCTTTCTTTCCAACTCTCCAGCATAAACGCCATCTAACATTTAGACTTAGTTTTCCTGTCAAATATATAAATCATGTTTTATTTGGATCGCAACCACATAGTCAGTTATTTATTAACAACTGATTTAAATTAAATTACTTAACAAAATAAGTAACAACATATTTATGTGCGTTAAAGGGTTTTGCTTTTTTGATTGAATCTTTTTTAACTTCATCTTTTATGAATTAAATTTTTCCAACCAATTCCTATTTCTACCAATCCATTTCTATTCTAATGCCAATTTATTTTATTTTAGTTATATTGTTATAAAAACCGTTTTATTCCAACATAGCTTAAACAGTTTCATATTTTATTTAAATTAAAAAAAAATAATTAAAATCTTTTAGTTTTTTATATATTTTATTTCACTTTTTCAATCTAAATCTATAATAAGCTATGTTTTGAAAAAAGAATTTATTCATTTTATTACGATTTTTGCTCCACCTCATCAATAATACCTACTTATAATATGCACATAACGTTTCATAAAAGAAAATCTAGTTACATATCACTATTATAAATAGCACAACGAATTTATTGTAGGTAGTTTTTATTAACATACAAAAAAAGCTATACTTCAATAAAACACACTTCATTAAGAAAAACATTTAATCATGCACACGATGAAAGTATTATTTTAAAAGTATTTTTAATCCAATCTTGCGTTTAGTCCAATTGTAACTTAAACTTAAAAATTAACTAAATTATAAAGAATTTACTGAATTTAAAGACTTTGTTACTGCCAAATTTTGTTGTCAAACTCAAATACAAGTTTTTTAAAATCTTTTTAAATTAAATTAGAATGTAATACATTTTTAACTATTTACCGATTGAATTAATTGAAAATAAATTTACTAAAATGTCTTTCTGATAGACTGATTAAAACTGAATCAAAAATTTTTGAGGAATAATATTTGAAATAAAGAAACTTTAAGAGAACTGTGAAGGTGATTACTTCAGTTAAAATATAAACTACTTAAACTACTAATGTACTTAAATAAATTAAATAAAAGTTCACATTCCGAAATAATGTGATATTTTGAAACCATGTTTATTATATTCACATTTTGTGATAGAGTTTATTAAATTTAAAAAAATGAATAGATGAACGCAATAAGAATTTTCGATATATACATTTAACTTTATAGAGATAGATAATTTAGATAGACTAAAAAACAAAGCTGTAATACAAGGGAATTATTGCCTTACTCATTTACTGAGAAGTAAAGACGGATTAAAGTCGGTATAAACGAGTACCTATTATGATGTTATTATACTATGAATATATTTACACATGTTACTTGTTATCGTGAATAGGTTATTTTTATTATTATTTGGTGTACAATTGTAATTTACCCCTTTGTATTTATAATTTATTATTTCTTTTTAAATATAAGTTTTTTCCCCTCTTCCTTTATTATGTAGTATACGCTGAATGAATTCTGTCGCGGTTCCTAAAAAGAAAACTTACTACGTTTCTGATTACTTTTTGTATGTGTTATTCTATGAAATACATGTACTGATACAAAAAAAAATCTTTAGTATTTATCCTTTAATTGATATTCTTTTCAGTTATGAAGAATCTAAGGGCAGGTTAGTTAACGTGGAATGCTTATTATTTATTTGATATGTGATTAAACGTAATGTGCATCTAATAATGCAATTGCAGATTTGTTTGACAGATAGTCATTGTATATTTCAGCTTCAAATACATACTGGTTGGTTTATTTTATCATCTTACATTATTGTAAGATAAAACATAAGTCCGTGCAATTTGGGTTCAATATTTACTGCATATTTGTTTTAACTCGTTCAATATAGACAAAAAAAACATGAAAAGGTAAATTAGAACTTGGCTTAAAAGACCAAATTGTTATTGTGTGTATATGTTACGGGCCAAAACCAGTTCCAGACTGAATTAGTTTTTCTAGGTCACACCAGTTTTCAGGATTAACTAGTTCAGCCTAAGATAAACTATATTGGCCTGATAATAAATTCACTCTTCAAGCTAAACTAATATCACCTAGGATCTGTCTAAAGTCTAAATGGAAAAAAAAAACAATAAAGCCATACGACGTACAATGCAGCTAAATGTTGTTTTACCAAAATACAGATCTTTGTATTCTGCCTTAAAGGTAAGAAGAAGAATGCGTACTATACATCTTGATTGGTAGATCATTCTAGTTTGTTTATAATCTTTATTTGCGACTTGTTGATTTTTTGAGAGTTTGTATATAGTTCTACCCATGAAGAAGTACTTTGTGTAAAGATAATAATAAAACGGAACTTGTTATACTAAGTACTAAAAATGTGATCTTCTAATAACTTGGTCAGAAATAGTGGTGCGTACGAGAGTCTTGCATGGTCTCGTCTCGTTTTCGAGACGATACTCGGACAAGACAAGACCAGAGTTTCATTGGTCTCGTCTCGTGCATGAGATCTTGCGTCTCGTACGAGAGTCTCGCAGGTAAGTATTTTTTGCAAATAATATCTGCAATATTTCTGTAAATATTTTTGTTTCTACACGCTGGAATTCCAGTAATAATATGTTGAAAGTACCTCTTGAAGCTAGACATGGACTTGGTGCATTGTGTCAAAATGTTGTTGATTTAAAACCATATGCTCTTGAGGACCAAGAATGGATACTGCTAGAAGACATGTGTAAATTACTAGTCATCTTTCAAATACTTTCCAAGAAACTCGGAGGAGGGAACTACGTCAAATTACCTATGGTGGTTGTATGTATCAATATGCTAATAGATAATATTGAGAGCAAATTACTTTTTGCATGGGACTGAAAGGCAGATCAAAACGCTGTCGAAGAGCAGCTTATTGTTAGTTTTCAGGCTGCGAGAGACAAAATATTAAAGCAATATCGTAAAACTAATTAGATTTATGCTGCAGTTTTAATTCTCGATTCGCGGCATAAGATAGAAGTTTTTGATATGACAAAATGGAGCCAAGAATTAAAAGAGACTTCGATTCAGAAATTTGAAGATGTATACAAAGCTTATTTCCATCAATTGTTCGAAAGTAACGGCGTTGGTGGAACGAGAAGATTCTAGGGCAGAAAAGTCGGATTTTGTAATTGATTTTGATGTTTTGTATGCAGTAAATCCTACGTCTTTCGATGGAGAATAGATAATGCAATAGATGCAGAAGCTTCAAAAATATTATTCTATGCCTCGGTGTAATAAAGACACAGATATATTACAATGGTGCAGCAAAATTCATGCTTCTGAATTTCCTATTTTAAGTTTAATGGCACGACATCTCTTAAACATACCGGCTACTTCAGTCCCGGCGGAAAGATTATTCTCACATGCTGCATTAACTATAAGAAGAAATCGAAATCGCCTTAATAATAAATCTGCACGATGTTTGTTAAGCCTAAACGATTGGGTGAAAAACAAAATCATTTGCGACCGACAGGGCTGAGGGCTGTAATTCTCTCTTCAGACTCTTACATTATAGCAAGTATTTAAGTATTCCTTATTGCACTGAAACAATAAGATTATGCATGACGAGATTTCGATACTTTTATGAGACTCTTGTACGAGAAACGAGACGAAACTAGAGTGAAGGTTGCGAGACGAGACTTGACACAAGACTTATTAGTTCATCGGCGAGACGAGACAAGACTTTATGAAAATCTCGTTTCGTTGGTCTCGTACGAAACACTAGTCAGGAATTGTAACACCAATTGTATTTGTAGAAAATTCTAGATATTCTAGAAGAATGTTGTCAAAGTGTGCCCGTTACTAATGTTCGCTATGAGCGATTCTGAAAATGATACGTATTTACACTCACAATCAGTGAATTGGGAAAATCAGAAAAAGTGTTTTCAGTTGCAGTTAATTTAGTACCAGAACTCGATGGTAAAAGATACAATTATCGAGGTAAGTATATAGGTGTTTATGAATAATCAAAGGAGAAAATTCATTTGTAAGCTATTTGGTTCTGATGTGTCATTGATGCAGTTTCACTTTTTCCTTTCAGAGTAACACCAACGTTACATCATTTTTAGATGCTTCGAAAGAAAATTGATTTTATACAGTAATTCTGCTGTGTACATCACAGAAATATAGATAAAATGAAATAAAAAATCTTGGAATGGTAAATAAATACAGCAAGTTTAAACAACTTTTGTACAACAGCTTTTTCAATGTATCAAATTTTTTGTTACTTTTAATTTTAATATACAGTGTCCATCAAAAAGTCAGCAATATCCTGGTTTACTGTTCCATTGGACTTACGTTTCTGAAATTTTGTTTATGTGGGATGTTCATCTCAATCTTTTGATCTAAAATATTTTCAAGATGGCCAACATTTCCAGTCCGCCGAAAATAGACCACAAAATTTTAAATGGAATATTAATTAATTGTTTCGTCTACAGAATGGTTAAAAATTGAAGTAGTTATATAATATTAATCACTGAACCTCGGCCGCAAGCAACCTCGGTTTAATTAATCAAAATATCTTCAACTTTATTTGATAAAGCCGAGCCACCAAAATATGATGAACAGCTTCATCATATTGTAATAATGTATATAATATTGTAGTATTTAATTAGTCAAAAAACTGCATCTTCAATTGACAAAGCCGAGGCCGTGGCGCAACAATTTGATGTCCAGTTTTAGGTAGATATAATATTCAACACTGGAAACCACCATTTTTCAGCTTCAGCTTGAACAGCTTTAAAATATTTGTTGTAATTTTTTTAAGTAACGCCAGTTTGGAAAAAGTTTTAACTGTATACGAGGTCATCTGCACCACCACCGCCAAAAATTGCAGTAAACGATGAAACTATACGGTATCTACACTAAGCTACGTTGCATATGTCTTAAAGTAAGTGCCTTCTTCTTCTTCCTCAGCCTGCAATCATCTATTGCTGGACCTAAGCCTCTTTCAAATATCTCCATTTATTTCTGTCTTGTGCTGTTCTTAACTACTCTTACCCCGCCACACCCTTTACATCGATCCACCTCCTTTGCAGTCGTCCTGCACCTCTTCCAGTTTCTTCTGGTCTCCACAAGATTATTCTTTGTGTCCTTTTTTCTGTGTTTTCTCTTGTCACATGCTTGACCCATTGCCACTTAAGCCTCGCTATTCGACGCCTACATCTATCACTTGTGTTCTTCTGTAAATGTCGTTATTTCGTATCTTGTCTCAGACTAACTCCCTGCATTGCTCGTTTCATCACTCTTTGGGTTACACTAAGTTGTTCTACAGTTTTCCTTGTCAAGGCTATTGTTTCAAGTCCGTATGTAGTTACTGGCAGTATGCAGCTATCATATATCTTTTGTCTTAGCCTTCTCGGTATTTTTTTGTTTTTCAGTATAAATATGAGCTTTCCAAATGCTGCCCATAATAATTGAATCCGTCGTTTTATATCGCCTATGTGATTTTCTTTGCCAATTTTAATAGTGTGACCAACATATATGTATTTCTCTAAGGAGACGTTAAATTAGTGACTATCCTAGCAGAATCGTTTCTTTCTCCTTTCTCTTACTCCCATTCTACCTCACGGTGCTGAGTCTCAGATCCATCACTTGTAGCTGGACAACAGACTTACAAGGTCCATATAACCTAGAGCGACAACAAAAACCAAAGTCTAGTACTGCCTACCAATCTTCACAATCAAGTAGAGTACCAGACATTGATATCCAACAAACCTACAAATATATTATGTCTACCTAAAATAGAAATCTGTAAATTAGGTTTTCTATCTGGACGGAATCATAATTAATCTGATTTTTTTTTTAATTTTCGTTAATCTTTATTTATTGTACAACAACATTACAAAAAAATGTGTTAACTAATCATTATACCTAAATATATTATAAAAATATACATTATGTTGTACATAGATGGATGGCAAAATATTGTGCAAGTGTAAAAATAATATCTCAAAAAAAAAAGTTATTAGTAAAAAGTATATTAAGAAATAAAAGGGAATGTAAAAAAGCAAATAATAAATATGTTATCCAACATAATCTGTACACGTAAAGAAAAATAATAGTAAAGAATATCTTTCTATTTAATATCTTTTTATCAAATTCATCAAATCAATTCAAAAATTTGTCTAAAATTTTTTGAAAGAGATTGTTAAGATTTAATTAAGGCAAAATGTCTTAAACGATTTACGTAAATTTCTCTACGCAAAAGAGACATAAAAGTTAAGCTTTTAAAAGAATTATTTACTATTCCATGTTATCATCTGCACCCTCTCCATAAGAATAATCATCGTAATTCTCTTCGTCTATTGTATTTAGTTCAATTGAAGAACATTTTAAACACCTAAATAAACAACACAAATTTAATAAATACTGCGTGAAAATGAAATAATAAATTACTTAGATTCTCCAATTCCATAGTTGATACAACTATCTCCAACGCATTCACAGCATCCATTATGAAACCATCGAACGCTACTCGCCCCCATAGATTGACAATGTGCTCTACATTTTGAATGACTCAAACAATTGGTCATAAAAGCAACTGTGCAATTTGGAGTGGGTAACGGTTTTCCGTTTGGATCTGAGCTTTCTAAACAATATTAAAACATTTAATTTAATCGAAAACAAATAAATAATGGTAACTTACGTAATTGTAGTTTATAATCTTTTGTGCTTGGTGCAAATTGTAAAGGATCAAATTGAATAGCAAAAGTATAACTTATCCATCGATCTTCCGGGTCTGGTTGTTCGGTGAGTGCTGTAAATAATCCTGGGACTTTTTCTTGAAAATCCTCTATAGAAGATTGTTTGCTTAGTGATAAACCCGTATCATTTAATTTAGGGCACATATCTATGTTAAAAAATGATTTAGTTTTAATTAATTTAACGAAAACATTTTATCTTACCAACACACGAACAACATTCCGTAAAACTATATCCTAAACAGTGGAAACATTCTTTGCAACATGTACAATTGTTATAATCGCATTTACACGATTGCGTTAGCAAGCATTTGCTTACTATACTTCCACAAACTGCTTCATTACATGTACTTGATAGTTGTATAAGAAAGAAAGTGATAATTATTGATGCTGAAAGTATTGATACGGATTTCCACATTTCTTAACTAAAAAATTAATAAAATAATAATATTCAATATAGTGAAATGATTTTCATGAGAATGTGATCTTTAATAATTAATTAATTGTTAATGTGTAGTTTAAAAATAACCAAGTTAAAACTAACAATAACAAAACTGCAGTAACAATAATAGACATGTTTTCATCGGACGGAAAAAGAATAACAAACTTCGATTCTACGAAGAAAAAAGGTTAAGTGAGAGTCAATAACTTACACACTTTAATAGAATTCAAATAAAAATAGAATATGACATTAAGGAGGTGTTTAATTTAACACTTATTTTAGTTTTGTTCAAGAAAATTAAAGTTATTTTAAAATTTATTTTAGACACGAAATTTTTCAAGAACTTATCTTAAAAGCAAACAACATTCCTTAAATTTCTTAAAACGTTACGATATTTCTCAAGAGTTTCTCAAATGTTTTTCAAGAACCTAATTTAATTTTCTTTTTAATCATTAAATTTTGATTATGACTTTGTTTTCTGATTTTAAGCAAATTCTGGTCATTTCTTTATAATTCTGTGTACGTTATTTACAGGAATGTTATTAAAGTTTCTCGAAAATCATTAATATTAAATTTTATTTTCCTCAATTGATCTAAATCTTCGAAATGTTTATAGAACCATTATCGTTTATTTCATTTGAATTCCACGGAACCAAGTTATATACGAATCTCAAGCTTTTGTTTTTGAGTTATTAATTTTTATTATTATTCAATACGATTATTCTACAATTTTGTAACAGGTTATCTTCTAATTTTCGTAATATATCAAAATGTATACAAAGAGACATAGGGAGAAAAAAATTCATAATTCCCTTTATTGAACACTCAGGCAAAACAGTAAACAAAAAGAAGACCTGAAACAACTCAGTGAAAATCCGTCGATTTGGGACTTCTTTATAGGCAGATAAATTCCATCAAATTTGGTGGACATAACAGAAGCATTTGATCTGCATTCTCTGATCTGAAATAGATGAAGAAGTAACGAATAATGAATGGCAAAGAGAAAAACTAATTGTTTAAAATCTAATATAAAACGATTAAATAGGTATCAATGATTGATTTGAGTCGCTATCTGGCTGAATCATGGATGAGAGAGAGATTAAATAGTAACACTTTAGGTTGCAATATTCGCCAAAATATAAATAATATCCTGAAGATTTCGGACAACGATGAAGAATCTGAAAACAAGAAACGAAAAATTTGTTTCTTGTGCCGAAGTAGAAAAAGACGTATGAGCACCACGTACTGCAAACAGTGCAAACATGATTTTGTAGTGAGCTCAGAGAAAAATTTTTTGTTACCTGGGAATTATTTTGAACCATGTCTAAAACACAATCTTACTATGTGCAATTGTATTGTACCAATGATAACAGAGCATGCAGCCACGTGACATAGCACTTAGTACCACTAACCTTAACATGAATTTAGACAAAACCTGTAGTCACAACCACGAAAGAAAAACAATTTGCTAACTTTTAAATCCAAATTACTACTTTGTAGAGGTAAGGGACTAGGTTCAAAATAATTCATTGATACACATTGTACAATTTTTGCACGATATGTAGGTAATACATAATAAATAATGCTTTTAATACTAATTTTTATTTTTTTTTATAATAAATATTTTTCTGAAAGGTGGTATTTTTCGTTTAAGTCATAAAATTTACGATAGTCCAGTATTAACGCTCGTAGAAAACAGTTTAGTAATCTAGGATTATAGAACTGAACTGAGAATTAGGAAAGTTTCAAAACCGTACAAAAAAATGCCAGCAACTTAAGCGAGAAATCCGAATTAACAGCTAATAATGTCACTACTTCGACTATTCGCTATTGACAACGACACGTAAAACAAAAAGAACAGTTACATGAATCCCTCCCATTAAATTTTGATGGGGCGTGGATAAGATAAAAATAGAAGTATTTGTCAACTATCTTGCAGACATCTTCAGACCACATGATAAAGCAAGTACTGACCTTTTAGCTAACATCAAAATAAACGATGAGAGAACTAAACACAATTAGAATAACAATCAAACATGTTCCAGATTGCTGAAAAGTTGCAAATGTTAATATGCTGCCGAAAACATGGCATTAGGTAAGTCGCCCAATGATATAAAAGTCATACAAGTCAATATCATTGCTTCCTATCATGTTGAATGTATTCGAAAAGCTTCTGTTACAGAGATGCAACCACTCATACTTGGAACACCACTGATTCCGGACCATCAGTGTTGACATCTGTTGATTTTTGCGACGATTCGTAAATACATTATTTTATTCTACATATTTCTTATAATAAAATTAATAGTCAAAAGATTCTATTTCTATCTTAAAATCGTGATACAAATGTTTTAAACGTAACGTTTTTTACACCATCTGAAACTTATAACCGCTATTCCCACAAATGTCGCGTGTTAGCATCTCACCAGAAAAACAAGACCATCAGATTTTCAAAATGTTCCGATCTCTCCTCATTATACCTACTTGCAAACCAAGCATATACAGGGTGATTTATTAGCTCACCATCAAACTTTGACATATCTTTCAATTATTTACGAAATTTATAACACTTTAAAGTTTTCTGCAGCGAATTTATTAATAATCAGTAAAATCTAACAAAAACAATGTTGTCATTGTAATATGTCAGTTTGCTGTAAGGTTTAATTATTACATACAAGGAGGAACTCATAATGTACGTATAGCACTGAAGAGTATGCTGATATAATTTTCGTGTATGGTTTTTGCAATGGAAATGCTCGATAATCAATACGAGAATATCAAGAAAGATTTTCACAGCGTCATTTGTCATATTATTCAGTTTTTAGCGATTCTTCCAGAAGACTTCGAGAAACATGTAATCCTGCTCTAGCAAAAGCTATTCCACCGCATGTAGTTAATCTAGACGACGAAGAAGCTATAATTATTGCTGTTATTAATAATCGTTCCATCAGCACTCGAAGAATAGCACACAACATACATGTAAGTCAAATTTTTGCATGGCGCGTATTTAACCGCGAAATCTTTCATCCGTATCGTAAACAGAACGTTCAAGCTCTACAGCCAGGAGCCTCGTTGTGAAACATGTATTCTATCAGAAGGAGGCTATTTTGAACAATATTTGTAATATTTACGTGTTTTCAAAAAAATGTAGCACTTAATTATGATATAAAAATTAAAACTTTAAAGTGTTATAATTTCGTAAATAATTGAAATAGGACATATGTTCATAAACATTTTTTTTTGGTAATTGGATTAGCTATCATATGTCAAAGTTTGATGGTGAACTAATAAATCACCCTGTATAAATAGATTGGTATACTGAGGCGTCGTTAACTAATTGTATGTAAAGGATTCTTTGATACTTAATAAAAAATCAAAAATTTTAAAGCCATACATCTAAAGGTTGTATTTGACCTATTATGTCTATGTGATCTTTAATGGTGCTTCTTCAGTAATATTTTCAACACAGCATCCATTACAAGCAGCCATTAATACCAATGGTGCCAATTTTGCGTGTATTCTGACGTCATTTTTCGTGATTGTGATGCCAAAACAAATAAGTCCTATTGACTGTGATGCTGACGTTGTGTTTATTATCGTCAGTCCAAGTGTCTGAGATTTCTTTCGGCACTATTGAGAATGGAGAAGAAGCCTGTTATCAGCAGAAATGACAATCTTTTACAAAACTGATGGTATTTCTATCTATAGTGGCTCTAATTTAACTAACATGTCTTTTCTTCTTGCTTTTTATATCATTTCAGCTTCGTTCACTTTGGCTGAAATATTACAATCCTCCAAGTATTTTACCTCCTGCGTGATATCAATAGAAAGCTCTTCAAAAAGTGCTATTGGAACATATAACTTTTTACTTGAAAGGTTAGTTACACCATCAGGGATCTATCATGCTTTGTAATTTCGTAGGGATTTGTCTGATGAATATGGGAAAAGACACGCAACTAATATTATTTCATTACGTTATAAGTAATTATAAATATTTAGGAAGTGCTATATCTGCAAGCTTATTACAGGAGCTAAGAAACGATATGACTATATATCATATCGTCATATCATATAGTATGTATATGACTAAATTTTCTATAATATATTCCGCCAAAAAACCATGGCTATTTCCTTTTCCTTCTAACGACTCTTGAATGTGACGATATTGGTCCGCTGGAAATGCAGCATTAATACACTCTTTGATATTTGTCATTGCTATTGTTATAAGAATAAAATATTTTCTATATCTCCACTTTGTTGACAAATATACTGATGCATGTCGTATACAATAATAAGTCATTAATTTCGTTAATATATAGCAATGTAAGTTATTTTCGCCTTTAGTAAATGTTGTAAACATAGTGAAAATTGAATTCAATTCATGCTTTCATGTTGAATTTAGATTTCAGATGCACGTTACAATTGTTGCACGTCTTGAATTTATTACAGAATCTTTGTACGTTATGTTAATTTTCGCAAAACAAGAAAAAAGTGACGCCACTTTGAATTTAACCTGCTCATTAAATCTACGTGATCTGCATTAACGATGATTTGACCAAATAGTTAATCGACAAAAATTTTTATTACATTTTTTCTTAAAATATTGACAAGATTTTTAAACTACACTTTTCGAAAAACTTTAAATTAAGACACATAACAGAGCCATAAAAAGAGTATATTTTTTACAATTAATACAATTGCTGATACTTGGAACTGAATACTGATGTAGAACACTGATAAATAAATTTGAAGTTTCAGGAATTTCCTATTCAATAAATAGTGCAGTAAAATGAAAACTAGCAATGATTTCAATTGAGGGGATTTCAAAGAATTTATTCTAAAATATTAAACTTATAATTTCTAGAAATATGTGTATTAATCGAAAAATTTAATTAAATTTTAACTGATAACTTTCCCGGTTTCATAACCAAGTATAAAATGTGAAGTTCCACTTTAAGTGATGTCATGACATTTTACACCTACAACAACTTTAAATTTATGCTGTAAATATTATAATGTATACTTAATGAATTTAACCATACACATATTACTTGTATAATATAAAATAATAGGTTAAAAATTCTTGAAGATAACACAACACAACAATAAATAATAAATCTTAAAAGATAACGCAGATATTTATAATTGTCTTCGGTTTAAAGCCTTCCCGCAATCAAAAGTTTAATTTTCCAGCGATTTAAAGACAATGCCATACCGCAAAATGCCGATTGATAATAAATAACATTGATTTGATGAAAAAAATTTTCTTATCCAACTATTTTCAACCTACAAGATTTGCCTTTACAATACAAAACCGGCTATAATAATAAATTTTAAACACAGACGTAATTTGCAAATTAACCCCGGGGCGATAAGAAAACCTCCGTCGTCAGAGTGCTGACTGCGTTCTTGCCTTCTCCGTAGAAAATTCTCTCTCAAACAACACACTTGGAGGAGAACTTATACCACACACTATTCTCACCATCCACACAAATCTCTCTCATCTCAATTAACTCGCCGAATCTTACTCACCAATTTATAACGATTTAGAAAAAGTCTAAAAATGTTGTTGGTAAAAAATTAACCCTTGGATATTGTATGGGACACTATTGGTTGTTGTTCACCGAATCGAAACCTTTAATGAACCTTTGTAGCATGGTGCTTCTCTTCTGGAACTTGTTTTGCTACTGATGCCGTTCCCCACCTCCTCTTCTGAAGTCGAGTAGACTGTCTGGCGAGCGCGGCGTGATCGGGTCTTAAAAGAAAAAGATCGTAAGATAGATTATATAATGGAATTGAAAGAGATGGAACGCTGGGAATTCAGAATCACTGGACCAAGCTGGTCATGAACGCAAGTGTCTCTGCGCGGTGCGTTATTTGAAAATTCTTTATACCGATTTCATAATGATAATAAATACAAAATTCTTATTTTTTGCTTACAGATATTTACATAAATTCTTAAAAGAGAATTATTTCCAATGAAGTTTTAATATTTTATGAATGAAGAATAATTTGGATAAAATGTAAAGAACTTTTTATTCAAAAAATTGAAATAAAATGAACGAAAACTACTGCTCAATTGAGACATAATCAGTGAAGAATTTTTATGGGGCCGGCGCGTTGCAAGGTTGGTGGTCACATCTTGTTAAGGTGGGTATAAATTTGGGAATGCCAAAAGTAAGTTTTAGACCATAAAATTTTATCGGAATCATTAGAATTCGATTAAATATTATACTGTAAAAGTATACACTCATGTTAACATACATTCAGTAATTCATCTTCTTTATTAACACACAAATTCTGAAGGGAATGTTAATTTATTTATTTATCTATGTCGCATATAAGTTGCATCAGTGAGAGCATTAATTTCTACCCTAATGTCGGAAGTGCATTTTAATATTTATTTGTTAACGAATAATTTAAGTTAGTTTTAAGTTTATCATTCTAGTGAATCTCATTATAGGTGTTTGTGAGCAATATTTTCTGTAATACTGACATGAAGTGACATAATTATGTCATCTTGATCTAAATTTATTATTACTCACTGCCTAGAATAGACTAGAGCATAGGCCAGTTAGCAAATGGTATTGTAGAAAATGGTATTCAAGTATAGGAAGCTAAATATATTAAATAAAATCACCTAAATTATTATTTTTTTATACATTTTCAAACCACAATAATTTGTTACTATTCAATGTAGTTCAATAAAATCCCTTTAATAACTCAAAAGTCGGTGAAATCAGGTACTTTGGCCACGTCCGAAGGCCAATACAAAGACTGTTCAACTTAATGTCCGAAAAATCTTTGTAAAAATGGTCTTAATCTCTAGAAATGATGTTTTGATGATTGTACTCGCCGGCAGCTATAACTTGACATCCCAGTAATTTGAAAAAATCACTACACTGACTGTCGGTTATACATTTATTCGGAGGAATAAAACTGTTTTAGGTTTTAAAGTAATCTATGACAGTTTTCTGGCGTAGTGTACGAAAGTTTTTCTTGTGAAGTTCTTTATAAACTAGACATCCTCTGTAGATTTGACGTTTTTGCTACATGCTCGACTACAATTTATAGTCAAGTGCTCTCCTACAGACATGACACATCTTGGATACTTATTATAATAATATTATCACATTATGGCAAATTAGAGCTTCGAATGAGCAAATGTCGTTGACATTGTAGTAATTCCCTTTTAGGGTGCGGTGGTACAGGATAGATCGTATTCAAAAGGATTTAATCTAATGTCTTTGTTATTTGGCATGTTCATTATTTTAACGTTGAAGAACGGTATTTCTTTGTAGCCCTGTGATTCCAATACATTTTTTAATTCGTACAGCTTTGTAGATGGATGTAAGTTCCGGATAACAATTCGAAAAGCACAGTCTTGTTTTAACTGATGTATGTGATATTCAGTTTTCCTTTCAGTAGAAGTTTTAATGATTGCCAAATAATCATTAGCTGTATTTAATATATCATGTATCAACACAGATGGAGTTATCTAGTATATCGTACCTATTTATAGTTAGATTTGGTTTATTTAGCCACTATTATTTCAATGTACATTGTTTATTATGTTTATTACCAGAATTACCACCGTCTCCCTTAGCTGGTTTTTGCTTTCGAGAGTTTTCGAACTGCCTAAGATATTTAACATCTCTAGAGATATTTTACCGATATTACTGTTTAGGTCTTCATAACCGGAAAATTACTTCTAGGTCATGTAAGAGATACTTATTCATACGCATGACCTTGGCCTTGTTCTTTATAGGGAGTACCAATACCGATTTTATTTATAAAAGAAATAAATCGCGAGACAAGTACGTTTAAGCGAGTGTGAAAAAGTTACTTCAGATTGTTCTGAACAGGGGTTTTTGTTCTGTTATTGTTTATTACCACAATTTGCACTATTTTTACTATTTAGCACGATCGATATCAGCTAGATAGTGTTTACTCATCAGTCACCAGGGCCGGATTGTGAAATGACATATGAAACTTCAATCTTCATTCCGATAAAAATAATTGTGGTCTATTGTAGAACCCATCGAATAATTTGTCTGCATATAGATGCTGCTCCTGCTTAATAGTTGTCTGCATTAATATTCTTATAAGAACTCATATTTCTTTTGAAGAAATCTGCTTTGTTCATGCTCTAAGATTTGGCAAATCTATGGCAGGCTTGCGACGATTAAACTCAACGTTTGCTCACTACACTATTTCATTGATTATGTCATTTGTTATAAACATTTGAAAGCACTGAACTTTTTGTACTATATTTTGACCATAACGGTTTCTCTCTCTGCACGAATCACTTTCGGTTATTCTTTCCACGCAAAATTGCTTTTCCTAACGATTATATTAGATTTATCCTTTATCTTCTTCGTCTATATCGATTGACTCGTTTGATGAACTTGTATCTTTTAGAGATTCATTTTGAACCTCCTCTGAATTAAGTTGTTCATTGTTACAACCCAGCTTATCGTCTTCACACATCGATGGAAATGTAGTAGTCCTACACTTCGCTTTCCAACTTTACAAATTAAACATAATAATAAGAAACAACAACACGATTATATAAGAAAACACAATCTCGAAATTCAAAAGTTACGTAAATGCTTACTTGATACTTAGTTGATGTATTATTAACAGGATGTCTGTGTACGCCAACTACTTAACCACAGATAGTATTAAATAGAATCTATTAACATTTTAAAAGATTTATAAAAGCTATAAAAATAAATTAAGTAAAACCACATTTTTACACATAAATTGAACCCAAAGTGTACCCTCGCCTTAAAACATTCCATTATTTTCAATTCTTGTGAAACTACAGGTAGATATCCGAATTTCTACCTGACCTAAGTCCCATTCAATGACGAACACTCAACAACGTATTATGTAAAACCTCGTTTTCTGGTTAATGAAACCGGTAGGTCCTTCCATTTAATCATTATATTACTACCATTTCTTATTACTATAAAACACATCCACCCAAAGATTTTTTTTAGAAACCAATCAAATTCGTTTATTATGCAATAGTGTAGGTTTATTGACGTCTTAAATCCTTAAAAAAGTTGAATCAAAAATGTGAAATCTCAATAAAAGTCTCCCAATTTTATATATTTTTATATATAATTCTTTATAGTAATTTTAATTATTTTCTTTATCTTTATTTTCGCCTTTAGTAGCACCAGGCATCCCACACGCCATCAACTTTTCTTTTATTTCTTCTACATCAGTATCAGTAGAAGCAGCAAGATCGGTAAGGTACTTTAGAAAATTCTGATAATTAATTGCTCGTGTTTTGAATTTATTAAATGCAATTCCTGTATGTGTAGTCGTAATCGTTTTCATATCCAAAACTTTCGCCTGTCTCATCCAACGATCCGAACAACTTAATGTTATTGTTTTTCCATCCGATTTGTTATCGCCAAATCTTGCGAAATTTGCAAATTGTTGATCTAATGGAGCTGAACCAGCTTCAGTACCCATTAATTAAATCACGTCTGAATAGATTGTTGTTCTAATACGTGTATAATTTAACAGGAATGAGTTAAGCCGAAAACATGGTTAAATTAAAGTCATTTTTGAAGTGATTTTTGACAACTTTTGTCAAGATTAACCGATTTTTTTAACAAGCAAGTTCGAGGAACATTCGTTACGAACGATTTCCTCACATTCGCGTATTAATTTGTATACAACAACCGAAAATAGCCCGCTAACCGTTTTGACCGATACAATAAACTTGATTCTATAAATAATCGGTCTTGTTACAGTTTCTCGATAATATTGCAAAGAAAGAAAGAAAACAAGAAAAAAAAATAGCCGCATCAATAATATTTTTTGGATACCCAAGGTTACAAATATTCAATTAAATTCCAAAGACGTCATTATTATTAATGAGAACATCCTAACAAGAACAGAATCGGATTTAAATATTTTGGGAAACTCGTGGAAAATTTTCTTGTTAACTGACACGCCTGCTAACTTTGTTACTGTTGACTGTCATAACAGTATAAAATAATTTACAGTGTACACGCGTTAATGAAAAAACGAATCTGTTTGTTTTAATACCAAACATTTTAGCTGTCTTAAATTAAATTATTCAACAAATTACGAAATGTTCTGTTAATGCGTGCCTGACGTTACCACATTTGTTAACACGCAATTGCAATTTATCTTTATTGTTGTTTTACCGATCTATGATCAGTTTAACTATTTCTTGCAACGTAAGAACACAAAATGTTCGTTGAGAATAAAGTGGTTTTAGTCACGGGAGGTGCTGCAGGGATAGGATTGTGTATTGTTAAGGAATTATTAAAAAATAATGCTAAAGTATTAATTTAAAAGAAACAAAAATGTAATTAATTTTAAACTAAATGATTTCTCTTAAAGGTTTGTATTGCTGACATAAGTATTCAATTTGGACCGCAAGTCTTATTGTTAAATGATTTAGAAAAAGAATATGGAAGTGGAAGATGTATTTTTTGTAAAGTGGATGTTAGTGATAAAAATGAATTTGAAGGTGAGATTAAAATTATTTATTAAAAATTAATTTGTCATGAAATTTATTTCTCCTTATCTGCTTTGTTTTTTGTTATTACAACGTTTTTAACAATAAAGTAGGTTAAATATGGAATGTTTGCTATTTTAATGAAACAGCATTGTTTTAGATATGAAAAAAAACATTAATAAGAACATTCTAAGTTTCCTTTTTTTCGATAATCTTTACACCACTTGTTCGTTCTCATTTTTTTTGTAAAATAACTTTTTTTAAATTATTTAACTATATTTACGTTATCATTTGAGCATGTCGCCTTAATTGTTTAGACGATAGGCAACTAAACATGCAAAGCCGATTCATGTGGCACATTGCAAATTTTAAATTCAAATAATATAGAAAACACCAAAAAGAATGTCTCAAATGAATATTGCATGTTAATGAGCACGAAACAAAAACTTATTGTTTCAAAAAGATCGCGCCACTTTAGCTGCAAAATACAAAGCTCCAAACACATGTTATGTTGTCGATGATCTTAAACAGAATAATATTGAAGTGTTATGATCCGTTCATCATAAACTGCGAGGATTCTGACTCGAAAGATGATAAACATGAATTCAGCGATAAACACAAAAATGGAGAAGTCCTAAATTTCGCCATCAGGCAAAATATGATCATCAGCTCAGCATTTGTTCCACATAAAAGAAGACATAAGGCAACATGGATTATGCTAGACAGTCAGGCCCGTCCACAATTTTAATTTTCCGAAAAATGCAGAAAAAAGACTTTTTTCTGCCAATTTTTACAAACAAACTATGAATAATTTAGAACAAGTGCACAGACGTTGGCTAGTTTACAGCAAAAGTACTGATAAAGCATTTTGTTTTTGCTGCAAATTGTATGGAAATGACACTGGATCTCAATTATCCAACGATGGGTATAGTGATTCATTGAAAAATCAGCAATTCATGGTCAGAATGTTGGAAAGTGGACGGATTGTGAGATACGTTTAGCTGAAGCGTCCACTTGAGCACTTCGTTACCAGATTAAGGAAGTACACAATGCTTTAGAAAAAGTAGTAGAAGCGACTAACGACCCTAAAGCAAAAAGTGAAGCTCAATCCCTTGTCAATGAACTAAGGAGTTATGAGTTTTTAGTAGCATTAGCTATTTGATATGACGTGCTCTTTGCTATAAATAGTGTAAGCAAAAACTTGCAGGCTGAAAAAATGCACTTAGGCATGGCATCGCAGTTGCTTCAAGGACTGGTACAGTTTTTTGAGCAATTTAGAAATGAACTTTTGGACATAGAGCCAAAGTTTCAAATAGTCAAGCAAAGGAAGAAACGAAAAATGTTTCATTACGAAGAAGAAGATGAGCATGTTTTAGAATCTGCTGAACAAATGTTCAAGGTTGAGTATTTTTATTATAATTGTAGATTGTATATTACAGTCCCTTTCAAGAAGATTTCAACAAATTGCCAGTTACAACAGTATGTTTGGATTCTTGTACAGTGTAAAAGAATTAAAATCAATTGAACAAGGTCAATTGTTGGAAAAGTGCAAAGCCCTAGAAGCCTCTTTAAGTTTTGAAGGGCAAAAGGATATCTGTGGAAATGATTTGTTCACAGAACTAAAAGTTCTTCGTGGCCCACTTCCCGCTGAAGTTGAAACAGCTGCTGGCGTGTTAAGATTTATGAACAGAATACAAAATCCATATCCCAACACGTTCATTGCCTACAGCATTTTACTTACTATTGCAGTGACTGTTGCTAGCGCAGAAAGGAGTTTTTCTCGGCTAAAGTTAATAAAGACTTACCTAAGATCATCAATGAGCCAAGAAAGGTTAACGTCTTTGGCAACATCGATAGAAGCAGACACCACGGCCAAAGTCAATTTTGAAGAAATTATCGCTGGATTAAAAGCAAGAAAAATTAAGTTTAAGTAAGAATATTATTGTTAAAGCAATACTTTTCAGCGGATTTAAATTTGTTTTAGTTTAGTATTAATAAGAATAAAAAACAAATTAATGACAAATATTTAGCTGTTCTTTTTTAACTGAGATAAGGCACATTACAATGTTTATTTTTTAATGGTAGCGATATTGTGATGGAGGTGGGAAAGAACTATGATGGTAGGTAGTTTATGAAAAAGAAGAGTCGAGAGCTATTTATCTACATAAAGGCCCCGCAAAACTATTTTGCACCAGGCCCCGCATTTGCTAAAGACGGCTCTGTAGACAGTGGCGTGGCACATGAAATTGACTATGTTTTAAGAGACAGAAAAACAGCATCGAGCACTCTATACGTTAAAAGCAGAAGGACTCGCATCACCTATTATTTACGTTAAAGAAGATTTAGATTCCGAATTACAAGGAAAACCCCACTCAGACAGAAGGGCTGAACATTGAGAAGATAAGGCAGATGGAGGTGAGATGAATTGATACGTTCTTTATTCATTATTGCATAAATGACAACATTAAAATTTTTATAAAATACAACATGTATAGACGTTTTTTATGAAGTGAATTACACATTTACTATACATTGTTACGTTCTGTACACATAAATTTGCTGTTTATCGCGCATTTAAACCATGCCGAAAGAAATTATTCCAAGACTGAACACAAACATCTTTTCATGCTATGGGGATTGCAAGAATTGCAAGATGTTATCTAGAAAAAACAACTTATGTTGTAATTACTGATTACCATTCATTAGTAGGGCTGAATAATCTTGAAGATCCTCCAGGAACATTGAATAGGAGGCTATTTATCTACAACAATTTGATTACGCTTCCATCTGCCGTCATGATTGAGATCAGGTACTACTTGATACTGTGTCTTCTTTAAAGTTTCCTAAACGGACACTGAAAATGGTAATCTTGATAAATGTATTCAATCTGATTTTATAGATTTTACACGGCGCCGTTAAAAATTAAACGATATTTTTGTTGTGGTGTTGTCACTATGAACGGCTTAATCTTTTAGGTTACTAAAGTTAAAAAAAAACACATTAAGATTGATAAGAAAATTTATTTAAGTTTATAAGTGTTGTAAGATATCCCTTATGTTGTCGAAATACAGAATGACATTATAATTTTCGAAAAAGAGATGCGCAGCATGTTATTGGAGATTTAGGTAGAATGTATCAAATTAAAAAAGATTAGGAGCAAAAAAAGTACTTCATTCATTACTTTTCAATGGGAGCAGAGCGGATTTATCCAACCCAACCCTTATTTTATATTACAATATTAAGCAAACGGTGTACATCATAGAGCAAAATTATTCTTTATTTTATTTTCAAGTAACTTTAGTCGTCCTTTCATTCTTGTTTTTTTTTTAATTATAGCGTAGCATAACAAAAATTATGAGTCAATATGAAAATAATTTTTTAAATCTAATTTTGTCAAAACGTAATAATCAGTTAAAAACATAAAATTGTTCTATGCTCGTTATTATAGATTGGCACTAATTCTTTTGGAATAAATCTTCCTATTTGAGAATAAAAATATTAAAAAACATCTTTGTGATTGGATGAAAAACTCTAGTATTTATAATTTTAATATAAAATAAAAATTGTACAATATTGATTGATATGTTATATATAAAAGATGTTTTGTTTCAATTTTTGTAGCTGCAATGAAGAAGACCGTCGAAGAATTTGGTAATTTCGATATTTTAATAAACAACGCTGGAATTCTTGATGACTCCATATGGGAACGAGAAATTGAAATCAATTTGGTAAAAAACAAATAATATTCAAATTCTTAATAAATAAAAAAAATATATTTTTAGAAAGGTGCTATAAATGGTTGCATTTTGGCAATGGAACACTACCTTCCCAAATATAGAAGTACCCAAAAAGCTGTAATAGTTAATTTGGCATCAAATTTGGGAATAGAAAAACCTGGTGCACTTCCAGTTTATAGCGCGACAAAATCCGCTCTTATTGCATTTAGCAAATCTATATCTTCCGATGTTAATTATAATAGTCAAAAAGTCGATGTAATTACTTTATGTCCCGGACCAACGGAAACTATGCTATTAGCAAATTTTACCCGAAAAGGTTTAAATGAAAGATTTAATAATTTGTTGGTTCGTTTTTTGAATGAAAGGGTGACTACGTTACCACAAAAGTATGTATTTAATATTTATTCATTTCACATAATTTACTATTTAATAATAATCGAAACATTTTTAGACCTGAATGTGTTGCTAAGAATCTTATGGAAATCTTAAACGATTGTAAAAATGGGGAGTTTTGGGAAATCGAAGATGGGATGCGAAAAGAAGTGATTATAAGAAATCAACCTGAATATAAGTGAAATTAAACATCTATTTTGGTGATTTAATCACAAATTATAAATCATTATAAACTTAATCTTCTTTTAACATTTTTTTAAAAGACCTTCCTTGTCCGGAATAATAACCTCATTTATTTCATTATTTTCTATAACCCAAATTGTTCCATTTTTTGCATCACCAATTAATTTAATAACATATTCGGCTACCGCAGGTGCTCTAAAATAAATAGATTAAGTGGTTAAAATATTTAGTAATCACAATTACTTACTCTTGCATTCCTTTTATTGAAGCCAATTGTTGTTTTATAACATTAGAATACTTTTCAAGTGAAGTATTTGGTGTTTTATTAAATAGATCATCAAGTAATGCTGTTGCAGTGGGTCCAGGACAAATTGTAAGTATCTTAACGTTTTTGTTGTTTAATTGTGCTAAAGATCTACTTAATCCAATTATTGCATGTTTAGTTGCTGTATAGGCAGGTAATCCTCCACAAGGTTCTATACCTAAAGTTGAAGAAATATTAACAATTACCCCCTCTGATGAGGATTTATATTTTGGAATGTATTCATCCATCGCTAATAAACAACCATGTATGGACTCTTTCTATAAAAATAAATTTAATAATTATTATGTAAAATAAACTTAATAAATTTAAGTATTTACAATGTTAATATCAATTTCTTTTTCCCAAATAGCATCATTCATTATTCCAGCATTATTTATAATTATGTCTAAATTTTTGAAAGTTTCCACGGTTTTTTTCATTCCATCATTGAGTTCTTTTTTGTTGGTAACATCAACTTTAACAAAAATAACTCTGTTTTTACCATATTCTTTTGATAATTCCTCAACAATTTTCTGTCCTTGCTTCGCATCTAAATCAGCAATTGTAACACCCTAGAAATAAAAAATAAAATACAACAAATTAAATACAAAATCAACCTTAAAATTTAATTACCTTTGCGGAATTTTTTAATAACTCTTTTACATAACATAAACCAATTCCATTTGCTCCACCAGTCACAAAAGCCACTTTACCACTGATAAACATTTTTGCTTAAGAATTTTGTGCAATAACTTGATATAAATGTGTATTTAAATGTATACTACTTTATTTCACTTTGGTTGTTGTGGCAAGACCTTGCTTTAAAAGCAATCGTCCATTATATAGTTTCTATAATTTGCAAGTAATTACTTTTAAGTACAACTTTTGTTCTTAGTTATTTTATTATCATTTGCTTATCTAACGCAAATTGCCGAGCTATCGTGATTTGATGTTTTTTGATGAATGATGTAATAAATGAAATACATGCATGTTTTAGTTGTGAATTGAAATAATGTTTATTATAAGTAGGTCAGTTGTTATAAACAAGAATAATCTTATAACATCTCGTATCATCCATACTTATGCATAAAATGTAAAACTTGTACGAGCATAATTTTTAATTTAAAAAAAGGTGTTCTACGAAAAATACTAAAGCTGATGATACGTTATAGGATTTAACGCATAATTTTAGTAATTACATAACTAAATCATTAATTAAAAACATTACATGAGATTAAGATAAGAAACAGTTTTGAAATTTTCTTTTTAATAATGCTTATTACAATTTGGTCAAATTGCACTAATGAGCAACTTAGATCTAGCTTAATTTACTAAAGGTAACCCATTAACATTCATCAATTTAATTATATGTTTGGTTTAATTATTTTAAGTATACTAGCCTTATTATGTACATTCACACGCTCTCTTTTTTACACATATACAAGCTCTGCTTTTTAACAACACTAGCAGCAAGCTCACCAATTCAAATGGCTTTTGTTTTTACTTAATGTTTTTTTGTAGTTCAGTATTATCAAGCAATTGGATGGCCTCGCGATTGACATGACACTGTAGCCTTTTCTCATGAATTTTGGAAAGTTTGCTGATAGTTTTGTCATCGGTTTTCCATTTCTAGGTCCCTATGGGGGTCGCTGTTCCTAATATACTAAGGTGCATTTATCTAATGAAGCCACACAACTGAATACCATATATCTATATGGGATTTAATATCTGCTTATATGGCAAAATTTTGCTATGAAATCTGAAAATTACAAACATGAAATTTTAAGAACATTCAAGATCCAATACCTCAAGTTTGTGCTTCTAGTATATCAGCTATTCTTAACTTTTAAGTCCTTGTACAAACTCAACCTCGTTGACGTATGCCAAACTGAAAACAACAATTGTACAAAACAACCAGATACACTCGATAGAAAAAAAGATTTGCGGAGTTGCAAATTTGGAATAACAAAGTTCATACGATAAAATTTATATAATTATCAACCTTTACTGCGATAAGAGACAGTTCCAAGCTTTTTTGTTATATTAAACTTAGTCTTACTAGTGTTATATCATACCTTTATTATGATGATTATATACTTTTCTTATTACTTTTTCTTACATGCTGAAGTTTTATCAGACTCATTCAAGACTATTCATAGAATATGGTGTCTTGCTCGCGTAATTTCAGACTTCTTCTTATGATCTAGAATCTTGTCAATACAATTACAGATTTTTTCTTATAGTTTAACATTCGGTCAACTTAACTTCAGTATTATTTTTGAATGTAAACGTCCATTTAGTAAGGTGCCAGATATTTTCTTCAAGTCTTCAGACTCGCTAGTGCAACTGCAGACTTCGTCTTCCTGTTTAATATTCTGTCAGTGTAAATCTGGACGTTTTCTTGATCCTTCTAAATCCTGTTACTTGCATAGCGAAAGTAATGACAAATTAAATTGAAAAATAAACTCGTTGTGTACCCATAAAGAACACAATTATTAAATTTAGATCATATTTAAGAGAAACCATTTCAAACTCAGCATCAATTCTTCTATATATTTTGATATCATCATCATGCGCCAAAACGTGATAAGTACACTCAGTAGATTACAAATCGTGTATGAATAAAGTAAACAGAAGTGAACTCGGGTTAGACCCCTTATGCATACGTAAGGTGATAGCATAACCTATTTCATCGAAGAAAAGCCATTGTAGAGGACGTATATAATTACAGCGAATCACCAAGCCATAAATCAAAGTAAAACAGCAACTTAATAAGCATAATGTCATGATACATTTTATAAAATGCCTTTGCAATACGGCATAATTGGCATCATATTAATTCCTGCAATCAACATAAACCTCATAAACCCATATTGCAGGGGAGATATCAACAACCCAACCGATCGAAATATACGACCATATAGAACATGCTCAAAAACCTTACTGATGTTGGAGAAACAATCGCGCGATATTTGTTTATATCATTTCTTTCTCTTCCTCAAAACATGAATGATGCGTGTACGTTTCAATAGTCTCAAAGCTTACTAATGACAATAATACAATAACATAAATTGACTTGAATCCGGAAAATTAAAAAAAAATCTAAAATGTTTAGACAAAAAGATTTTTATTACATATCATTGATTTTGTTTTTAGCATTTTTTCAAAAGGCCGTCCTTATCCGGAATAATAACCTCATACTTTTCGTTATTTTCTAAATTCCAAATTGTTCCATTTTTTGCATCACCAATTAATTTAACAACATTTTCAGCTACAAATGGCGCTCTAAAAAAAATCATTATATATAATTTAAAAACATTTAAACCAAGTCTTACTCTTGCATTCCTTTCATTACAGCCATATAACCTTTCATAGCATCTGAATACTTTTCAACTGAATTATTTGGTGTTTTATCAAATAAATCTTGTAATAAAGCTGTTGCGGTTGGTCCAGGACAAATCGTAAGTATTTTAATGTTTTCGTTATTTAATTGTGATAAAGATCTACTCAATCCTATTATTGCGTGTTTAGTAGCGGTATAAATTGGTAATCCTCCGAATGGTTCTATACCGAAAATTGATGAGATATTAACAATTACTCCCTCTGATGATGATTTATATTTTGGAATGTATTCATCCATTGCTAATAAACAACCATGTATCGTACCTTTCTACAAAATAATGATTATTTTAATGTATTATAATTAAACGATTTATGTGTTTACAATGTTAATATCAATTTCTTTTTCCCAAATCGCATCATTCATTATTCCAGCATTATTTATCAGTATATCAAAACTTTTAAAAGTTTCCACAGTTTTCTTCATTCCATTTTCGAGTTCATTTTTGTTAGTAACATCGACTTGAACAAAAATAACCTTATTATCTCCATATTCTTTAGATAATTCCTCAACAACTTTCTCTCCACGTTTTGGATCTAAATCAGCGATTGTGACACCCTAATATATAAAAGAAAGATAATTAATTATAACAAATTAAATATTCTTCATTAATATTTCCTTACCTTTGCAGAGTTTTTTAATAACTCTTTTACATAACATAATCCAATTCCATTTGCACCCCCTGTTACAAACGCCACTTTATCTTTCACAAACATTTTAATACAATTGAATCTAATTGTAAATGTGTTCTAATTGAATTTGATTTTAAATTTGCAAGTAATGAAAGTTAAAGTCGAGATATTCTGCTACGATTAGTTGTTAAATGAAATTGTAGTAACAAAATCAACAGTGTTATCACTCTTTCTCTTATCTGACATAAATAACGAAGTTATCACATTCTAAAATATAATTTTGCTTTATTCAAACATTGATTAAAGGACATAAATTATTATGTTTTATAAATTTATTATAAATTATTTTTTTAAGAGATCTTCTTTATCCGGAATAATAACTTCAAACACTTTGTTTTCCTCAATATTCCAAATTGTTCCAGTTTTTGCTACTTCCATCAAACGTATTACATTTTCAGCTACAAATGATGGCCTAAAAATTATTATAGTTAATTGATCAAAATTTTACCACATAAATTTATTTATTTACTCTTGAAATCCTTTCATTACTTTTCTATAATGATCAATAGCATGAACATATTTCTCCAAGGAATTATTTGGCGTTTTAAAAATTAAATCTTTTAATAAAGCCGTTGTAGTTGGACCAGGACAAATTGTAATTATTTTTATATTCTCTTTATCTAAAGGTGGTTGTGTCAACGATCTGCTCAATCCTATTACTGCATGTTTAGTTGCTGTATATATAGGTAACCCTCCGAAAGGTTCTATACCAAAAATTGATGAGATATTAATGATTACTCCTTCTGAGGATGTTTTATATTTTGGAATGTATTCATCCATTGCTAATAAACAACCATATACGGTTCCTTTCTATAAGAAAATAAACATATTTTACTTTAATAAAGAAAAATATTTTATATTTACAATGTTAATATCAATTTGTTTTTCCCAAATCGCATCATTCATTACTCCAGCATTATTTATCATTATATCAAAATTTTTGAAAATTTCCACCGTTTTTTTCATTCCATCTTCAACTTCTTTTTTATTAGTAACATCTAATTTAACAAAAATGACCCTATTATTCCCATATTCTTTAGATAATTCATCAACAACTTCCTCTCCTCGTTTAGGATCTAAATCACCTATTGTAACACCCTAAAATTTACAAAGAAGAAATCAAATACAATAAATTAACTAAATCCTTTAAAATTACCTTTGCAGAGTTTTTTAATAACTCTTTTACATAACATAAACCAATTCCATTCGCGCCACCAGTCACCATAGCCACTTTACCTTTAACATACATTTTCACTAAAGTATTGTTGTGTTAAGGAAAATTAATGTTTATAAAGTGTATTTTAATTAAATTTTGCTATCCTTAAATAGGTTTAAAGTTGCAAGTAATGAAGGTTAAACTAAAGTCATTTTATTACGATTAGTTGTTAAATATAAACGAACTAGTAAAGTCGACACTCTTATATACACAATATATCAGATAAGGAAAAAATGCTTTTATCTGTCGATAATAACAAAGTTAGCTAACATGTTAGATTTATGTTTGCATAAATTATTGCAAATTATTATTATCTTTTCAAAAGCTTCAAAAACTTTGCTTTCCTCTATACTCCAAATTGTTCCAGATTTTGCTACGTATCACTTTTCAGTTACAAATGAGTCTCTACATATATTTTTATAGAATAAGTACATAAATTTAAGTTTGAAATTAAGTTTCATTAAGTCACTTAAGTTTCTTTATCTAAAGGTGGTTGTGTTAAAAATATAAAAATCTACTCAATTGTATTATTGCGTGTTTAGTTGCTAGATTCTACACCAAGAAGTGATGACATATTAATAATTACTGCTTCTGAAGATGATTTATATTTTGGAAGAATTCATCCATAGCTAATAAACAACATACTTTCTACAAACTTTCTATAAAAATAATTTTATAACACCTTAATAAAACAAATTTTTGTTTTTATTTACAATATTAATATCAATTTCATTTTCCCAAATAAAATCATTCATTATTTCTGCGTTATTTATCATTATGTCGAAATTCTTGAAAGTTTCCACTGTTTTTTTCATTCCATCTAACAAAAAAAATTATTCCTTGAAGTTTATATAAAGTGGTATTTACCTTCGAGTTCCTTTTTATTTGTAACATCAACCTTAACAGAAATAGCTTTATTCATTCCATATTCCTTAGATAATTCTCCTGCAACCTCTTCTCCGCGTTTTGTTCCAAATCAGCAATCCTAGAAATTAGTAATCTAACTAAATTAAATTATTTTAATTAAAATGTTGTGCCTTTGTCGAGTTTTTTAGGAACTCCGTAACACAAACCAATTCCATTAGCTCCTCCCGTAACAAACGCCACTTTATTTTATAAACATGGTAACGTTTTTATACTTGTAATTTTATTATACCATGAATACATTTTTGTTCATTTACTAAACTTAGTTTCTGTGTCGTCAATAATTATATTATTATTGATATCATAGACATTTAATTTAACCTTTGCTTTAGTAACTTATGAAGTTGAATACGTTATCGATAAACCTATAAATAAGATATGTTATAAAGTTTTTGAAAAGCAAACTATTAAAAGATATGACAAAAAAAGAAGAATATGATAATAAAACATACGTTAGAACGTTTCAACATTTTCTCATCTTGCTTTTTCAACGATTGTGTAGCAAAATCTCTAGCTTCCAGACTTTTTTTGTGAAAAAGCATAAATAGTAGTGGTTATTTACCGATACAAGAATCTCCACCTGTAACTCCACGATCAAAGTGACACATCGTAAGCATTAGTCAGCAAATAGAAGAGAAGGTTAACTTGTATGCATTGATTCTAACATGACCTTGACTTTGAAACCTTAAAATCATTCCAGGTGAAGATCATACCACATAATATCCACCTTGAGATTCCAGGAGATGGATCGTCCATTGGTAAATAGAAGTTAAGATCTCGCAGCAGTTGTAGTAAATGATCTTGAAATCAAGGATTTCACCTGCGTATTGGAATATGTATATGAGGATATTCCTTTGCATTTCTGGTTACAAAAGTATTATCAGATAAAATAACTCTTACCACCAAGCTCTATCGGCATATCCTTCAATAACAACAAGGACTTCCCACCTTTTGCTGGATATCTGGTTATTATTCAGGTTACCAAACCCGGGTTTTAATGAACATCACTATGAAGTACAATGGTAAGTTCTTTATGTCCCTTATTAGAAAAGTTATGATACGATATATGTAAAGACAGGTAGAACAGCTAGAAGACCGATGCACTGCAAGTTTCACGCAGATTTGGATTTCTGTAATCCACAGTGTCTGGTTGGAGAATGAAAAGCCTCAAATTCTCTTTTGGCCGATTCTGGAGCTATACAGACTACTTCCGGTTTGTGTGACGCAAAGTTTCTTAAACAAAGAAACCTATTGTCACATCACATTTATCGCAAATCACTATGTGAGGTAGATTAAAACGACTACAATATTATTTTGAACGTTGCTGCCACATTTTTTCGTTTTATGTGCACATGATTGATGGTTATGAAGTTTAGACTCTTCAAGTGGTTTTGAATTCAATTGCCTTTATTAGAGCCGTTTATTGTAGTAGTTGCAAAGTTTATTGGAACGTGAATTAAGTACCAGCATCAACTCAACATCAACTCAATGATCAAACTCAGCAACCAATAACCAGAAACAGTTTCGAATCCCATCACTTATCATAGCCAGCATATTTTCTATCGCCATTAAGGATGTCCATCATATGACTTCTACTATCACCATCCCATTATTGCATTTCATGTAATAGCCTAGCCCTAGACTCGTACGTAATTTATCACCATGCACCAAATAATAAGTCATTGGAGCTGACATTGATTTAATTATACTTCATTCGATCCACATTGTAGTCTTAGGTTGTCGTCTAAACTGCGTTCTAGTATTAACTGGTTAGAGTTTATAATATTTACATCAGAACAACAGATTTCTAGTAGGTATTAAGTTCTGTAATTTTATTTCTGATGCTAAAATTGATTTACTGCTTACAATATCCGCCCAAACATTTATTTATGGTTTTTATAACATCATGGGTGTCTCTCCATATTAGCGTACCTGCTCAATCCTCTATTCTTAAGGTGTATATACCGTGTGTGTGTGATCGTGAAAGTATTGATTAGGAAATCAGACATGTTGAAGAAAATGTTGTGTCCAAAGATTATGATTTTACATATTTAGCAACCTTTATCTAACTCGCTTCTGTTGTATAAACACAAAATTCAGCACATTTCAGTTTCTCAGCTATTCGAACATTTATGTATTCCACATTAGACAACCCTGTTTTTGATGTTCAAATTCTGCATCTCACGCTTGTTAGCGATCATCAAAGGATTCGTTAAGTTGTCCCGAGTCACTTGTTGCAACGAACTTGCTGGTAATGATGAAAAAATACACTTGACCCCCTAAAGCTATGCCATTGAAGCTTAAAACGAATGAAACTTTAAAATATGGATATCGTCTGTGTTCAAATCTATATTTATTTCGATTATTACAATGTCCCTCACACAGAATGTCCCGCTTTTTAGAAATTTTCACCGAACTATAATAAACTTTTGTTTTCAGCATTTCTATGTCAATTACTGTTACTGTGGTGCAACTTTATTTTACATTATTTTAATAAATATATTTAATCCAAGGAGATCGATTGTATTTAATAAACCTGTAAATAACAGATTGTACCAAATTTTGCACTTTGCAAAAATATGGTCTTATCTTAGCTCTGCTTTTCTATAAATAAAAAAGATCAAAATCTTGCGATTATTTAAAACCGTATATTTTTCCATTCAATTTAAGAAATAATATAATTGTTTGCCTTACAATTTATCATAATTTTTAACGTCTACTTAATTTATTATTTAGATATAGCAATAATGACTTTATAAAATTTTACATTAATCAATCGTTTTGTGTTCTACGTCGCTTCCTTAAAGTTCAATTACGAAAGTGTCACCCACACTATTTAAATAAAACAGAATCTCTTTGAAAGATAACAGCAAAAAAGTCGTCCTTGAAGTGATAAAACAAAACTGATTGTAATTTAATATAACTACACAGTTTACGACTTTCAGTATATGTTTGAACTGTAGTTAACAAAATGTCTATCGAAAATAAGGTTGCTCTTATCACCGGAGGCGCTTCAGGAATTGGATTAGAAATTACCAAAGAATTATTGAAGCATAATGCAAAAGTAACGTTTTTATACAATTTGAAAGATATTGAAAGTTATCAACGGTACAAGTTTTTAGGGTGTGGTTATTGCTGATATCAACGATAAAAGTGGGGAAGCAATTACTAAACAATTAAATGAAGAATTCGGATTGGGAAAAATAATTTTTGTGAAAACAAACGTTGCCGATAAAGATCAATTTGAAAATGCAATGAAAAAAACTGTTGATTTTTTTAAACAGTTTGATATTTTAGTAAATAATGCTGGAATATTCAATGATAACTTATACGAAAAGGAAATTTCAATTAACTTGGTTAAGATTGTATAATTATGTAAATAATAAATGAATTTATAAGTATTTTTTAGATTGGAGTAATCCATGGGTGTCGATTAGCAATGGATACATACTTAAAAAAGTATAAATCCTCTCCAGAAGGATTAATTATTAACATTGCGTCAATACTTGGTTTGGAACATTCAGAAATGACACCCATTTACACAGCAACTAAACATGCCATAGTTGGTTTGAGCAAATCCCTTGCAACACCAATACATTACGAAGCAACAAAAATTAAGATAATAACAATATGTCCAGGATATACGAACACATCTATGATGATAACGACGGATGACCTCTTTTTTAATACCCGATGTTGTAGTGTTGGACGCACGTTTAGTCAAAACCTCGTCGTACAAACGTAAGAATGATACGAATCAGTTACATAAAACTTTTAGGTAGTTCCCTAATTTAGTTTTTAACATTAACATTAATTGTTGTAGTGTAGATAATATGGGTAAAGTAATAGCTCCAATTATCAACGAAAGTGAAAATGGATCTATTTGGATTGTTGATGGTGATAATGTTTCATCAGTTTATATACCGGAAATTAAGGAATTAAAGAAAATGAAAATATTTTGCAATGAAATTGGTGGATTCAAAAATAACTGATATCGATATTCTTTAAAATATTATATAATTGTGTTTAAATAACAAACCTGTAAGTTTTATGATTAAAAGATTATTTTAAATTTAATTAATATGTTTAAATTTTATTTTGTCTAAGTATTGACTTTTTTACAAGGGATGTGTGATTTTAAAACATTAGTAGACACAAATCGTATCAGCCTGAAATAATGCCAAATCCATAATTTATTGCTAGAACTTATTTGTTTTCCAGAGATATTTTGAATATAATTGTTGAAAATACAAACAGAAGTATAACTCAAATGAAGGAAAAGTGTCTGTTCTGTTCCTATAGCTCTTTAGATGTAGATGTCCAACATTCTCTCCAGCGTTTTGGCGACCTGCCTTGATTTCGTTATTCAACAGGGTTATTTGTTTTGGGAATTTTTGCAAGTATACCTTCGTCCATTCTGTCAATGTGTCTTTAATATGTTACTTTATTGTCGTAAGTCATTGGTGTTTTCCATTGTACATCCACGCTGTCTTCTATGTTGATTCGGTTCTGCTTTATTTTTTCTGTTAATCAATTTTCATATAACTATTTCAGCTTTCATCTTCCACTCTTGTCTTCAGAGACTCAATATTGAGTTTGTGTATATATTGTGGTTTTGGTTTTGATGTACGGGGATGTTTATTTTTATTTTGCAAAGTATCAATTTATGATTATGAGTATCATCTATGCTTGTGATGATATAATTTGACACACATTGTTGCTCCCTTGTATTTTACCACGGAATAAACAAAATAAGAATATTTTGTTTGTCGCGGAGAACATTTTTAGCAAATGTCCATTGTCATTACCAGTTCAATCTTCGTCAATCTTTGGGTTGTATATTTTACGCTGCATTCTCAATTCTGTCGTTTTATTACAATTTTATCATGTGTTCTGATCTTGTCGACGACTTTTTCTGCTTATAAAACTGCTTCGTCTTTACTTAGGTCTGGTGGAGTCATCACAGATGATAGTGATAGAGAAGCACTGTAACTAAATGGCAGAAATGATGAGGAATGCTGCCAATTATTATAACTTCTTGGAGGTTTTTATTCTCATTGATTTGAATGGAATTAAGACATAGAATACCCAAACTTGCCTCAAAAAGTCATTTTTTTTTCTGCGAAAGCTCGTTAGCTAGAATCTAATATCAGTAATTTTCCTCCCAAACTTTTGCAAGTGTCAGAATCTTGCTATCAGGGTTCGATAAGGTTTCCAAAAGTTAACATACTTTTTCCAAAAGGAAATTTTGCGCCGAACCTAACGAAATTGGATTAAATTCCTTTCTATAGTTTATCCATACCTATAACTAAGATGCATTATCTTCTTTTTGGACCTCTCTTTTGTTGTTCCCGGCTTTATACTCATTAAAAAGGATATGAGACGGTCAAATATCTGAATTTCTTTCCACCTTCCTAGAATTTGATTTGTCGGATTCCAAAGTTCTGCAGATAGTTCATATTGCTCCATGAAAAGCATCTTATTTGTCATCACGGGAACCAACAGTATTTCCATTAATTTTATTTTCACTACTTTTTCACCGACGCATAACATATATTTTTCCATTGTATTAATTGACAAGTTTTATTATTGTTGGTGTATCTTTACATATCTTAATAGAGTATTTCGAGCTATATAGATAACGTCATTAACAGAATGTTTATGTACTTTTAGACTTCAATTATTAATTAATTAGTACGATTACTTTGCACTAATCAACAAGTACCCAGTAATTAGCAGATCTAATTAAATTGTATTTTCAAATATTGTAATAAAATGGTTATTTCATTACGTAATAATTGGATCAATAACTAATACAAATAATTTATCAGGAAACGATATTTTTACTTTTTATCTTTTATTACTAAGTATCTATATAACATAAATAATATACATTTTTATTGCTATAAATTTTTTGATAAAGTAAAAATTATTTTATAAACAAAATTAAGTGATCAATTTAAATGATATAACCACTTAATACGAATGAAAAACGAATTAAAACAATTCAAATTACTACACCTAAATACATTTACTCTTTAGATTCTAAATGACGAGTCTAAATGATTTCTTCTCAAATCGTTTTAATTTTCTTTAATTCTTGAATTGGTGGAATAAAAACTGATGCAACATTATCGCCATCAACAACCCAAATAGATCCATTTTCACCTTCAGTGATAATCGAAATCAATGCTTTACCTACATCATCCACACTAAAAGAAGTCAAAAATAAAACAACTAACTTAATCGGTGAAGTTTCTCTTTCGAATTTTGTAGAATTTTCTTTCTTTACCTTTGTAATTTTAATGAAGGCTGATCAATATATGCACGTAAAGCCTTATAACATCGATCATTAAAAAAATGTTCTTCTGGTAACGTTAAAATTGGGGTATTCGTAAATCCGGGACATATTGTAATTATTTTAACTTTTGTTGTTTCATAATGGAGTTGTGTTGAAAGTGATTTGGACAAACCAATGACTGCATGTTTAGTTGCGGTGTAAACTGGTAATGCTGGAGAACTTTGTAACCCCAGAACGGATGCAATGTTAATAATGATGCCTTCGGAAGAGGATTTATAGTCTTTTAAATATGTATCCATAGCTAATCGACAACCATGAATTACACCGATCTAAAAAATATTAATTAATAATTATATTAACAACGTGTTTATTCTTAATTATAAATATTAACCAAATTAATTGAAATTTCCTTTTCGTATAAATTATCATGAAATATACCAGCGTTATTTACTAAAATATCAAAATGTTTAAAAGTTTCAACCGTCTTTTTCATTGCATTCTCAAATTGATCTTTATCAGCAACATTTGTTTTAATAAACATAACTTTTCCCTTTCCAAATTCTTCATTTAATTGTCTGGAAAGTTCTTCGCCTGTTTTGTCGTTTATGTCAGCAATGACCACACCCTATAGAATCAAAATTTAATTCAAAAATCTTTTAAATACCATAGTTTATTGTATTTTACTTACTTTAGCATTATTCTTTAATAACGCTTTTGTAATCCCTAATCCAATCCCTGAAGCACCCCCGGTTACAAGAACAACTTTCTTTTCGACAGACATTCTGTTAGCAACACATCAACTTGGTAACGTAAATCGTAATGTACACCAAGTTATAATCGGGCTTATTTTATCGCGTACTCAATTAATCATAAATCAGCTATGGAGACATTTGTTTATTAAAAAAATGAGACAAGACACTTATGTGAGATAAAATTACATAACATTATAAATGAAGGTTATTTAACCATTGCGAATTTTAAAATGCAATCGTTTAAATAATGTACAATTTCGGTTAATAGTGACTAAAATCCATGAAAATGCATTTAAAAAAAGGATAGTTACAAATTGGGGTAGGAAGTGTAAGTTCCCTAATAATAATTAAATAATTATCTAGGTCTATGGTTACTTCACTATACCTATTTGGTTCAACAAGGTCATCGTGCAGTTCTTGATTGGTTACATAACGATAAGCATTGGTAATCTAAGAAATTTCTCTATTTATTTAATTAGTCTAAGAAATGCGTTGTTTTGACTACGTTGGATTAATTCATAGGATATAACCATAGGATAATTCATAGGATGGCTTAGAACTGATAAACTAGCCTCTTTAATTGCAGATTAAATTGGGAGCATCTACCGACTAAGTATGTTTGTCTACTTTTGAGTCTAACCTGCGAAACTTCGTGTCTAACATGATGCCTCCAGTTTAATATGCTATCAAGGTGAAGGCCGATACATTTTGTTGATTCTGCTTCAGGGCCTTCCTGAAGTCAAAATTGATGTAGACCAATTTCTAGCTGTTAACCTAATTTTTCTTCTCCCTAGTCCATCTATGAATTTTGTTACTGCTACTTGTTGTTTTTACATAGCTTTCATTTGAGTTGAGACTTTTACCAAGTATATAAAATCCGTAGAAAGTATTCTTGAAAAATTGTTAAGCCGCATCCGTCTTCTGGTCACTTATGAAATAAAGCTGAAATCCACCACCCCCGTCTTTTCTTGGCTACTGAGAATAACGGCTTTGGCACTACATGAAGTAGGATCGCCGCTGTTGGTTAACATGTGATGCCAAGATGGACAGAACGTGTTAGCTAATATTTGTGATGATACATATTTGTGATAATGCTTTGAGAATGCAAACCCAATCTGCCAAACAATTTTATTTTATGCAAAACCTTTATGAAGAACATGACACATAATACTTTTCTAAGTTTTGAACTTTCAGCCAAACAGTTGTTGGGTTGAAATAAGATTTGGCTGAGTCGGCTATTTATACCAAGTGTTCATCGATAAAAGGTAAAGGACAATGATCAATTTATTAATGAGTGAAACTCCACAGAAATTATTTCTTGCTGTTTCTAATAAGTGAAAATAATAAAAACGTTTTCAAAATTACGAATCTACTCCTTCCATTCTTTAGACGTCCGGCGTCCTTGCAACTAACTGTTAATTGCAAGAACATAATTTTATTACTTAAGACATGCACAAGACAAATTCAAACACAGAATCTCAAAAAACAACACTAAGCATCAGAGCCCTAAACGAATATACGTTAATAATCTTAGAAACCAGGAAATGAGGGAAAGCTTTGAATAAAAACTGGTGCCTACTGATACCCGTCAATTGAAGAACAAAAGAATAGCATTAGAAGAACAATAATAGAAGCAGCAAATGCAAAATCTAGGACAACAACCTGCAAAAAGAAAAATAAGTATCTGGTTTGACGTCTCCTGCAACCAAGCGATAGAATACAGGAATAAAATACATAGAAAATCATGACAGGAAAGAGCTGAGAAAGAAGCAGAGATTTTGAGAATGCACGAAGTAAAGCAAATAAGGCATACAGATAGAAAGAGAGAGAATTTGACAATCAATTATTACAAACAATGGAAAAGAATTTCAAAGAATACGATATAACAGAAACATATGACTATCTGCAAAACAAAGAAAGCCAAATACAACATGCAGAGCATAAAGAATACCTACATTTCATTTTTAATATATTCCTAGGTATTCCCTAAGAAGGAGAAAGGACAGAAGAAACAGATCAAGGCCAAATGAATAGTTCCAGAAATGGAGACACAAAAACATCCATCGACAAAATTGAAAATGTTATCATTTCACTGTAAAACATCAACGCTCCAGTAGTAGACGAAACACCCCCAGAAGTGTAAAGGTAGTGAACAACTGCTGAAATGCATCTACACATCAATGCTAAATATATAGAAGATAGAAGATATATAGAGAGAAAAAAGAATACACAATAATAATAATTATATTATTATTATATATATATTTATATTTATTATTATTATTATAATAATAATAAATAATATAATTTTAGGCATAGGAATCTGACAGATGGGCATAACATATGCGGAGATGACTTCATCAACAGGGATAAACTATACTTTATACTGCACGAATTAGGAATCCCACTAAAACTAACAAGGCTAATAAAATCGACTATGAAATATACGAAGGCGGTCGTAGGGGTTGAAAACACTATTACTAAGGACATATCTTAAGGGCATATGGAAGATCACGGCTCCAGACAAAAGAGCATGGAGACAAAAATTGAAGGACATCAAGGCTCAACATGGGCCGTAGAACCATTGAAGAAGAAGACATGTACAAAGAATAATAAAACGTAATATCGCTAAATTATTATGATATTTTGAGTAAAGTATTTAACACTGTTGTGTATTATGTTTTGACGCCCAATGCACTTTAATTTACCGTGTTCTAATTAATCATATTTATAAATAAATAGTGTCAAAGTGATAACATTTGAACGCATTGATAAAATAATGCTGTGTACAAGTTACAGATGGTGTAATAATACATTAAGTTCAACGCTTGAAGTGTAATTAACAAGATGTCTATAGAAAATAAAGTTGCTCTTGTAACCGGTGGTGCTTCTGGAATTGGACTAGAAATTACCAAAGCATTATTGAAAAATAATGCAAAAGTAACTTGGAAAGTCTATTTTAAATATTGAATTAATATTCCGTTGTTTAGGGTGTGGTTATTGCTGACGTCAATGATAAGCGAGGAGAGGAAATTACTAAACGATTAAATGAAGAGTTTGGAGCAGGAAAAATCGTTTTTGTTAAAACTAACGTCGCTGATAAAGACGAATTTGAGAACGCAATGAAGAAAACCGTTGAAACTTTTAAACACTTTGATATTTTAGTGAATAACGCCGGTATAATAAATGATAACTTATATGAAAAAGAAGTTTCAATTAATCTGGTTAATATTTAAAATTAGGAATAAAAATATAATTATTAATGTTTTTTTTTAGATTGGTGTTATGCACGGTTGCCGATTAGCAATGGACACATATTTAAAAAATTTTAAATCGTCTCCTGAAGGATTAATTATTAACATTGCATCCATCCTAGGTTTAGAAGGTTCTTCAACACTACCTTTTTATAGCGCAACAAAACATGCAGTGATTGGTTTAAGCAAATCCCTTTCAACGCAACTACATTATGAAACAACCAAGGTTAAAATAATTACAATATGTCCCGGATATACGAATACACCACTTTTAACATTATCAGATGAACATTTATTAAATTATAAATGTTATAGTGCTTTATGCACATTTATTAAAGATCCCTCGCTAGTACTACAAAGGTAATGTTTGACATATTTTCACTAAAAACAAATTATTTTATACAAACTTGAAGATAAAGTTGTCCATCACCTTAGTGATAACTAATCAATTCTTATTTTGTTTTAGTGTGGCAAATATAAGTAAAGCCATCATCCCTATTATTAATGAAGGTGAAAATGGATCTTTTTGGGTAATCGATGGTGATAATGTCTCGTCGGTATATATTCCACAAATAAAGGAATTAAAGAAACTTAAAATAAATTAAGAATAAATGTCTCGAATATTTTAATATCAATAATTGATGTCAATTATTGTCACAATAAATGTCATAATAATTGAGATGAATATAAATCCATTTTAAAGAATAATTTTTGTTTAAAAATAAGGGGAAAAAATTATAGAAATTTATATAAATGGCTCTTCCATTGAGTACCTTATTATTAAAACAATATTCTCTCCTAAAACCTTTAATAATAACAACTAAACGTAAAAATTCTCAGGGTTGTAATCGTGTTATGACCCCACCAGATGATACTTTAGCCGATAAAGTTGCTCATATAACAGGAGCAGCTTCCGGTATTGGACTTGTTATAGCTCGAGAATTTCTAAAGCACGGCATAAAAGTTAATAATTATCAAAAATAATCTTATTTCAAGATCTGTGAATTGGAATTTTTAAACCTTTTAAATTTTTCCAGGGAGTAGCAATTTCTGATATAGACGGAGCCCAAGGTGGTGCTACATTATTACAATTACAAAAGGAATTTGGAGCAAATAGAGTGATTTTTACTCAAACTGATGTATCTTGCATGAGTGAATTTGATGGTAAATAAATTTTCTTCTCAATTATTATTAACAGTAATAAATATAATTTGTAGACGCTTTACAAGTCACAGTAGATAAATTTGAAGGTTTTGATATTCTCGTAAATAACGCTGGAATGTTAGATGATAAACAATGGGAAAGAACAATTCAAGTCAACTTGGTAACATTTTTATTAAGTAATTTAAATACTTCTAAATTTTTATTAATTTAGGTCGGTGTTATTAACGGTTGTATTTTGGCAATGGAAAAATATATTCCAAAATATAAATGTGGCGATGAAGGAATCGTAATGAATATAGCATCTATAGCTGGATTACAAAAAATTCCAACCATTCCAGTATACGTATCAACGAAACATGCGTTAATTGGTTTAGGAAAATGTCTTTCAGCTGATTTTCACTATGCAGAAACCAAATCTAAAATAATCACAATTTGTCCTGGTTATTATGCCACACCATTAACATCAGATTATTTCCGTGGTAGAACGTTGCATAAACGATCCGAACAAGTTATTTATGATACCATGTCAAAACCTGATTTTCCAATGCAAAAGTAAAGCAATTATATAAATAATATGAACCAAAAATTGAGTAATGAATTTTTAGGGTTGATATTTTTGGTAAATCGATCGTTACTATTATAGAAAGAAGTAAAAATGGTTCTTTTTGGGTTATTGATAAAGATAATGTATCTGAAGTGTATTTACCAGTAATTAAAGATTTGAAGAAATTACAAAAAATTGATGTATGTGAGATGAATTAAAATGAAGAGAAAATTAAGTCTTTTATTAGTGAACAAAAACATGTTCAATATCTTTCTGTCGTATTAACATGAATAGCAGAGAAGATTGCGTTTGCCTTACAACGATAGCATCGCTAAAACAACAGAAACTAATTCAACCTTTTTAAATTTTTTGTTTGGGGTTTGTTTCTGGTTGTATTTAGTATGCCTGTGCAGTACATCTTACTAATTATTTAAGAGTGTCTTATATCTAAATAATTGTTGTTCTAAATAGCCTAGACGAAAGCCAAGTTTGTTGGACAATTTCCAATCGAAATCATCTAATTAATTCAATTATTTCTATTATTTCAAAATCACACCACCATTATTTGTATTTTTTGTACTTGATGTTCTGCCGAAAGAGTAAACGTGCCATACACCTTGATTCATCATTTGACACCAACTTTCCAGAATGGTAAAGTTGTACCATTTTGTTATTGAGAAAATGTATAATCCGTTCTATTTTAAAGAAACTATTTGTGGAGACCTCCATCAGCGCATTTCTTGCAAAATGACAGATATAGCATAAGGATTAAGAAATGACCAGTAAATTATATAGCAAATCAGTGAAACTGTTTATTCTTCTTTCTTACGGCATTACAGTCCTTAATGAGCCCTGACCTCCCTTATCTTCTGCCTCCATTTCCCTCTGTCTGTTGCTTCTTTTCGCCACATTTTCACCACCAGCAGCTCAAGTGCCTTCCCAGTATTTTCATGGCAAACCACCGGTCTTTTCGCATGCATTCTAGCATCCTGCTAAAATGTCTTGCCCATAGCAGCGTTTGAAGTTTGATGAACTGTGCCAGGAAGTTTTTTTCCGAGGAGTTGATATAATACGTTGTTATCTCCAACCCTCTACGTATTGTGTTGCACACGTTTTTATTACTATGTTTTCCCTGCCAATGTTCATCTGTGTTATTACATATTCCAACTTGCACAAAGAGAGCGCCAATCCATCTTCCTATTTCAGTCCTCTTGATATGTTGAAAATCTCGATCTGTTAGTTTTCTATCCATACAATCGTCGTTGTACCACCCATACTCATTTTTATCAATCGTATCATGGCACTGTTAATTCGTCCAATATTTGATATTGTTTATTTCGATCTATAAAGTCATAAGCCTGTTTAACGGCAATGAATACGTTGTATACGTCGGTTTCGTATTCTCACGCTTTAGATATATTTTTTCGACTGTTGATATTTTACTTATAGTGGACTAATATAGTCTGATATTTACCAATAATTTCTTTAGCTAATTAAGATGTTTGTTGATACTATATGTCAATATTTGATGAGCAGTGCAGAGAAGATATTCCGCGATAACTTGTAAGCCTATGTTTGCTTCCTATTTTTGTACATCAGGTAGTTGATGTTCTTTTCCAGTCGGTAGAGCTTGTTTCATTCTGCAATATCTTTGTTGTGAGTATGTGTAAATATTCTTTTAAGTGATTGTAGTTTATATATTTCTGGAGGAATTTCATCAATGCTGCGCTTTATCATTTTTTTTGCACATTTATAGTTTCTCTACCTTTATGTAATGCCGGGGGTTCAATGTTTTCTTTCTCCTGGTTGACTGCCTTTATCGTGTAGTGTTTTGTTTCCCAGTTCTCTCCCCAATAATGTTTGAAAGTAATAGATTTCATTTCTTGGGGATTGCTGACATCCTCCTCTTGCTCTTCTGTAGGGCAGTGGACATTTATTAGTGTTATATTAAACAAACTAGAAGAAACTTTCTTCTTTTTTTTAATGAGTCATCTCCTAGGGTTCCAGTCCTAGGCATCACTTTAGGTTCTATAACTATATTTTTTTACGGTAATAGATTGCCAAGATCAAGTTGTCCTAGCTGCAAAAATTCTTCAAAATGTCTCAAATAATTGCAATTGTCGAATCCCGTTATTTGTTTATCAAAGATATGTCTCTCTAATTTTTTTAGAGCGATTTGCGCGAATTATAAATTAAAAAGAAACAGAAATAAGCCATGCCGGGAGAGTGGAGTTTCGTTCAATCAGAAAATATAGTGTGTTCCAGACAGGACGTCGCGCCTTTATTTTATCTACATAATGAAATAAAGACGCTCGTCCTGCCTGGAACACACCAACACATAGCATCATTCCGATTAGATGGAAGCCAGCTCTCCCCGCACGTCTTATGATTTCTTGAAATGTTCAGTGATTACTACAAACTTTACCGCAATTTTGTTGTTTCGAGATGTTGCGAAGATATTGATCTCTAAAATAAGGGGCCTTGACTTTTGGCACGAATCACTAGCAATCAGCCAACCGGACTTCATGGCAAGAAAGTCTTTGTTTGTTACGGTTTCACAGCAAGTAATTTTTCATGATCGTATTATAAGCAAACATTTTGTAAATTCTTGACAACCAAAATCACTTGATCTTATTACAACGAATTACTGAGGGGTTATTAAGAAAAATGTAGTGTTTAGAACATGACTAATAACGCTACTTAAGCCATTACATTTAAAAGAATAGTCAAAACCAACATTTATTTCCTTTGGGGTTTCTTCTTTAACTGAGGTTAATTTAGCTGTCTTTGAAATCTTTTCTTTTTCTGTGTCTGGTTCTTGTATATGACTATATCAAGATTCTGTTTTTTCACTAGTTGCAAAATGTGCTGACAATGACCTGTCAAATGCTAGTTTTCCATTGGTCGTTTGCCACATAAAGAGTTTACTCACCAGAAAATCTCATTACTCTTGAAGGACAATATGAGCCAAAAATATTTAACTGCAGGTTGTCTATAAAAACAATACACCAACTGTTTTTAGATCTACACCCAAATGCTAACGACATAAATCTTGATATCACCCTCGTTTAGTTCAAGGTCTGACACGTACCAGACTTGTGACTTGTTCGCCAAAGAAGACGGTTACTAAAGATAAAGCAACACTCGAGACACTACAACGAGATAAACTTTACCAAACTAAAACAAAAACAACTTTAATTATTAAACTTTAATTACATAAAGGACAACTCGCTAAGTCATTATACTCAGAAGCCCCTTTATTTGAAAGCTTCTTTCATCATTATTGAGAACAGTAAAAGAAAAGATAAATTCTTAATTACGAAGCACAATGTATGTGTGATACAAAATAGATAAATAAAGGGAATATTGAACCGTTTCCAAGTCACGTAATTTATGTTTTTCTTGATATAACCTAATTTAGTTGACCTAGTCTTCTTTTTGCTAATGATACAAACTATTTTATGATTTTAAATTCTTATACCAACAATTTCTTACAACTGTTACCTATAGTTTATTTATTTTTTTTAAGTTTTAACTGTTCCAATCGCTTTTTAATAGTACAAAATTGATGAAATCTTAAATTCTCTTGAACTAAACAATCAGATAAAGAAAGTAATTTAACTTTTCCCAAACCATGATTGACCTAATTTACTACTGCAATATAACGTTTTATAAATTTCATGTTAAGCCGCAATTAACGTTATCACGTAATAAACGGAACTATCCAACACCCTCAATCTGTCAAAGTTAATAGAGTCTAGAAACGCCTCCGGATCGCTATCCTATCAGATGCGCCGCGACGCTTGAAAACGACGACGCCGCGAAAACGCGTGTTGTTGATCGCATTCAGTTTACCGTGTGACTCGCAACGAAACCGAAACGTTTTTCAAACCACGTATAAGCAATCCTGTTGAATCATTTTGGATAGTTTATTTTATTATATTAAAAAAACGTAAGTTTTTCTACTAATTTTTATGTAAGGGGTTTTAAGAATTTTTTTTAATTATTATCTAATTTTGGAAACAAAAATGTATATTTAGCTTTTTAAATGTTAACGACTAATGGGAAAATACAGAGAGGGAGTAAAATCTCGTGAAACATCTAAAAATCGATAAAATAGGGGTTTGCGCATGCATTCATCCTCAGTATAACACAAAGGGCTTTAATAAAAAGTACAGTTTTCGATGTGTTTAATCTTTCATATATTATTCATTGGCCTTTGTGTTTAAAATTTTGTGATTGTTTCAAATTTGTTTTTGGTGATGATATAATACTACGTTTATATATATTTTTTTCTATAAATAGAAATGACCACTTACGGCGACAATTATTACCTTGTTGTTAATTATTCCGTCATAAGTTAAAGGGATATGCCACATTCTTGTCTTATTTCATGTTATCTATAGCGATATTATCTTTTATCAGTGTATAAAATGTTATGGGGACGATATAATATTTGCTCTACTCTCAATCTCTCAATACGAAAATTAAACATTGTAAAGTAATTAAATTTTTTTTGAGTACTTAAACATTTTTCTTTCTTTTATCTTGACACAAATTTTGCGTTCTTCAAAATTACATAACATCATTAATTTTAAAGAACTTACATAATGTTGTACTGTAAATAGTGACATCATTGTTTAAAATAGTAAAATCGATAATTAAACAAACGTTTTTAATTTTTTATTTTTGTTTATCTAATCATTACTGTTTTTTAATATAAATTAAGTATGTTTTTGATTTTGTTATTTTATATGTTTGTTTCGATTATATACTTTTTATTATACACACATATTTAAAACAAACTCAATTTTGTTTTTAATTAACATTTAAATTTGTAAAAATGTTAAAATTTAAATCATTTGTTTGATTAACATTTAAACGAATCATAATAACACATTTTAATAACAATAGAATACAGGTAAACAGTGAAAGTTGAAAAGCGGAATGGAATTACAGATGTGTAGATTTCCGACACTTTCATCTATGTTCTTGAATAGTATCGCGTATTAATCGTCACATGTAGTACCACATACCATATAAATACCATCATACCATCGTTATACTAACCAGCATATGCAATCTCGCCATTTATACTTTTTCAGATTTACTAAAAGCTCCCATTTTGGTCCAATGATAAAATTTCTGCCTTTAACCACTTTTTCTTTTTTTGTTCAAAACCCTTTTGTGTTATAACATTATAAGTTTCTGTAGAAATGATTAGAAAAATGAGTGGAGTGATTGATCGAGAAGCCATATCAATAAGTCAACTGTTAAATAGTTAATTGCAAAATTTGAAGAAACCAAAACTTCTAGTGTGGATCGTATGATTAGTGAAACTACTGTTAAAAACCCGACAATTTACAGCACCGTTTTAGTAATTGGATATTTCGAGAAGCAAAATAGCAAGAAGTCAAAGCAATCTATACAAAATTCAATTTATACGATAATTAAAGCCACATGGGCGTCTCCAATGTTGACTATTAATAGGTCAATATTTGGAACAAAATGAAGTCGATGTTGACTTTTAATCTTTTCAAATGGCGTGGTTCACAAACAAATATAAGAAAGCCGAATACACCTCATTATATTAATTGTCCACTCAGTACATAAATAGTGTGAACGCCGTCATAAATCCAAATCCACACTTGAGTATTGCTATCCCAATGTAACACAGGAGTTCTATAGCAATAATTCGATCGGGCGAATCTTCTGCATGTGTGGTTCCAGCAAAAACAACCAATTTGCTGCAACAAAAACTCTCAAATCGTATAATCTCTCGCAATTCGAATGTTTATGGATTAGCTAGATCTTGAGATTTGTGATATTATGACAAAATATGATTAATTCTGCTATGGTTTGCTAAATCTACGGTCTACGTCAACACTCCAGAAATAGTTACCGATCTGAAGTTAAAATTCAGCATGTTATTAATAACCTTAATCAGCTCAACTGTGAGTGTCTTATAAATTTGGAAACCACTTATCAGCTATGATTTTTCATAATTTCATAACCATTAATTTTTATCTCAACTTTTAAAACTTTATTCTTATTACAACTATCCATTGATTGCTTTTTGTTCTCATGGACTGTGGTCTGCATTTACACACCAGACACTATACAAGATCATATGCATTTCACCCAAGCTGGCATTCTTCTGTAGAATCTGATTGTATGGCCATGCTGCTTCTATCTTCACTTTCTTATGCTTGATATATCGGATATCGTAAATTTTGCGGATATTTTTTAATTTATTAAAGTTCGATATACAAATAGCATGTTAATATACTACATATTGTAATTAGCGACAGTCTTCTTGAGTTATTTAATTTGATTGTTATTCATCATGCACATCTTATAATGGAAGTTACCTTTTTTTGTACTTCATCGTCGGCTTACCGCGTTGGTGGAGAGGCGATTTCTTTTTCTTATTCTGATTTTTAGGTTTTTTGGATTCAGCTAGAGACCAAGTGTCTCTCGCAATAAGTTAGTTTCCCTCATTGGAGTAACTGCGCTATAAGATTTCTTTTCTGATTTCATTTTTCTTGTACTTATTTGCAATAATTCCTTGTTCTGTACCTGAAAATGAGTTTACTCGCGTTTTTATTCGATTGATTTCATTCAAAGCCTAATATAGCTACATTTGCAGATTATTGATAATAATTCCATTATCTGTTATCAGTTCCACAGTAGAATTGTAGACGTTATAATAATACCGCTATTTTGGTTAATATCCTAATTCGATTAAGTTACGATTCGTATTGTTGTCGTTAACCTTATCGGACGTGTGCAATAGCGTAGGAACAATTTTATCAATAATCTCGAGCAACGATGAGCGTGCACTTTGAAACATATGTCTTGTATAATTGTCTTTTACATTGCAACAACTTCAAAGTTAATAAATTTGTTACAGATGTCAAATAGAGTTTTATGTAATACAGCACTTATGAGTCCATACTCTTAAGCATTCCGAAGATTCAGCATTACCAACACAGTTTTCCAATAAGCAGGAAGATGTGTCATAAGTCTTCATTTATAAAATGTGTAATATGTGGCCACTCAAATGGGGCGCAAACTTTTTGGGATTCAATATATTTTATGTAATTTTATGTGATTGTTACTAAACAGTGTTCTTTCCTATTTGTTCAAAAGCAAACTTAATAATGAACCACACTTCTCATAAGTTAATTAAACATCAGCATCCCACTTCTCTAACCTTTTATCAAATCAGTTGTCAAATTATATTTAATAATTCTCAATGTATATTTTATACCTTAGTATTAGGTTAGTAGTAATATAGAATAAAACTTTGAAAGCCCTGAAGAGTCCTGCCACTACAATTACCATACATCGCTAAACAGTATACTTTTCTGACATGGCAAAGTATTTTTCTTATAAAAAAGAACCAAATGAGACAAGTGGTGCAATGGTTCTCTCTGGAACGATCAATATTTTCAAGCATAGTCTGAAGACATTTGCAATGTTCGCCCTGTTGAATGCTTAGGTAATGGTGACATAGAATAGGTATAGAATAGCTTGAGTGTGTTAGTCGTATTCAGAACAGGATGGGATTGAGGAAGCTCAAATAAAACATAAAAACCGCTACCAAATAACATTCGGTTGCATAAATGATTTTACTCTTACTGCGATCAGGCATTCATAAAACCCCGCAATCAGATGAAATACAGTTTCTGTAGAAAAGATGAGCAAGAGGCATTTTTATTTGCCTGCAAACTTTATGATTATAATCATAACAATCTCACCGACTTGTCCTAGCCAGACTTGTTGAAAAAGTGTTTGAAAGGCAGTTCTCATTATGTCAATGAGTTGTTCAATAATGTAGTTTGAACATACGTTCCAAGAAAGGTTTCAATAATTTTGTAAGAAGACAGTTTGAAGAGAAGTATAAAGATGAAGAGACATACCCTCCAAGAGTTTGTGAAAAATATCATCTATCTGCAATAAGAGATGATAAACACTTTTTGTTGAAACGATTTGTTTACCGAAAAACTACGTTTTTAGTGTACATGAGTAATATTTCCACCAAAAACATTTTATGCATTCACGCAATATCTCTTATAGAAAAGTTATAGTGGCGAATGTAAGAAAAAGAGGCCTCCTTAAGAACGAATTAAAAAATAGGCCAGGAATGCTGTTAGAAATAAAAATAAACTGGAGTAGCCTGCAGTCATTTCACTCAGATTTTTATACTCTTGGCAGAAAATGAATTTGACATTAATTTAATATCATAATTTGAAATTTGTAATTAAAAAAGATAAATCTCCAATCTCAACATATTTTGAGATATCAAAACAACTACTTTTGTGTAAAACTTAGATAAAACATATCTGTGTAATTTTCATATAAATATCTTAAAAAATGATGATATTAATATTAAAAGAGGACAACATTTTGTAAAAATCGAAATATTAAGTGTTTTATGACTTTAATTTTTTTAAAGATGTTTAATAAAAAATTTCATTTAACGTCCATACACAACAATAAACCATAAAACTTTATGTTGTTATTTATCACGCATAATATATCATTCTCTCAATAACAATCATTTATTCTTATCACATCCGCATTCAAACACATTTTCAATTTGATGGTTTGCTTTCTATCATTCACCAAAAATAAATTTAGAAATTTAACTCGTCGGTTCTATTTTGATCACTTCCCGTAACACGGTGAAAATCGCACGCACACATGACGCAATACACCAAAAATAGTCTGAAATTTCATTTATGCAGTAAAAAATTGCGAAAGAAACATTTTTTTCACGAAAATACTTCCCTGATTACAAATAATTTAAATCATTTGGATTAAATAATCAAAATAAATTTTACAATTAATTTGAAAACTTAATAAATGTATTACTTCCGGTTAGTAACCATTTAATCCCTTTAAGACCTCGTTAGTCACACCCTTCCCATTTTATGAGTTTACGAGGGAGTAATTTCCTTCACAAAGTGTAATAAACTAGGTCAAGAGTGTCCTGTCTGCAATGCTGACGGAATTGAAAGTTTGGTAAACAATGAACGTAAAAAAATTAAAAATTGTCGGTTATAAAGTTTTCTGTATAGAGGGTTGTTTGAGCAACTAAACCAGTTCTCTTAAATTTTAAACCAGTTCAGAACGAAAATTTTATTGTAACCAAAAAGTTGACCACGTGTTAAATAATAATAACTATTATTTTTCAGGTTAAAATGTCTGAAGAATCAAAACCCGAACCACCAACTACAGAAGTAGAAAATTTAAAAATCGAAAATGGTGATCGTGCTTCAACACCAACAGCATCTTTCGAAGACCAATTTAAATCGTTTTCAAAATTTGGCGATCCGAAATCGGATGGTAAACAAATTACTTTATCCCAAAGCGATAAATGGATGAAACAAGCCAAGGTTATCGATGGTAAAAAAATAACAACTACCGATACAGGAATTTACTTTAAAAAATTGAAATCAATGAAGCTGGGTATTGTTGATTACGTAAAATTTTTGGAAGATTTAGCTAAAGCTAAGAAGGTTGAATTAGTTGATATAAAATCGAAATTAGCTGGATGTGGATTACCCGGTGTTTCCACGGTTGGGGTAAATTTCTTTTTCTTCTAAGTATTTAGAGTAGTTTTAATATTGGTTCTATTTTAAGGTTGGAAAAGCTACTGAAACAGTAAACAGACTTACAGACACCTCAAAATATACTGGAACGCATAAACAACGTTTCGATGATGCTGGAAAAGGAAAAGGAATAGCTGGTCGTAAAGAAATGGTGGATGGTTCTGGTTACGTATCTGGTTATCAAAACAAAGACACATATAAAAACTAAGAAATAAAAATAATATTAAAAGTAATACTCATATTATATTCTATGCATAGATATATATCTAAAGAAAAAATAATTTATGCAATATACTCTAAAATTTAATACCACTTATTAAAAAAAAATAATTTTTATGTAAACCAACAACTATTTATAACTAAATGGTTGTGAAACCTGTGAGATTTTGGTACAAAATGAAGAAATAAAAATTTTAAAGCTTCTGAAGTGGTATTGATTTTAGAAATGTTTTGAAGCAGCTTTGGATTCTCGTGGAACTTGCGCAAAAACAAAATAAAAGATTTAAAAATAATATTTAATGCCCAAGTGACAGTTTTATTCACGAGATTTAAAACTACTCCACCAGTTTAAAATGTCTAAACATAGTTGATGATTATAATGTTGTAAAATTTTATTATCTATCGCGCCTAGCCTCGATAAATTGTAGAAGAGTACATAAATGTTATGTATAATTACATAAAGATATGATTACAATTTATTTATTTTATACAAATGTAATATAAGAAAATCTAGAGCTTCGTATAAGTTTTTTGCTAAAAATTTATTAGTTTTTTTACCTCCAATATTGCATTTTTTATTAAATACATTAATTTTATAATTAGAATTTGTTTTAATAGTTACTATAACTTGAAAATTATATACAGGGTGTTTTAGACGGTGACAAATAAAAAAGTACGTAGAACGCGGATTATACAGAAAATAAATGTACTTATTTATCAGATATTTTCTTTTATTTAAAACGTTAAGACTTTAATTCAAAATCTAAAAACAAGTTTTAAACACTTGATAGAAATTTTAAATGAAAAGAAACGCGAATAGAAAAAAAATATTAAAATCTGTTTATAGAAACATAAGTATGCTACTATTTCATTGTAGTCAGTTCTGATCTCATAATCCACAGCTGTTATGCATATTCAGGTTTATTTTGTTGTCGAAAATCAAATCTCAATAATGTATGTGTTTTGGTCGGGACTCATCGTATTGATAAAATTTATCCATACCTAAGAATAAACGGCTTGTTTTTGAAATTTAAACTGATGAATATGTAGACAAGAATAAAGGATTTTTGCTCATGAAGATTTTGGTTTAGTGTTTGCAGTGGAGATAGGATGAATAGTAGAATTAATTTCTCACACAGGAAAATGCGTTTTTAAAAACATAATGATGTATAAACATTTTGTGATACATTAGTTAATATTCTGTTTATACGGCAAGTAAACATTTATGCTACCAACATTTAACTTGCATTGTTTTAATGAGCATCATAAATTATGAATTCTTGATGGTTTATATGTGGGCATTTCAGATAGAAGGGTGTTTTGAAATACGATGCTTTATAATAAGCTTGTAGAAAAGAATCTATGTCTTCTTGATCCGAAAAATTTACCATCAACCAATATCAAAACAAATCTTTCTGTAACAAAACTAGTTAGCAAGAGAAACCTCGCCAAGGTAGAAAGCGTTTATAACTGCAGAGTGTCACAAAACCGCCGTAACACTATTAAAAATGCGTTTCAAATAATAGAATCTTTTTCTTCCTCGTCTTTTCGGACGATGTCCTGTTTTCCACTTTTAGGTTTCCTGCGATCTTGACGCCCAACTTTCATACCATCTTCCAGGGTGGTGCCTGGTTTTTCTAGCATGGTCCATTTAGCCAATCATTCAGAAGACATTCTATTAGTCTTCTATATTACTTTCTTCGCTAAGATAGCAGCCATCTCACAACATCCTGGACTCTTGATTCTTGGATCTTATTATTTCTTTGGTTTTGGCGTATCTGCTCGTATCTCTGCAGCATAAATAACAACTAATATTTGATTAGGGTTGACTCATCTATTAGTCAATGATAGAGTTCTGGTTCCTTTTCCCGTCCTTTCCGTTTTAGTACATGCACAAGTATCTATACAATGTATGTTTACTTCACCAGGATTTCGTGGTCCTGGATATTCTAAGATTTCTAACTTTGCTTTTTTTAGCAATTGCCACAAGTGTAGCTCAAATTCCAGTCCAGAAAAAGATGTTACCATAGTATTGGCATGTTGCTACTTGCATAACTTTTCACAACATAAAAATGTAGAATGTTATTTCCACGGCGGTATAGGTTTTGAAAACATAAATACCGAAGAGATTACAAATTCTAACTGGTGAGCAGACTCTACGCTTGTATGCTACTCCATACATTACAGCCATTCCATTAAAACAAACAGTGGAATCATAACAAAAGAATTTTAAGAATATTAATACCATGTATACTGTTCCAACATGGTATATGAACAATCTATCAATTATTCAGTAACTGTTTAATGTTTAATAAAATATCATATCTTTTGGTATTGTTCTAACATATGATTTGTTTTCGCTTTTCCAAATTTGCAGTATGTATTTATTTTGTCAGAAATAAACAAATAAATACTCTCAGAAAATTTAATTCCTCAAAGCACAGTTTGCAGGCTTGGTTCGTAAATAATTTCAAATTCATTATAACATTGATTCTTTCTATGTCTTTATCGGCATTAGGTTCGATCTCCTTCAGCTTTTGAAATAGTTTTTCATATGCAACATTTTTAAATTTCTATTCTTGTATATATCATTTCTTACTTTCCCTGCATCCAATAACCGGTGATAGAGAACAAAAAATCACCACTTTCTACTAACATCTGTGAAAAGAATCTGTCCTCATTACATTACGTGCCAATCAAAACCATGATGTTCTAGTTGCACAACTCCCTCCGTAATGTAATTAATTTCAAATAATTTTGAACTTTTTCAAATGGTTATTACACCATACACTATACAGTTTTTGAACAATAACTTCTGTTGTGCAATTTGTTCGCAGGAATGTGGAGCTTTTTAGCGCGGCGAAGGTAGTTTTATAGTTTGAAAAGGAATAGTATGTGGTGTGACAAAGGTGACATTCATTGATGGAATTATGAGCAAAGTGAAAGCTTAGGACTTGGACAGGAGTCTATGTGACATGGGACTATGTTATGCACCCATCCTAAAAGCAAGGATCTAAATGTACATATTGACACAAATTTGACAGCGAAGAATAACTGATGTGTCTCTTCCCAAAACTCCCGAGACGCAGCTATAAGTTTTGAATGAGTGAAGAACAAAATTTGAAAATTTGCGAATCACTAAAGAGTCATAAAAGCTACATTCTTAGATAGTTTAGAACTTCCATGCAATGTGGAGTTTTTTTAGGGGATAACCACCCCTACATTTTTAAATAGCAACCCCTGTAGAGTTTTACCTTATTTTAAAGGTAATGAAAAAAGAAACACAACCCCATAAACCAAAACCCGATATCTTAATTCTTTCAAGAATTATGAGGGGTTGACTACCAAATGGGAAAATAAAATGTTTTCATGCTTTTTTGCACTTTTATTACGATTTTTATAACAAATATTCAAATTGTCAACCTTCTTCGGTCTCGCAATAACCCAAACGCTCATAGATAGAATTTTGAACCATCAGGAGCATATCCCAAGTGATATTGGTAATTCTTCAAGTATGCGATTTTCCAAATCATTGATTGATTCTGGTTTTGTTGCATACACTTTACTTTTCAAAAATCCCCAAATGAAAAAATCGAGTGGTGTTAGCTCAGGAGATCGTAGTGGCCACTCAATGTCACCTCTACTACCAATCCAACGGTTTGGAAACGTACGGCTTAAAAAGTCTCGGACTGCGCGACTAAAATGTGGAGGACTACTATCTTGTGGGAACCACTTATTGTCAATACCATTAGGACATACGGCACGTACACTTGGAACCACTTGATTTTCTAACAGATGCAGATATCTCTCTCCGTCCAAATTTCCATCAATAAAAAATGGACCAATTACATTCTCTCCCATAATACCAGCCCATACATTAATTTTCTGTGGTCCTTGAGTATGACCTTCTCTTATTAAACGTGCATTTTCGTCACTCCAATAACGACAATTGTGCCGGTTAACCTTACCATTCAAGTAGAAAGTAGACTCATCAGAGAAAACAACGTTCAAAAGAAAATTTCTGTCAACATCACATTTTTCACGTACTATTTCACAGAATTCCAACCTTCTTTCGAAGTCACCTTCGTTCAATTCCTATTTTCCCATTTGGTAGTAAACCCCCCATAATTCTTGAAAGAATTAAGATATCGGGTTATGGTTTATGGGGTTTTTCCATTACCTTTAAAATAAGGTAAAACTCGATAGGGGTTGCTATTTAAAAATATAGAGGTGGTCATCCCCTAAAAAAACTCTACATTGCATGGAAGTTCTAAACTATCTAAAAATGTAGTTTTTATGATCCCCAAATTTTCAAATTTTTTTCTTGACTCATTCAAAACTTATAGCTCCGTCCCGGGAGTTTTGGGAAACCCTGTATATTGATATGCATTTCTTGTGTTGTTATTTTTAAGCTCTATCTCCATTTCCATATTGTATTTTATTTCTTCTGCCAATTTTGTCTCTTTCGCGTGTTCGTCGTTTCACATATTTTATATAAGTTTTAACTCTTTGTGCTACGTTGTCTCTGCATTGTTTGTTGAATCATGATTTTGTTTTCCTTTTTTTCAGTTACTCTTAAGACTTCTTTGACAGTAATGATCGTAACTGTTTTAATTCAATTTATTTGGTACTATTGCTATTCGAAATTGTTTCCAGTAGGTACTTCATCTAATAATTGTTGTTACCTACCTATATTCAGTTTATCTTGTTTTAGACTATCGTGTATTAGGTCGTTTACTAATTCAATATCATCAAGAGATGGTCTGATCTATGAACAGGTGGTCTAGATGGTTATTTGTAGTTCCATCTGGTAATATCCAGGTATTTTTATGTATGTTGTTATATGGGAATGGTGTTGAAATGATAACCATAATCTTGGTTGTAGCTATAGTTATTAAGAACTCATCATTTTCACTGGCATTGTCATGAAGGCTGTTTTCCTATTGTTGCTAAATGTTTATCTTCCTTCCCGATTTTTGCATTTATGTCCCCAATAATTATTTTTGTCATTTCAATTTATTTGTATGTTTTTTTATATCACTGACACTTTTTCCTATCCAGTTTGTTTTCTCAACTGCTCTTATTGCTATATTATACCCTTTCAGAGTTTTAAGCAATGCCATTTTTGCTCCCGGTTTATTCTATGTACGCAACATTTTATGTTCCTACCTCATATTCCTTATATTATTTTATCTTTGGCGCAATGGTAACCTCCTTTGGAGATTTGGTAACGTCTTTCTTTCTGGTGAACGGTTCTTAGCCCATCGACCAATTTATTCGGGCTTCGAACCATCACTGCCAGTCACTAAGCTACTTAATCCACCCAGTAATTGCCCAAGCAGAATTGTCTGTCATAAGTGTAAGTAAATAATGCCTATGCAAAGAAAGATGAAAAAGGGCATAATGCCAAAGTTATGATAAATGTGGTAAGTAGATGGTTTAAACGCATGAGTGAATGTTAGCGTTGATAGTTTATTAAGTTGTCAGTTTGTGTCAATTAAAGTGTCAGTGTCAATGTCAAATCTATATGTTACTTATTATATAGTGTATTATTGATTAAAATTGAACTGTATGGGTACTTTAAGATATTATTATCGAAATTAGTCACGTTGACAATTGTTAATTTAATTCAAAACATATATGATCAACAAAGAGCAAAAAACTAATTAAATAAACCCTCTTTCTACGATTAAATACGTACAAAAGATGACTCATCGTAATACTCATTTTATTAACTCACATAACACCATAATTTTAAATAATTAACATTTATTTCGCATTTATTTACGTTGGAAATCTAATTATGGATCTTTTACGATTAAAACGTAAAAGCGCGTCCTGTATTACCGACTATTTTTATAGGTTAGTTCGCCGAAATGTAAACGTCAAATGTGTCATGTTTGTTTATGAAATTCAGTTCGATTCGGTACGATTTCGTTGTCGGTCACGTTTACTTCGTCTGTTATATAAAATTTAAGTTCGATTGAATTAAGTTTGAAATGGCGACGTTAGAAGATAAGATTCTCGGTGAAAAACTTCATAATTATTGTAGTAGTAGTGAAGAAAGTGACGGTGAAGATTCAGATTCAAGTGGACCCAAACAATTAAAAGAAAATGTAGGTTCGTTACCGGAACCGAATAAATGGGAAGGAACCTCGACGAATACGGGACCAAAGGGTGTTATTAAAGATTGGCAACGTTTTAAACAATTAGAAACGGAAAAACGTGTCGATGATGAAAAAGAAAGATTAGAATTGATGAAAAAATTAACGTTAACTGTTCAATCAGCTTTGGACGAAGAAAAAGAAAAGGCTGAAAACGATCCGGATTTAATGGAATTATTAAATGATGACTTTTTATTAAATTATCAAAAACAAAGAATGGTTGAGATGTTAAAACAGAACCAACATAATTTAAAATTCGGTAAAGTTATTTATTTAAGTAATGGTCAAGAATATTTAGATGCTATCGATAAAGAAAATAAAAATGTTACTGTTATTGTACACGTATATGAAGAAAGTGTTACAGCTTGTCGAGTTATGAACGAATGTTTAAACGAATTATCAAAAATGTATGAAGAAGTGAAATTTTGTGCCATTATTGGTTCACATGCTGGTGTCAGCCAAGATTTTAAAGTTAATGGAGTTCCTGCTTTACTTATTTATAAAGCAGGGCAAGTTGTTGGTAATTTCGTTCGTTTATCTGATGATTTGGGTGATGATTTCTGTTCTGAGGATCTCCAAGGTTTTCTTATTGAGCATGGTATGATTGAAGATAAATCATGTACACCGTTAATTATTAAAAATGGAAATAATCCAGAGGATAGTGACTAGCAATAATATTTGTACATATTTTTCTATTAAACTTAATAATAAGGAAGAACATTATTTAAATAATTAAAATATATATCTTATAATAAATAAAATAGTATACTAAGTTTTTTTTTCTTAAAAACTTTTCATACATTACTACTTTTTGATGTTGTATTAAAAATAATAATAATAAAGTAATCAATAAATAAACATTTAAGAAAAAAAACACTTTTGATTTTTATTTACTTTAGAAGTAAGTAAATAATTCGATTAGATAACATTTCCTGGGGAATATTAAATTCAATTGAAGGATGGACTTGCTTTTGAGTTGATTGGATAAATGAAAAGCAGGATGTGAACAACTTGGCATCTCAATAGAATGTCAAATAGTTAAGAAAATATGAACTTTTACGCTTTAACAACAAAAGAATTTAGATGCTAAAAATATTTTTGAAACAATTTATTGAGTCATAAATCGACGGAAATAGAATGAAAAATTTATATATTTTTAAAGACACGTCTCAGAAATAAAATAGTGATATAAAAACGACCCCACACGTTTACATAGACTAAGGAATAGAATTCTAATGTATATGCCAAATCGTTAAATTTAATAGGTCGTAACATTGTAAAACGTTTTTGGTTAAGCGATGTAAAAAATTTTTAACTCGCCGAGTTAGGAGCGTCAGGTTTCGTGAAAAACCTATTGTTATGTCGTCAAACGTTATTATTATTGGACTTAATTGAAAGAACAGGCCAAGAATTTAATTCCGCCGGCCTAAAAATATGCTTTGCGTTTGCGTCATTTGATACAAAAAAAAGATAAATAAAAATAAAGATAGAAACGGGAAAAAATGTGGTCTACAGATGATAATAAAACTATCTAAATCTGGATTACTACATAATAACGTTCAAAAAAGATCTTTATACAAATTTATATTTTATTTTTTCTATATTTTATAAGAATACAAATATATGTATTATTGTTATTAGAATGGAAGTTATTTATAAGTTAATGATAATCATTTTTATTTAGACTCTTATCACCCACTGCACCTCTGTCATTGCATCATTTTATTGATTAAATCCTGTTTGGAATATAAATATTATCGCAAAATCGGAAAATTTATATTTTCATGGTATTGAGAAACGTCGCTTAATAACATTTATCAGATTAGTTTAATCAATATACATAAAGATTAATATGAAGTAAAGAAAAATGTTTTATATTTATTTAAATCTGTTGCTACTGGTAAAATTTAATTACGTTTTTAAAATACAATAAGTGCAATAAATATTATATATATTACGTAGTTAATTTTCAATGTAATTAAAAAGTTACATTTATTAAATTAATTACTTAATTTTTACACAAACTGCTGCAGTATTTGATGTATTATAATTATAATATAAAATCGATCATTATTTCAGTCTATTAATTATTTAATTTAGTAATTATGTTCTAATTATTCGGTATTACGTCTTTTGCGCAAAATAAATTAGCTGCAATTCACTTATTAAATCAAATGAAGACTTATAGACAACCATATATACTACACATTTGGTTGTCTATACTTCGTTAAAAGAGCTAAATTCTATAATAAATAAAGCGTTTTTCAACTAAACTCCATTAAATAATACTGAAATATTATAATATGAAAATACATTGTAATTTGTATCCATAGGGTATGTACATATACAGTGTGTTTGATTTTAATTGTCACCACAGATATCTCGACTGTTGGTGGCGATATGACAAAATGTTATAGAAGGAAACTTGCTTCACATTTAATATTCTATTATCTATAATATTCAAAAAAACAATTAATCATCAAATGAGTTAAATACAGTGAATACATTTGAAATGGAATGTGCCAATTTTATTAGGACTCACACTGGGCTAAATCCCGATTCTAACTGGCCAAATTATTTTATGGACTTAACAAGGGCTAAAAGCCTAAAGTAACTTAAAAAAAATAAGAAAAATATACCTACGAAGGAAAAAGTAGGTGTTTTAGTTCATAGAACAAAATTTGAAATGAATTTTGAGGTTTTTGACATTTTTTTATGGAAAAATTGGTGTAAAATAAAATAGGTGCTAATTTATTTTCTAGTAAAATGAAGAATTATTTTTTCAAAATTTCACAATCAGAATCATCTTTCGATTAGCTCGGAGAATTCTTCTCCGCTTCTGCTCATCAACCATATCCTCTTCCACTGAATCCGTGATCAGCTCCCTTGCCTCAGGACTCAGCTTCTTCAATGGGACTTTCTGGAACGTTCTAAGGCCTGTAATAACAGGATCCTCGAGTCACTTTTTGATTTTCCCAAGAACTGAGTAGATCTCTTCTAGTCAGAGTAGAGCAGAGTTTTCTTTACAAAGACACGTTCTGCCTCCTACCCTTATTCCTTGCCTCCAGTGCCTTCTCTGAAAGGTGCCCTATTGGAACAAGGGCATGTTTGATGGCTAAAGAGCCATGTAAAAGGATTTTATGTACACTGGAAGGCATCCTGTACCAGTAAAAACCCCCCGGATATCAAGCTTTGCGTAAATTATCCTTTTTCTTGTAATTTAAGTTTTCTATATTGTATCCACCATTTTTATTTTTGAAAAGTTTATAATTCTGACCCCAAGCACTTCATATCTCTGTCATCCAGAGGTCGCGGAATTTCCACAAAATGTGCCTCCCACATTTACAAATCCATATGCAGGCCAATTATAGAATATGGTTCTAAAGATCGGCATACACGAATAACGAATCCCCAAGACCTTCTTTTCAACCCTAGCAATGATCTCCTTTATAACCTCACTAATATCCCTTCCATTATCTTCCGTCTACAATCTTTATCTCATAAAACTACCCTAAATTTCCCTACCAATGTTCTCCACCATATGCTCATTATCTGACCGCCCACCACTCCTTCAAAAACTGTTGATGAACAGAGAAGGCTGAAGCTGCCGCTAACTAGAACTTGCATGGGCAGAAAGACTCTGGTCGATAGCCCTATTTTTGGCTGAGTTTTAATTTATAACTTTTTTTTTGTGCATGTATACTCCTTTTTGTTAATTTATTTGTATTTTTAGCACATCCAAAAATAAAATTTGTTTTCTCTCTCTGACCCCAGATTCGCAATCAGCACCCCAAAAGATCCCAGCAATATATAGCGAGATTTGACGCTCTATTTGCATTCAACCGTTTTCAAAGTAACTTTTTGCACACTATTGTTCGCTATAATAATAAATTTTGTGTGGAATTAGGTTTACTGAAGCTTCGAGAAAAATTTGCTATATCGTAGAGTTAGGTGACTTGACTGCAATTTTAACATCAATTCAATAATATCTGCCATACTCATGAATACATCATAAAACAAAAAATATGGCGCTATACCATTTTTTGCAAAGAACAGAACCCTTATAAAACGTTTTTGAAAAACTCAAAAAAAAAGTACAAAAAACATAAAAACTGTTTCTCAAGTCACCCTACATGTTGGGTTACTTGAAAATTATAAGCATAAATCAGTTTAAAAGCCAAGTAAAGCTATCCTATAGGCGACTTGACATCAAATAAAAAAGTATGCGTCCATTGTATAGGGTGAGAAAGACCTACCATAAGTTTTCATATTTTTATTTTTCAGTTTTCGATGTAATGTGCGATTTTGATATCCCGGTAATATTTGAAGCCTCCACCAATGTCCATCTACCAGTACATATATTTATTAAGGCTTCTAATTACCCAACGCTCTTTTATATTTATTTGGCATTTTGTCAAGTCACCCAAAAATCTGTAGCAAAAATATGAAAAATCATTTCTTAACATCAAAAATAAAATCAACAAAGCTGGCATTCAAAATCTCTTAAGCAGACAATAAACAATTGTAAAAAAATTATTACATGTTATTTGCTGATCTGGATATCTTAGGATGACCTTAATTATATAGCATATCAAAAACCATGGTTTTCTTACCTTTTATTCAATGTTTTTTAGGCGCCAAATAAAACACCTGTTGACAACTTCTTTCAACTAAAAACGTTATTTCATCATTGTAGTACAGGTTAGAAAATGTTTTGTGTTTTGTTAATTTACCTAATAGGTGACAACAATGTCACTCGAGTTTCACAATTTTAAACTATAAAAAAATCTATTTACCTTGATATATCACATTCCATAGTTATCCAATCAATTAAAAACACGAATTGATAAGTAACAAACGCACGCATACTTAGATGAATGCTTTATAAGCATAATAATAATTAGTAATTTAATAATCATTTATAATTATTATAACTGGTATTGATTAAATGTAGATAATTCTTAGAAATCGTATTTGTAAGAATTATGGCCAAATAATACAACACATGTTGCAAAAAATAAGAAGAAATTTACGAAAGAGTTACTAAAAGTTGCACTGGAGATTGATAAAGAGAGAACTTTTCTAAATTTTATGTGTAGTAGTAATCTCTGAGACTTTTTGTCCATATTGGACATTAGTTGCATAAATAATATCTAAAGGAGTCGAAGAGAATTTTGGACTAATTTTAATGAAGAACTATATTACCATAATTATTAACACAATATTTCAGTTATTTGAAAAAAATCAAATGTTTTTTCTCTATATGATGCAATCCTGAAAGATATATCGTACATGTATAGAAAATAATTTAATTATACTTAAAAATTGGGTAAAACGGCACAATCGAAAAAATATTTTTTTTAGATAAATGGCATTAACATTTAGTAATAATCTTTTTAATTTGCACTATCGGTTTTTCTAATTTAACGTCTAAATATTTCGCAGTGTAGCACGCGTGTTAAGCACGCAGTGTACGAATGGTGGGTTGAGGTAGATTAAAACGAAGCTTTCATCGGATACTTTAGACAATTATCACATACATAGAAACAGAATAACAATAAAGTCTGCCTATTTATTTAAAAATTCCTATTTACTCTTTTATAGATATGGTATTAACATGCAATGTTTCAGTTATCAACAATTTTTATTAAGATAATAAACTTAAAGATATTTAAATAAATTTTTTAAATTCAAGAAAAATTACTCCATTTAGCCCGAAAGAAGTAGCTGAAGAAATAAAATCGAATCTAAATCCTAAAAAAAGCATCTGGCGTTGACCTAATTAGTCTACAAAAAAAATTCATGAAATGTACATTTGACGCCACTGTATTTTTCTTATGTAGTTTGGTCCCCTAAACTAAAAAATCACATTTAAAATTTTTTCTATGGATACGTTTTGGAGCTATGATTTTTTTTTAGGAGTAATTTGACTATTTGCAGCATATCTCGAGTTAGAGATGACCGATTTGGTTGTGCTATTCATCAAATTAAAGAGTATTGTATAGCCAATAAATGGTATTAATACTTATTCCAATCGGTTCGGTAGTTTTAAAAATTCATTCAATATCCGTGTAGAGTCGCAGAAAAATTCTTTTTTACCTTCTACGTAAAGGTTGCTCTTTTTAGAAGACAACAAGGTACGCAGGATGAGAATCGGTGGAGAAATTACCAAAAATTATGATCTTCTATATGTGAGAGCACAGCTTTTTCTTGTACAAAAAATTCCGCGCAACTAGACCGTTAGAAATTTTTAGGTTTCATGTTTCGTACGTTTCTGACATTTTACGTGTAGGTGCTATTCATCCCAATCTTTCAATTTAAAATAATTTCAAGATGGCTATCACATCCAGTGTACCGGAAGTAGCCTACAACTTCGTTATTTTAAACGGAATGATGCAATTTTGATTGGATATTTGGATTGAAAAACAGTTTTTTTAATCAAAAATCACAATACAAAATTCACTCAAACGCCTTGGAGAGCCGCAAAAATTCCGTCTTATTTTTTACATAGGGTTTGTACTTTTACAATAGGAAGATGCCCAGGTTTTTCCTGTTTCTATATTTTTCGGTATTCCTAACGTATATTGCCGTTTTACTCGGTGAATTAAGTTTACCTGAAAAAGGATATTCGAGGTACCAGTGCATTTTATTATTCTTGGAAAACTATCGGTTTTAGAACAAAGGATCTTCGCATACAGGTTTGTCCCACCTTTTTTTACCTACTTGAACAATATTAAAATAAATACATACCTCGTGGAGAAATGAAAAGATTTTTTCACGGAATGTTAAGAAAAAAGTGAGCATTATAAAAACCCCCCACTGTACCGTAAGGGAAGGTTTCGTGGAGAGTAAGATTGCTAAAGTTATTCATTCGAGTTCCATATTCAGCGTTAAACAGTTGTTCACAAATTGTATCGTGTAATATTTTGCAGGAGAAACTTATAACATTCACAATACGTTTGATTTTCTTGAAGAATTTCGAGGCTTTCAACTTCCAAAAGACAATGTATTGTTTTCACTTGATGTAGTTAATCTGTTTACTAATATTTCTTTATCACTTGTGATAAAAATAGTTAAAGATAAGTGGGAGAGGATTCATGGAGTTTGTGAATGGAATAAAGAAACTTTCCTAGCAGGCTTGAAGTTGCTCTTTGACGCTTTCATGTTTACTTTTAAAAATAAAACATCATCAAATTTCAGGAGTACCAATGGGATCACCTATTAGCCCGATTCTGTCTTTAATAGTGATGGATTATTGTGTGGATGAAATTTTACATAATAATGATTTACAATTAACATTCATAAGGAAATATGTAGACGATTTGATTTTGGCTTGTAAAGAAGATTATATTGATAATATTTTATATGTGTTTAACAAATTTCATCCTAACATTCGTTTTACGATCGAAAGAGAAAATCGAAAAGTATTCCGTTTTTGTATACTATGATGATTAGAGATGAAAAAAACCAAATTATTTTTGATTGGTATAGAAAACCAACATATTCTGGTAGATATGTAAATTTTCATTCGAACCACACATTCAAACATAAAATTGCTACGGTGCTTACTTTAAAACATAGAATATGTAGTATAGTCGAACCACAGTTTAAAGATAAGAATCTGAAAATTGTACGTAATTTGTTTGAAAATAATGGTTATCCAAGAAAATCCTTAATAAATTACTATTTTCCACTAATTTACAACATAACATTAGTAAAAATTTTAATACATCGATACAATTAAAGAAATATAAAAAAATTCCATATATTCCTGGATTGACAGAATTACTTCGAATACATTTAAAACGATATAATTTAAAATTCATTAACATATACCCAAAAAAATTAAATAAATATTTCTCAACTTTAAAAGATAAAACAGAAAAATTCTTAGAATCGGAACTTATATATTGCATTACTTGTAAAGATTGTAATGGTAAATACATTGGACAAACTAAACAATGGTTAAAAAGTAGAGTTAATAAACACAAAAGTGACACTAAATTGAAAAAAACATCATGTGCTCTCTCAAAACACGCTGTAAACACGACTATAACCATATTTTTGACTTTGAAAACACAATAATTTTGGATAAGGAATCAAATTATCATAATAGATTATTCCTTGAAATGTTTCATATTAACGCTGAAAATAATATTGTAAATTTCAAGTTAGATACAGAAAATTTGAGTAACATTTATTCATATCTTTTTCAAATAGATAAAAATAAAAATAATAAAAATAAATGAATTTTATTTGTGACGTAATATGATTGACGAGTACTGATTTGTTTATTTCAATATAGTTGTCACTTTTCACGTTTTATTTTTCATAAACTTTTTACATCTCCAATTATTGTTATAAACGTTTTATGGTTTCATTTATGTTATTTCCTTAAGAAACATAATTTGTAAGTAATTAACTTTTATTGTAAGCTTGTCATTTTTAGTTGCTTTTGTATTTTAGTTATACTCTGATGAAGATCGAAAAAAACGACCGAAATATTAGTATGAAATAAAATAATTGTTTCTTTTTATAAAAAAGATCGTCTCACTAAGAATTATTTAATATGATTAGTTATAATTCCTTTCTTAATATTAAATAGATTATGAAGTGTGGACCAGCAACTATGTACCAAATGTGTATAAAACGTTAATATAAATAAATAATAAGTAAACCATTATCATATATTATGATGATATTAAATTAAACTATAAGTATGTGATATAGGCAACCAACCACATATATAAATAAAATTATTTTTACCAACTTTTTACAATATTGCATTCTTTATTTATTGATTATCATTTTTTTAAAGTATTTAGAATATTAATCAGTTTAATTGCATTATTGTGTGGATTTAAAAGAATTAATAAATATTGTCAGTATATGCAACCAAACATACTCCGCTGATGATGACTATCATTTTAAATATGTTTTAAACCAATTTCAAATTTAGTATAATTTACAAATATTAAAAAAATATTAAAATTTAAAATACATTTTAAAATGTAGAAATACGATTAAATATTGTTTGATAGATAACTTAGTTTACACAGATCAATATCGAAGTAGAATTTTCATGGTAGATGGCGTCACGATCGGACGCTAGGCCAGTGTAGTAGAGTACGAACAAAAAAAAACTACACGAAACCCGTCGGTCGAGATTCCCCGCGGAGTTAGTATACAAAAATCGAGTAGTACGCCCAATACCGTAGCGAAGATTGTGCGTTTGTGTGTGCGCGAGGAGCTCGTTCGCCGGTTTAAAACAACTCTACACGGTTCGCCATTAAAAATTTTACTCAAATACACGATCTCAACAGCGCACGATTCATCGTATCCAAAAGACATTTTACCGGAGGAGCGTTTTCTAAATTTACCACTTAGAACCATAGAAGAGAGGATCGAGACTGTACTCTGTTTAAAGATGTCAAACCGGTGGTGGTGTTGTTGTGCCATTTCCTAACGTTTTAGACTATATCACCAAGAAGACTGGAAAAGGGGGATTGCCCACTGTTAGAATTAGAAGTGAAGAAGTAGGAAAAGAATAATAAAAAGAAGGTAAGCGTTTTTATTATTATTTTTTCTTTGCTGTAGTTTTAAAGATTCGTTTTGGAGTCGCTTGGAAGTGTCTTTAAGTGGGTATTAAATGGGAACAAACGGTGCACCTGCGGTTTTTTGCCTACCTCGCCTCTTCGGTACGTTCTTGTTGTATGTTATGTCAAAACGGCAGGTAGTAGATCGATTTTGGTTAACTAAAAACAATTACTCAATGACAGGTGTGTTTTTCGTGTTGGTAAAAGAGGTTAGGATTTTTAAATTACAAATGTCAAAGTGACGTTTAACTGTCAATAAAAATTAAGTAATTTTTTTCAATCATAGTAAATTGTTAAATTTTTCGATAAAAATCTATTTTTAAATTAAAAATGTTCTAAATTTATCGTTTTTATTTTAAATATAATTCTAGGTGAATAGCTTTGGATTAACAAAATTATAAAATGGTATGTATGTGTTGATAAAATTAGGTTAGGATTTAAAAATTAATAAACGTCAAAATTAACGTTTAAATATTAACAATTTCTAGTCAGAATATTTTAATATATCGGTACATAAATAAAATTTATTGAAATCCTTTGCGGGAAGAAAAATTATAATGGCTCACAAAAGTCTTCATACATTCTACAAAATTTTGAGTTTGTTTTTACATACAGGGTGATTCACAAAACCGCTGACAGACTTCTAGAATAGATAATACATGAAAAATTAAGATAAAAAGTCTTAATATACTATATCTCGTTAAGAAGGCACTTGCGACCCCATGTATATTAAGACTTTTCATCTTAATTTTTGATGTATTACCTGCCCTAGAAGTCTGTCAGCGGTTTTCTGAATCACCGTGTACATCACGTTATCATGATACAGTAGGTTACTCTTATACATACTATATCATTAACAATCAAAAAAAATCGAAATTAACATACTACAATTACTATTTGGTAGTTCCTCCCTTGGCAGCAAGAAGTGCTGCTATTCGTCGAGGCATGGAGTCAACTAAATTAACTACACATTTTGGTGAAATACTCTGCCATTCCCGTAATAATGCAGCTTTCAAGTCGTTTTTATTTTTAAAATGTAGCTTCCGAATTTTGCGGTCAAGAAGCTTCCATACGTGCTCTATGGGGTTAAGGTCTGATGACTGCGGTGGTGAGTGTACTTGGGATCATTATCGTGTTGGAATATCCACTACTCGATCCACTATGATCCCAATCCTAATTTATTGACCGATTCCTTTAAATTAGTTCGCAATATGTTCAGATATACATGGCGGTCCATAATTATCTCAATAAACTCAACCCCATACAATCACGTTTCATCCTCCATGCTTCACTGTGGCTTTCAAGTTTTTCTTATTCATCTCTTCGTTTTTCTTTCTCCATACTTTTGTTGTGCCATCATAACCGAAAATATTAGATTTACTTTCATCCAAAAATACAATTGTATGCCAGAAGGTCCTTTTGCTCATGTAATTTAGCAAAATCGGCTCTTTTTTTCGCATTTTTTCCGATATGAATAGCTTTTTATTTGGGAATTCTACTGCTGTAGCCTTCACTTCGTAGCACAAGTCGAACTGTTTCGGTATTTATGGTTATAGATTTTGATGCCGCGAATACATCACATTTATTGAAGGTATGGATCATAGGAAATGTATCGCTATTTTACGCGATAGTTTGCATCTAATGATCCGAAACACACTGCTACACATGCTCTGCGGTGAAACAGGCGGAAACAGCTTGACTATCCACCCCAATCATTGGACCTTAATCCTATAGAGCATGGGTAAGTTCCAAGGGATGAAACCGTTTTATGAAACGAAACATTTTCAAAACTACTCAAAATATACAGGATGATTGGGGACAGAAAAATATAAACCTTTGAAGCGCGGATTGAAAGCGCAGCAAAGTTCGTTTACTCGAAACTCAATACTGAACAAGAGGCTGCAACTCGTGCCAACTTTCGTATGATGGAGATCAAAGAATGCGTAATTGCAGTAGTCAAAGAAAAGTGCTCCGAAAAAATCTGTAAACGTTGAGCATCCATGCATGCATGATTTATTCTGTTATAACGGGTTCTAATACTACAGCATCTATCATTACAACATGGTTTACCCATGGGACTCAATTCAATCCATTGTTGTCACATTTTTTCTGCATTATATATAACGTATGAGGGCAATATAATACACCAAAAGCTGACCCAGACATCATTATATTGGTAGCGATTTTATAAAATTGAAGTATACTAGGGGGTATTCAAGTTACTTAGTTCAATGACGAAATTACACTTTTTCTACCTACGTCTTGTAAGTTTATTTTGTCATAGTTGAAAACGTTGTAAGATCGCGTAATGTCTCCCTTAAATTGTTAAAATAACTTTCGATACTTTCAATTGAAACATTTACACATCTTTTAATGTTTATGGCGACTTTTTGAAATGCCTCCTTTGGAGCCTAATCTATGTCCCTCAAATTTGAACCAAACCCCTATTTCCACATTAAAATGACTACTTTTTGTTTAATACGAATACCATTGTATTTATTGCGAAGCGTACTAAATGGTATTTTATAATCCAAAAATCTTCTGTATTTTTTTAACGCAGCTTCAAAGGTTTTTGGTTGATTGATCCCGGCAATCGATGAATCAATGTCACTCCGCGCGCCTGAACAATCTGACCACCTGGTTGATTCCCATCGAACACATAAAAATCACAAAATCATTGATATCAAGCAAATAAATAAAGTGTCGGAATGTTGCTTAGATTCTAACTTACCAGATAAAGTTCGTAAAGGTTACTTTTTTAATAAACAACCGGTTGCACACATAGGCGTTGTTTTCTTTGTTACTAACGTAAGTACGCTGTTTGAATGCAAATGTGCTCATCGGTCATTACTACTTTGTCGGCAATGTCACAACCGCACTAATAGTTTCGGTATTAGAGTAAACCATACAGTTATTAGACAATTTTTAGATTCTTTCTTAAAAAATAATAAAAACGCAAATTTGCGTTTCTTATATAATTCCATTATTTATTTTGTACAACAGCGGCGTAGTGTGAGCAATCTCACCTTTGGAGATTAATTTCATTCCAAATGACGGTAAGTGGTTTTTAGGGATTCTTCAGGACACAGTATTATCAAGTTTGCTCAAATTTTTAGCCAAAATATCATTTAAAAAAGTAGTTTGAACAGCTTATATGGTCCAATTAATTCATCTTGTGGAAAATCGCAGGGCTATAAAAACAGATTTTTTTGAAGATATCTTACACTACTAGTTTTCTTCTATATTATAGCAATGCATTCTCTATATCATTTTTACTGTCTTGTAGCGCATCAATAATTTCTTCTATTTCGTTCCTATTTTGGTTATCTTGCACCTTTATTTCTTCAGTTATTTCGTCCTCATTTGAAGAAACACAATGTCTCCATTTTTTTTACTCATTTCCAAGATTTTTGTAAATTTTTCGAGATGCTATATAATTTTTCGATATAATCGTAGTAAAGTTTTTGATGAGCAAGAATAAGATTAATATTCTTTTTCAGTCTTGTGATATAAATTTACACCGACATCTCAATTTTTCTGTCAGTTTTATTCTTACTCATCAAAAATTTGATTACGTTTATAATAGTCTTTATTATAGACACTTACACTTTCAAGATATTAATTAATTAAGGTGAATACAATAAATAACCATATGGTATTTTATATGAAATTAAATTTTTCTTACTTAATTTTGATAATTATCTGTAGTAGTTCGAGATGGTCCCTTGTGACTTACAATAAATTAAGCGAGTACATAGTAAGTAGGGCAACGTTACTCAAACCGTGTTTCCCGGAACATTCCACAAGCAATCACTCACTAAGTATTCCGTAAGAACATGTGAAATGGTAGAATACCAAACAATGAAATTAATTCTTCAATGTGAATCCAACTAAAATTGTTCTTTATTTTTTTTTTTTAATTATTAAGGGAAGTATTTTAAGAGGAGAAATCACTTAACATAATATTGATTAGATTTTTAATAACAATTATTAAATAATTATTATGTTAGGTGATTAAAAACAGGTTAGGTTTGTTTATTCTCTGCTTACAGAAATCGTCAATGTTCTTTCTCAATATCAATAAAACTGACCTATTTTAACGTGTATTTACCTGAAAACAAGACATTACGTTTTATATTTAGAATCGTACTGATTGTTGTATTTACTTGGCAACAATTATTACTATATATTTTAATCTCCATCAAAAGTAAAAGATAATTACTGTCCAATCATTTTGTATGAACACATCAATATTTTATATACTCATATAAAAGTACGATAAACCTTTCAAGATGATTAAGTATTAAGAAAGATTGACAATTTAAACTCTTATAAATAACGATTGTGTCAACAGAGCGGAAATTATACCAACAATGCAAATTGGAATCGTTTATGTTTATATTTGAATTACACGTGTTACGGAGGTCTTTATTTATTTTTAGTTTGCTTCATTTCAATTTTGTTTACATTTTTGTTGGAATCATATTATAGAAAATTTTTAAAAATCAAACTTTAATATAAAATCGATAACCGTAAAACTAAAAATAGCTTCGTTACATTTGTAAACAACAATACGTTGAAATTTTAATCGAACCATTTCCGATTGAAACAGCTCATACGAGATATATTGCGTGTTACTTTTTTAATGAATTTGATAAGAGAAAATTGTTTGCTTAACAAGGTGATTTTATTACAAAAATATCTAGGTAAAAAAGAAGTCTTAACCTAACTGGTTCATTTTAAAATCGTGAAATGTAACCTATTAACGATAATAACCCTTATTCTCTAATAGAAACTGGAACAAAGTGTACATTAAATGCTCAACTTAAACGAAACTATTTAAAAAATGATTTTGTACTATTTTAATGCGATAACAACAAGTTTTTTAGAAACTAAACCATGTTAACGTTTTCATTTAATGAGCTTGTTGAGTTAAATAGGAATGTGGTAAACCTGTATTTCTGT